ATCCCGAAGATTGATTCTCCGAAGAAGAAGTACCCTCCGTTCAACGTAGGAAGAGTATTTGAGCACAATGATGAAGAACTACCTGAAGCAGAACCAGGTACAGAGGACATTTTCTGGGAAGATTCATATTCGGACATTGGCGATTCCGATGAGGAACAAGACATCTTCAAGAGCGAAGATTCTGGACCTCCAGAAGTTGCAGAAGCCCAGTTGCAGGAACTGGATCGTGAGGCGATGCTCACAGAAATCAACAGACTCACCGAGATGAAGGCACTGGCAAGGAAACCCTTGCAAGAACTCGAGAGAGAAGAGGAGAGAGAGACAGAAGAAGAAGAGAGCAACCAAGGAACAAAGTGGTTGACGACGAAATTCGTCTTCGATTGGCGATTCAGGAACGGCCGATGGATGCGGAGAGCTAGGTTAGTAGCGAGAGAGTTCAAAGGAGCAGAAGTAAGGAACGACACGTTTAGCCCAGCGACGAGCGCATCGTTGGTGAGACTTATCCCTATCTTGGGATTACAACAGGAACATTCCCTGTACTCCATTGATGTCAAGGACGCATTCTTGCAGGTACCACAAAGGACCCGATGTGCATGTCAATTCCCAAAGGAATATGTGGATCTGTTTGGCGACCAGGACCCCAGTTGTAGGAACGAAGGTTTGTTACTGCTGAGAGTACTTCCAGGACAGCGAGATGCAGCACTACTATGGAGCGATCATTTTGCAGGAACCCTCAAAGAGCAGAACTTTGATAGGAGCAAAGCTTGCCCTACTTTGTTTCGTGACGACAGGAACAGCATACTTGTTGTGCATGTAGATGACATTCAGGCAGCAGGGAAAACAAGGCACCTAGAGCCCAAGCTAGGAAAGCTAGGAGAAACCTACGAGCTAAAGGTTGAAGGCCCCTTCTTGACAGAGCAGGAACTTGAGGTAGGAGAGTCACACCAGACAATCCGATTCCTTAAAAGGAAATTCAGCTACCACAATCACGAGCTCCACATCACGAGTGACCCGAAGTATCTTGTGAAGCTTAAGGAAGAACTGAAGCTTACCAGCAAAGCCTCGAAGCCAACTCCGTGCACCCAAGAGTCGCAGGAACAGGACAACACTCAGACCTTGAACCAGGAACAAGCGGCATCGTTCAGGAAAAGCGTTGGCATACTCTTGTATGTCAGTCAGGATCGCCCTGACGTGCAGTTTGCCGTGAGAGGTTTGGCCTCCAAGATGTCGGAACCAACACATGGTTCTTGGAAACACTTAGTCCACCTAGTGCAGTACATGTCGAGAACTGAAGGATACCATTTAGTGTACAGGAAAACGCCTAGAGGACTCAGTAATCTCCATGAATCCATCAGGAATGGTAACTACGACTTTACAGGAATAAGGCCCAAGGAACACCACCTTTTGGAAGTCTTCAGCGATTCAGATTGGGCAGGAAAGAAGGACACAAGGCGCTCAACATCTTCAGGAATTGTTTGCCTAGACGGTCAGTGCATTTACTCCTTTTCTAGGAACCAGAAGTCGGTTAGCTTGAGCAGTGGTGAAGCAGAGTACTACGCAGGAGCGTCAGCAGCGTCAGATTCTATATTGTTGAAGGAAGCAGTAGAATTCTTGACCAGGAAACAATGCAAGGTACACTTGTACATGGATTCTTCTGCAGCTAGAGGAATTATTACAAGGCAAGGTGTAGGAAGAGTCAAGCATTTGCAGATCAGGACCCTCTTTCTTCAAGACCTCCACAAAGAAGGAACAATTAGTGTTCACCCAGTAGGAACCAAGGAGAACACAGCCGACATAGGTACCAAGCCCCTTTCAGCGAAACGTATCAGACTGTTGTTGCACTGGCTAGGTTTTCAAACCAGCGAGAACGAACCAGTAGGCAGAGAAGAGCTCAAGGAACACAAGGCCCAAACACAAGCTAAAGCAGTTGTAAGAATGATCAAGAGCCCAGGAACTTTGTCTTTTGCAGCTTTGTTGTTTGCAGGAATTTCAGGTATTTCAGACAGTCTTCAGATTCAGAGTTTCAAGGAACAGTGTTTTGAGAGTTGTGTTCAGGAAGAAGAGTTTCAGCCAGACTTTCAGGAACATGTTTTCTGTTGTGCAAGTGCATGTGAGCAGGACGGCATGTGCAGTGACACGAGTGCATGTGAGCTAGGAACGTCTGCAGGAACAGCGCATGGAACAACATGTTGTGAGATGCTTTCGCAGCTCAAGGAACTCTGCGGAACACTCGCGGAACGCTCAGGTATCCAGGAACTAGTTCGCCCGGTAGCAGAAGGTCAAGGAACCTTAGAACGACAGAGTCAAGGAACCTTAGCAGCCATGGAACCAAGCGCGAGTTCGAGCAAGAACACAGCGGAAGTTTTCAAGGAACTGGAAATTTTGAAGGAAGCGGCGACAGCCTTAAGGAACGCTTCTGATGAAAGGAACTTGATCGCGGAGTCGATCAGGAAGAACACAGAGGAAGCTGCGCGTTTGCGCAAAAGCCAGGAACACGTGGCTGGTTGTGTGGAGTCCTTGACAGGACAAATCTACGACGTCAAGCACCAGGTTCAGGAAATGGCCGAACAGAACGACAGAGACCGGCAACAAGTCAAGGAACACATGGCCTTCGTCCTAGGTACATGTGACGCCGTAAAGGAACAGCTGAACCAGATGATGCAGGACTTCTACGAGCAGCAGCAAGAGGAACAAGAAGAAGAGGAAGAAGACGAAGAAGAACAAAGGAAAAGAGAAGCCAAGGACCGAGAACTAGAAGGTGAACTACGTCGTGAAGGACACGGACAAGGAACAGCACCGTCGAGAGCTACGTCACCTACGTCCCAGGAAAGGAAGGAATATTCGGACCGAGGCTACTTCGAGGGCATCCAGGAACGAGAGCAGGAAGCCGGCAACGAGAACGAGGCCTACGTCAACAGCTACGTTGGAGGAGAAGATCCCGGGGAGTACCCCGATGAAGGAACAGCAGCAGCAGCAGCAGAAGAGGAAGAAAGTGAGGAAGCAAAGGAAGAGAGAAGAAAGAAGAAGATCGCGGAGATCAACGCCAAAAGCAAGCAAAGGCTCAAGGAAAAGGAAGAGGAGAAGAAGCTCTTTCCGTACCCCTACGACTACGCCAGCGAATGGAAGGAATACTCCGAGAACGGCGAGATCTACAGGCAACACAGAGTTACAGGAGAAAAGCAGTGGGTCGACAAGGACTACACGTACAAGCACGAGAAAGGAACAAAAGGAAAGAAGGAAGGAAAAGGAAAAGGAAAGCCAAAGGCAAGAGCAGAAAGCACAGGATTTCGACCTCGAGATGAAGATGATCGCAAATACTGGGAAGAACAGGACAGGATCTCAAAGGAACAGAGAGAAGCAAAAGCAAAAGCAGAAGAGGAGAAGAAGGCAAAAGAGGAGCAGATTGCCAAAGCAAGGTTGATTCTGGAAGCGGCAGCAGAAGAGCAGGAGAAGAGAGACAAGGAAGCAGCAAGGCAGGAAGCAGCCGCAGCCGCCGAGAGAAGGCGAGAGGTAGAAGCAGCAGCCAAAGCCAAGGCAGAGAGAGAAGCAAAGGAAAAGGAGGAGACCGAAGCAGCAGCAGCAAAGGAGGCAGAGGAGAAAGCAGCAACCGCAGCAGCCAAAGAGGAGAAGGAAAGAAAGGAGCAGGAGAAGAAAAGAAAGGAGAAGGAAGCCAGGAAGAAGAGAGAGGAAGATCAAAAGGCAGCGTCAGCGTACATTGCCAAGAAGGAAGCAGAAAAGAAGGCAGCAGCAACAACAGCAACAGGATCAGGTGAAGCAGACAGGATCCAGAAGCTTGAAGAAATGATGAAGGAGATGATGAAGGAACGCAAAGAGGATAAAGAAAGGATTGCAAGCCTTACACAGGAGCTTGAGAGCAGAGGATCAGCAGCCGGGTCGCAGGCACCCACAGAACCAGACACAACACCAGCAAAGGAAGAGGAGAAGCCAGAAGCAAAAGGAACAGGAAAAGCAACAGGAAAGGAGCCACCGAACGTCACACAGCACAAGCAGAAGGAAGAAGACAAGGACGACCCAGAACTGTCCGCCAAAGGACCAGTGAACGAAGCATCGTTCATGAAAGGAAAAGGAAAAGGAGAGTTTGAAGGAAACTGGTTTGCAGTCTACAGTTTCCAGAACAGGAAATACCAGTGGAAGTGGAACGAAGCCAAGACACAGTGGTACTGGTATTCAGGATCAAAGGAAACAGGTTGGAAAGCAGCGTCAAAGGACAAGCAAGGAAAAGAAAAGTGCAAAGCGCAAGCAAAGATGAAAGAAGAGTGGCTAAAGGAACAGCTTCAAGACCAGAAGGAAGCTAAAGACAGCGAAGAGGAAGGCGAAGTAACCTTCCAGTGAAGCAAAGGAACCACGAGCAGTACTGAGGCCAGAGAGCCGAGGAAAGAAGCAGCAGGACACAGGAACCGTGGCACAGCCCTTTTTGTTTCTGTGGTGATCTAGGTAAAGTGCAGGAACGTCTTTTGTACAGTCGAGCAACCTTGGAGAGGATTGCGAGTGAACGTGCGCATACGTTTGCGATGAGGAACAGTGTTTGTTTTGCAAGTGAAAAGGAACTGCAGCGTGTTTACTGTTTGTCAAGGAAAAGTCGGAGTCACCTCAGTCGAGGAACTTTCGCTAACTCCGAAGGCGGGGTGTTAAACATTCTGCCAGGAACAGTAACACAGCTAGTGCAGTACAGTTAATGTACAGGAACAGCCGTCACGCACACGCGACGTGCAGGCTCGAGACCCCAGGACACACCGTGCCCAGGAACAAAAGTGTCCGACAGTCTTTGTGGGTAGGAACCCTTAGTGAAGCCCGTTCTTTAACAGCGCAGGGAGGCGGCACCTGTGGGAGATAAGGTGCAACAGCGCTCGGAGGCGCCGACCGGATATCCGCCGGCTTTTGCCACGGCGGTAGCTGAGGTGTTCATCGCAGGTTTGACTCAGCGACAGCTACCGTGTCGCAGCCCGGCCTTGACTAATAAATCGCTGCGGGTTGCGGCCATGAATCAGCCACGTGGGGCGATGCCGGAAGTGGTGTCTGAATGGAAGTTGGTGGTTTATGTCCTTCTGCCACCGCAGGTCGAGGATCCGTTTGGCGGATCGAAACGCCTTAAACAGGACTGGAAGGTCCCACACGGCGCCCGTGTGTTGCCGGAGCTCAGGACGCTCCCGCAGGATTCCCAGCTTCTGTCGCGTACTCAGTCAGGGGGGCAATTGAGCCCGCAACTTCAGCAGGAAATGCAAAACTTGAATGGAGCCTCAGTTTTGCGAGTGGGCATCCCATGGGATCCTACCAAGGCAGGTAAGACTGGACACCCATACCATAAGTTATCCAAGTGCAACAAGGATCTCAGAGACCTTGTCCACGACCTAGTTCATAAACCGGGAATGGTTCGTTCTCAGAGGAAGAACTACATCGAGAAGTGGGCCAGACGAGCCAAAGAATTGGAACCAGAGGAAACCAAGCTGAAGGCTGGCATGTCGGATCACAGAAGGAAGATTCTTCAACCCAAACGTATCTTGTTGTTCGAAGAGATGCTGCCAGATATTGGGTATGATGATATGGGTGTGGTTCAGGAACTCATCGACGGAGCCACCCTGACGGGGGACATTCCTATCACTGGGGTGTTGGATACCAAGCTCAAGCCTGCTAGGTTGGACACTGAACATCTTTTGGGGATGTCTGATGAAATCAAACAGCAGATCCGGGCGAAGACTGGTTCATCGGGTGATAAGGAAATCGATCAGCTGTTGTGGGATAAGACGATGGAAGAGGTACAGAGTGGATACCTCTCGGGACCTTATGATTTCGAGTCATTGCCGAAACGGTGTTTGGTCAGCTCCCGCTTTCCGTTGCTACAAGGAGATAAGCTGCGACCTATTGACAACTACTCATCGAGTTTGATCAACGAAGCCTCTCGGCTCAATCCTGTTTCTGCTGCGAGTGGTGGGTGGGGCGGGGTAGCTGTAGATTCGCATGGTTTTCAGCAGCCGTCGGTGCCTCTGTTCACTGCGCTTGGTGCAACTTTTCATGGTTTTCCTTTACACGATTTTCACGATTTCCTTATTTGGCATGAATCATGACAATTTTATTCTACAGAGCACTACAACAGCAGCAGATTTACATGGATGTGATGTGGCCGCGGCGGTCCCAAGTCCGTCGGCTGTGAAGTCTGGGTCTCGACAGGGAGCTCTGGACAGCAGAGGCGAGGGTTCAGAGGCGAAGCACACGTCTCTGAGGAGCAGCGCTCATGATGAAGAAGACGTTTCGACCAGTGCTGCGAAACTTTGTGCTAGAGGCCAACATAGCTACAGTTTTTCCCGGCAAAGATCATACAAACGAGCAGTCGCGCGAGCAGGTCGGGATGGCTTTGCTCGCTACCGTGGTCGTATCATGCAGGCTCACGAGCTTCAAGCCCAGTATCGCCCAGCGGCGCAGCAGACTCCTTCAGCAAAGCCAACCACATCCGGTGCAAGCTCCCAGGCATCAGCGGCGATCAAGCTTTTGACTTGGAACTGCGGCGGATTTTCCACATGCAAGGACGAATTTTACACATGGCTCAAAACATGTTCATGTGACGCGGTCTGCTTGCAGGAGACTTGGATGAGGGAAAGCTCGGAGTTTGTTGCGGGCGAGTGGACATGTGTCCAAAGCGGCGTGGGCACTTCGGTGTCCAGAGCACAGGCAGGAGTCATGATCATGCTCAAGAGGTCGGTCTTTGACAGCGGCACCATTCGCTACAATCACGTAGTTGCAGGCAGAGTTCTCCATGTTCGGGCGCAGAGCAAACACGGCTGGGTGGACATCGTAGGCACCTACATGCATGCAGGGGGGAGTAGAGAGAGCGACACCGAGATCGTGAAGAAACGCTCAAAGGTGTGGACGGCACTACGCACCACCCTTGGTCAGATTCCTCGAGGCAGCCAGCTGCTTCTCTGTGGCGACTTTAACACGATCACCAAGCCCACCCCTCCTTGCATAGGTGCAGGCACTTGCGATGGCGAGAAGGAGGCCTCCCTGGACTCAGACGACATGCTGGGCATCTTGCAGGACTTTGGGTTGCAGGCTGTGAACACTTTCGGCAAGCATGGTAGCTACACCCATGTTCTTGAACAGCGCGGTAAGCAGTACCGATCCTTCCTGGACTATGTGATGGTCAGACGGCGAGGTGCTACACTCAGGACAGCCTCTCGCATCATTGGTGACTGTCCAGTGGCTCGCTGGCGTGGAGGTGGACGGCATCTACCTGTGGCAGTCACTTTGCACTTCAGGCGTTTTCAGTTCGTAAAGCCCCGGCCTCAACCATCCTGGCCACAATGGAAGTGTACCTTGCTCACTGCCAGGATTGCTCAGAATGGTCCGGATGTGCAGGCCTTCCAGGCACAGGTCGAACATGAGCTGAACCAAGTTTCTGTTTACACACCGGAGCAAGTGAACAGCATCATCCTGAAGGCCGGCCAGCAAAATTTTTCCATCGAGCGCCAAAGCAGTTTGCGGCCGCCCTGGGAACATCACCAACACGTGGGCACCATTAAGAACATGTGGTTGCAGCGCAGACTTGCCAGCCAGCAATTTCGGCTATGTGTCTCAGGTCTTCGTGCGTGCTTTCGTGCTTGGAGGTGCCATTTTCGCTTTCAGCAAATGCATAAAATTGTGGCCCGCAACAGCCGACTTCTCCGGCGGTACCGTTTCAACGAACTTCTTCGTCGGGCCGAGGCTGCTGATTACCTCAACCGTGTGGATCAACTTTTCCTTCTTGTTGCGCAGGCATGCCCCCAAGCAGCCCCGAACACGAGCACAGCTTCGGTCGAGCACGGGTGCGCTGCTAATGCCACACGCCGAGGCTAAGGCCCTAGCCACGTATTGGAAGGAGGTTACCACCGCATCTGTCCCGAGCCAGGCACCGGAACCGCTACCTTTTGACATTCAGCAGGAGGCGATTCAGTCTGCCCTTGAGGCACTACCGGCCAACAAAGCCGCGCCCGCCCACTATGCACCACATGTTCTATGGAGTTGTGCTGCACCCTCTGTGGCACGAGTACTAGAGCGAGGGTTGATGCAGACATGGAGACAGGCAGCGGCCACGGTTCCGGTCGCATGGGCCGATGCATGGCTTACTTTTCTTCAGAAGCCCAACAAGGCAGGGAATGCCCCTCAGCATCTCCGTCCAATTGCTCTTCTAGATCCGGTCGGAAAGGCGGTTACGGGAATCCTTCGCGATCAGCTCGACACTTACATCATCCCACACATGGTGGAGCAGCATCAGTATGGTTTTCTTCCTCACAGGTCAGTGCAACAGGCCTTGGGACATGCTTTCATGCATTGCCGAACTGTTCGTAGCATTTGCCAAGCTCAACAACGCTCCTTGTACGAGCAGAAGGCCGGGAACAAGTCGCTGGGATTGGCAGGGGGAATGATCTTAAGTATCGATCTGACCCAGGCCTTTGACAGGGTCGACCGGGGATTACTGGAGGCCTCTTTGATTCACATCGGCGTCCCGGCTGAGCTTCGCCATTTGCTTCTTCAGTGGGTTCATGCTGCCCATTATGTTGTGCAACGTGAAGGTCACACTCAGCGCTTCGGCACAACGCAAGGAATCAGGCAGGGTTGCCGACTTTCGCCGTCATTGTGGAACTGTGTGGTCATCTACCTTACCCATCTCCGAGAGCAAAAATTTGGCTCCGATTGGTGCAGGCAACACCTGGTGGGATATGCCGACGACAACCTCTTCAAGTGGACTTTCCGTGCCAAGGCCGAGGTTACTCAGGCCATTGCCGAAGCAGGGGACATTGTTGCTCTATTTGAGGGCCACGGGCTACAAGTGAGCAAAGACAAGACAGCCATCCTTCTTCGACTGGCCGGCTCCCAAGCAGCGGCCCTGCGCAGCAAAATCACCACGAAGGTGGAAGGCAAGTGTCACCTGATGTTGGGCCCGGACCTCACCCTGCCCGTCAAGTCTCAACACGTCTACCTCGGCGCCATTATTTCTTTTGCCAGGTTTGAAGAATACACAGCAGCCCACAGACGCCAGGCTGGAATCGCCACATACCATCGCCTACGACAACATCTGCACTCTAAGCGTGCCTGGCCCCTACATAAAAGAATCCGCCTATGGAAAGCCTACATCTTGCCAACAGTCTTCTACGCGTTGACGGCTTCGGGTCTCACAGCCAAGAGTGCATCCATGATCAGGGTCGAATTGGTCAAGCAGCTCAGGGCCATCGCGGGAAGCCCACGCCATCTTACCCTGGAGCCCGACGCCCAATTTCTTGAAGGGCTAGGCCTGGAGTCTCCGTTGCAGCTACTGGTGCGCAGGCAGGTCCGAGTCTTGGAAAAGACCCGCGAGCTCCAAGGCAAACTCCCGCCACACGATGTCAGACTCGACCCGGCACTGTTTGCACATGAGGAAAGCATTCTCCAGCAGTTCCAGAACTTTGTTCAGCCGGACTCAACAACGGGTGCTGCTGCTGACCTGCCCTGCCCTGACTGTGGCAAATGCTTTCCAACTGCAGCGTCCCTACGCCAGCACCGTGCCAGTGCACACAGGCGAGGAGAGGACAAACCGAGTGGTGAACGTTTTGACCGGCTGCTTCACGGCAAGGACGGCCTCCCGCAATGCATCAATTGCGGGCACAAATTCCGATTATGGGAGGAGCTACAGCGGCATGTCGAGCTTGGCCGTTGCCAGGCTACAGCAAAAGCTGAGTATGAGGACGTCCACCCCCCGTTGCTAGCCAAAGTCCTAGAGGATGAAATTGCTTTCCCGGAGGTCTTCCATCAGCTACCGCCCCCGGACCTCAAGACCGAGCTCAACGAGAGGTGTGCACTGTGCCGAACCTGGCTCCCCAATGAAAACTACATGAAGGTTCATTATGGACGTGTGCATCGTGACGAGTGGCAGGCGCATAGTGGTCGTGTCCGCGTATGGTGCATGAACAACCTCCCGCCCATTAAGGGCATATGCCGATGGTGTGGACACAAGGACCAATCAGGCAGGGATCATCGTGCCACATGCCCGGCTTTATTTCAGCTGGCCATGACTTGGTTCGTGAATGGAGGTCCACCCGAGGCCGCCGATGTGACCGACTTGGCCGGTACCCCTTACCCTTCCGCGGAGGATATAAAACCTTTGCGTGGCACTTGTCAGGTTTGTCTTGCAGATATTTCCAAGCAGCGCTTCAAAACACACATGCAGCGACATCACGGCGAGCTTTGGCGCAATATGCAACCTCGTGTGCAGCTCTTGTGTGCAGAGTGGACGGGCTCGATCACCATTCCCTGCTCCCTGTGTGGGGCCAAAGGCATCAAGAAGGCCGATCACGCACATACCTGTGTTCCTCTTCAGCAGCATGCCCTCAAACTTTGCATGGCCAGGCATGATGGACACCGAGATTCAGGATGTGTTCGCCGGCTGCCTGCCGGCTCTGGCGAAGCTCAGCGCGGTGAACTTTCAGGACCCGTTGGAGATCGAGGCAACGGGGGACCAGGAAATGCCCAACCGAGGCAAGAGGTCACGACAGGAGCCCGAGATGAACAAGGACAAGCAGCCTCCGAAGGGGGGCAAAGGCAAGGGCGGACGTCGCGACAACGACGGCCGAGGCCGGGGACACAACAGCTGGGGCAGCTGGGACTACAACCACGGCTGGGATGCCAACGGCTGGGATGCCAACAACTGGGGTGCTCCACACAGGCATCCGCGGCCGAACATGGAGCAGCTGGTGGAAGCCTTGTGCAGGCTGACCTTGAAACAGGAGGAGGAGCTGCAACTTATCCGCACCGAAAAGCAATTCCTGTTGCATCTAGAGTCAGGGACACATGGTCTCCTGGCTCCGCTGTGGCAGGTGGCGCAGGCTTGGAAGACGGGACGGGACAAAACCCCGCCGACGGTTACCAGTTCACTTCGGGTCGCCTTAATCAAAAGTCTGCTTGCGGAATGGGTCACCCGCCTCGACATGATGACCAAGGACGAGGCTACAATCAAAAAGATGGAGGCCCAGGGGTGGGTCAAAGTGCAGGGCGAGAAGGAGCTTCATTGGACATTTCAGCAACGGAATGCGGAGAGCCGTCGATTGGAACTGGATGCCACCCGCCCACCAATCGGACACACTCAGATGGTGAAGATTGCGCACGACCTGCAGCAGCTGGTGATGACAGGGAAGGAGGAGCTCATTCACCGCTTCCACTCGACAAGGAAGCTCACCGAAACGGTGACAGGGGATACACTCCCCTTCATTTTGTCGGTGGCAATGAGGGGCACCCGAGCACAACAAGCCCACGACCTGCTTCGCAGCTTGACGGGCAGTGCAGCTCTTCGTTTGGTGGGGGTTCGGATCCGCGGCGAGCGCATGAACTTGCAACCACTCGCCCAGCACATCGCAAAGATGGCGGCAGCTCTTCGGCGCTAAAGGTGGCCGGGATCCTCACTACAGCTTTCAGTTTGCATGATCGACACGGTTACATGGTGGTGTGCATGCTTGCTTGGCTTATGGCAGGTGCTGACCAATATGATGTGGACTTCCTAACAGGTCGCCTCGCTCCTGCCGTTAAGTCATTCCTTGCTATGGGCACATCGTTCGGGTTATCCTCTTCATTGCCGTGGCGGTCATGGCTCCAAGGCTGGGACTCGACAACACCCACCATCACAGGCTGGCTGCAACACATCCTGCCAAAGGCTGCGGCTCAATCAATGCAAGGACGATGGGAGGCCAGAACGGCTGCTCCTGATGGCTCGTTCGTTTGCAACCAAGCTGGCGACACATGGCAACCGATTTGCTTGCAGGCGGAAATCCTTGGGAACACATGCCATCTGGACATGAGTGTACTTTTCTCAGAATGGCGTACACATGGGGCTCGTTGTGCACTTGTCCAGGCTCCTGATATCCTTTGTGTTGTTTCCCCGAGGTGGCTCTGCAGTACATCGGGTGAGTGGCGATTGATCAACCAGGGCAAAACACCTACAACAGTTCATATCCCATGTTTCCATGCGGAGAGTGTTGCAACTTACAACATACCGTATCAGCTCATGTCTGTGGTTATGCACGGTGCATCTGGTGATCCTTTCGGTGCTCGTTACTGGGCGAGCTCAAAGAAGACTGGATGGCATGCACATACCAATGGTAAGATTGCCAAGCCTGTCAAACTGAGTGATACAACCCTTTATGCTCGTGATTGTGATGCAGTCTTTCTTTGCAGAGTCGAGGAGAGTGCCACTGGGGGCACTGCATGATGCGATATGGCTTTTCGTTCATTTCATTCCATGTCTTTCTGAGTGCTTAGTCCACTGAACGCCGGTAGAAACCGTTAGTTGTACAGTGTACTTTGTTGCCATGTCGTATGCCTTTAGGGATCCTTGACTTAGTGCTTTTGTTCCACTGTAGCATACGCGTTGCTGCGCTTTCGGGCCGGACGTGTATGGTGCACTCGCTCTTGTGCTACGGCACGGGGTGCCCTTCGCATCTGAAAGATGCCTTGCGCATAACAACTACCATGCGCATGCTGGGCCTACGCTAGGCGTTCTACTCAAGACTGAGCGCTGCGAGAGAAGGAAAAGTTTGATCAACGATACGGTCACAGTCTCTGAAAAGCCCATCACGCACTCTATCGACGAAATCGCTTTGTTGATAAATACACTTTCCAGTGCTGCTCGAAAGAAGAACTTGAATGCATTGTACGGGAAAACAGCGGATCTGAAGGGAGCTTACAGACAACTGGCGGTGTCTGACACGAGCTTAGATTTTTCTTACCTTGCGGTCTACGACCCGGCGGAGGAGAAGCCCAAGTTGTTCCAACAACTAGCTGTGCCTTTCGGCTCCACCAAGGCCGTGTACTTTTTCCTCAGAGTAGCAAGGGCGCTTTGGACTATCTTGGTCAAAGGGGCCAAAATCCCAACCACGAATTATTTTGACGATTTTGTTCTGCTCGCTCTTGGAGGAGATAGGAGTTCGTGTTCACACGCTTTCGATGAAGTTATGAAGCTGCTAGGTTGGAAGCTGTCAGCTGATAAAACGACGGAGTGGAACACAAGCTTCGAGGCCCTCGGCGTTCTTTTCGAGCTTGACCAGACGGGGTCCGGAGTGCTGAAGGTCAAGAACACTGAGAAACGACGCAAGGAACTCACGGGTGCGATCAAAGGTTTTCTGGACAAGGGAACCATGACTCAGAAGGAAGCTCTACAACTGCGGGGTAGGCTGCAGTTTGCTCAAGCCCAGTTTTTCGGTAGGCTGGGAAGAAGGTGCCTGACGGAGGTGACAAAGCATGCCTACACTGGCAGGTCAAAGCTTTCGTCGATGGCCAAGGAACGACTTGAAGAGTTTGGTAAGTTCCTTGACATGGCCCAACCGAGGCTAGTGGGGCAAGTTTCATGCAGGACTTTTATGATCCTTACCGATGCGGCGTTTGAAACGGAGTCAGGAACTGGAGGACTAGGGGGCGTCCTTCTCACCGGGTCAGGTTCGGCACTCTCTTTCTTCAGCGTGCCGATCTCAGAGCAGCAAGCCAAGTCTATGTCGTTGCAGGATGAGCATACCATCATATACGAACTAGAGATGTTCGGGGTCTTGATCGGTCTCAAGCTCTTGGTCGAAAAAACGGCTGCTTTCGCAGAATCATACGAACAGCCAGGTGCTGTTGCTGGGACTGGAGTGATTTGCTATATCGATAATGATGCTGCGAGACATGCATACATCGCCGGCTCTTCGAAGAAAGGGGTCGCGGGGATTCTTATCGATGAAGTCAATTTCCTGGAGTATGTCCACGGCATCTTGCCGTGGTATGCGAGAGTGGCATCACCTGCTAATCTGGCAGATGAACCATCGAGGATGAAACTTGATAGAGTCAAGAGACTAGGATTCAAAGACGAGTCTGTCGAGGCGACCAAAGCGGTGTTATCGATTGTGAAGAGAGCTTCGAATCTGCCTGCTTAACACTGCGACTCCTGGAAGTGGGGACAAAAAGAGTCTTGTGTCTCACAGGACCGACAGTTCGAAGTTTTCTGCCGGGTGCGGTACTTGCTACCCCAACGTGTGAAAATAGCGTCGAGCTTTGAGCTACTTGCATGTGGCATGTGCGAGTGCAAGCATTTATCCCTGAAGGTTCAAACATGATAGACATCAAAACACAAAGCACGATCTTCGAACGATAAGTTACATTCTTTGAACACTTGCAGAAGATATGGCTTTATCGTTTGAAGAAAACAACATGACAAAATGGCTCAGAGAACTGAGTCCAATTTTGATTTGTTGTTTTAGGGCTTTTCCTTTACACTGCCTTTTTTTATGAACTCTCATTCATACATGCTGTAAACAAGTTGAAGAACACATTCGTCCGTTGCAGCTTGACCTCTCGAAGGGGCAGGAAGCCCTTGAATCGGGCGAGAGTTTTATTTGAAATACCCACCCTCTCCACCCTAATTGATTCGTGGAAAGTGCAGAGATTGCATCCGTGTTGTGCTACCTCAGGAAGCTTTGGACCTCAGTTTGAGGACACTCAGGTCTGCTTTTGCATACGACCTGGTTCGGGTCTTGGCTCTCTGCTTCGCAGTTGACTCGGTCTTGCTCGTCTTCGACTGGCAGGCCGTTCACTAAGGTTCAGTTTGTGAGCCGTGCACGGCTTGAGAGTGGCTAGTTCTCCTTTCGAAGGGGACAAAAAGAGTCTTGTGTCTCACAGGACCGACAGTTCGAAGTTTTCTGCCGGGTGCGGTACTTGCTACCCCAACGTGTGAAAATAGCGTCGAGCTTTGAGCTACTTGCATGTGGCATGTGCGAGTGCAAGCATTTATCCCTGAAGGTTCAAACATGATAGACATCAAAACACAAAGCACGATCTTCGAACGATAACTCCGCCTGCCCGAGCTTCGGACGACCCGCTCGACGTGGATGAGGAAGCGGTGGTGCTTGCAGATCTGCGGCCTCCAGCAGGGTGCCAGACCCCCAAGCGCCGTGCGAGGAGGGCCTCCTTTCTCGACCAGTCCGGCAGTAGGTCGGAAGGGGATGCCATGTCTCCGCCGGCAGTGGTGGCGAGGGTACGTCGCCGTGCTGCGACCCAGCAGTCTAGTGCCCAGACTGCCGCCGATCGTCCAACCAAGAAGGTCAAGCTCAGTGCCGCCGATTGCGCCCGGTTCCTCACAGAGTTTTCCAGAAGAAGCACTACGAGGCAGGCGTGGCTCCGCCACCGGGACATTGGCAGAGCTTCCTCTGTCACATGCAAGGAAGTGCAGCCGAGCCTGCCGCCTGTGCGATATGCCAGCAGCTCGTGCACGAAAGCAAGGCCGCAGCCCCCGTTGCAGATCAGCCAGCCCGCCGCAGCCCCCATTGCAGATGAGCCCGAGCCCGAGGCTGTGCCTCAGTTGCCGGGCCCTCGAAAGCCGGGTCGGCCTAGGAAAGACGAGGCCGCAGGGTCCCGATGGTCCTTGGCAACGTGGGTTCGGCAAAGCCGCTCAGACGTTTACTTGGCAACCGACAAGAGCCAGCTGAAGTGTGCCACATATTATTGCAGGGCCTGCTGCAAGCAGATATCCTTTGGGACACAGACATGCGAAGCCAAGGTGCTGAGGCATGAGCAGTACAAGACACATGTGGAAGGTTTGCGGAAGCTGCGAGGGGATGCAGCCATCCAGCCTGCGAATGCTGGCGCAAAAAAGGCTAATCCTGCGGGTCCTCGACAAGAGTGTGCTGGTCTGTTGGCCTCCAAACTCGTGCTGAAGGACTCGATCTCAACCTTTGTGCAATTTGGGCAGCCTCGCCTTCTCTACTCTGAGCACGAGACTGATTGGCTAGCCTCCGTGTCTTTCCAGGTGCTTCCCCAGGACATCGCTGTGCGGAGTACGGTGTGCAAAGGATTTCTGGAAGGTCTCAGTGCATGCTCCGCATGCGTGAAAGCGGCAAACCAAAGGAAGTTCAAGCAAGCTTTGGCGAAGCAGGTGTTCATGATCGATCTCTGTGTACTGAGCTACAAGTGCATACACTGCCCCGCCGAGGAACTGCACAACTTCAAGGAAGAGCTTCGCTAGAGGGATTACCAGCAGGATAACTTGGCTGGCAGCGACCTGGATCGGCTGCGACGCATCAAGGACAACTTGGAAGTCTGCAGGGCAGTCGCTGCCAGAGTTGATACGACTCCAGCATGGCGAGTCTCCTTGTCGCTCCGGAAGTTCTGGGATGCTTGGTTGACCAGGCCGCAGAAGCACCATCAGACATCGACGGAGGCCGAGGCCTACGGGTGCCTGGCGGAATGATGGATGCTGTCGCGAGCGGACGTGCTCGGGAGTTTGACTTGATGCTTGCTGCACGGGTAGCTGCAGGAGCCCTCAGGACGGACGTCTTGGTGGAATCTTTAACCACAAGCTTTCTCGAAACAGGAGCTAGTGCACAAGACCTCACGGCCAGGAGCCAGCCGACGGGGGAGTCCGAGCCTGCGAAGAAGTCCGGGCCTCAAGTCACGACGGTGGCGGTCGGCGGCTCTCTTGTTGGATTCCGAGCTTAGGCCAAGCAAAAGAAATCTGACGGCCAGGAACGAGCCGTGCAAGGAGTCGGAGCCTGCCAAGAAGTCCGGACCTCAAGTCGAGACGATGGCGGCCAGTCGTTGGTTCCTGCCAGCAACCCAGCAGAGGACCCTGCACGGATCCTCGTGCTTGCTTTTCATGTGTGTGCAACGAAAGAAATCCGACGGCCAGGAACGAGCCGTCGAAGGAGTCGGAGCCTGCCGAGAAGTCCGGACCTCAGGTCACGACGATGGCGGCCAGTGGTTGGCTCCTGCCAGCAACTGTGCAGACGACCCTGCATGCATCCCCGTGCTTGCTTTTCACGTGTGTGCAACGGCGTTCCCGCCCGCGACCCAAGGTGCGTGAAGGCCAGGAACGAGCCGTGGAAAGAGTCGCCGCGGGAAGAGTCGGAGCCTGCCAAGAAGTCCGGACCTCAGGTCACGACGATGGCGGCCAGTGGTTGGCTCCTGCCAGCAACTGTGCAGAGGACCCTGCATGCATCCTCGTGCTTGCTTTTCACGTGTGTGCAACGGCGTTCCCGCCCGCGACCCAAGGTGCGTGAAGGCCAGGAACGAGCCGTGGAAAGAGTCGCCGCGGGAAGAGTCGGAGCCTGCCAAGAAGTCCGGACCTCAGGCCACGACGATGGCGGCCAGTGGTTGGCTCCTGCCAGCAACTGTGCAGAGGACCCTGCATGCGTCCTCGTGCTTGCTTTTCACGGGTGTGCAACGGGGCTCCTGCCCGCGACCCAAGGTGCGTGAAGGCCAGGAAGGAGCCGTGGAAAGAGTCGCCGCGGGAAGCAAAGTTCAAGGAGGGATTGGCAGACTGCAAAAGGCGCACGACAAGTGCCTTTGCGAACTTCCAGGCATTGTCGGAGTCTTTTTGACAACTCTCGGACGACATGCCGAGGTGGACTCCCTCTTGAGGAGCTTTTGTGTGAATCCACGTTCCCTGCCATCCTTGTCTCTTGTGACGGAACGATATCCAGAACCCTTCGTCTCCTTGAACAACCTGCCAGTGCTTCGCCAGTCGTACATGCGGGGCCTCGCTTTGCTGAAGGCGGCAGGCACACGGCCGCACTTGATTTGCGATGGAACGACATGGGCCCCAGACTGGAGCCAGGTACGAAGAATCTGCAGGAATGAAGCCGGCGAGCTGGTGGACAGAATGGTGGGAGGTGCTTGGCATGCCGATCCGGACAAGGATATGTCCCTCCTTGATCCAGACGAACACGACCGCACAAAGCTGTCACGTGAGAAACTGGCCAAGCTTGCCCTTCACATCGCTATGGCCCGAACCGACTGCACAAGGTATGTCTTCGACGTATGTGTCTTACCCCGCCCTCAAGGGGTTGGGGTCGGCAGAGGAAACGTTGGATGCTGTGGCCAAGGTGTTTCATGAGTGCACAGAGGCCAGTGGGCGACCGCCCAATGGCTTGGCGTTCGACGGAGGCAGCAACAAGGCCCGCATCCTCCAGACCCTTTTATTAGGTCTTCTCGAACCAGAGAAGATGCAGTCGCTGCCCTTTTTCAGCCAGTGTTCCGTCAAGACAATCCCGAAGCTTCCCTGCTGGGGCTTTGGATACCTGACGTACAAGGACGAGGCATCAGTGTCATTACACAAAAGGTTTTGTCTGTGGGGTTGGTGTGCTGGGTTCAGGGTTCACGGGCTTGTGCGAGCAAGTAGTTAAGTAGTCCAATCCAACCTGTGTGCCCAGATCTTGGTCGCGATGAACGGAGCCTGGCACTGGCAGAAGCGGTACAGCCTAGCTCACTTGTCGGGATGTCGCAAGATCCGACATGGCGCTGTCTTTGTGGACTTGTCCTGCGAGCTCTCATGCGGCTTGCCGCATTCAGCGTACCTGGCATCGGACGTGCAGTCGGATTTGGCCGCATGCCAGAGGCTGAGCCCGCCTTACACAGGCAAGACGTGGTGCAGTCCAGCTGTGAATGTCCACAGCCTGATAGGGGCTCTGGTCTGCTCGTGCACTACGGGGTCAGTTGGTTTCTCGCAAGAAGATATCTGCTTGAACGCTGCTGCTGGGTATTACCTGCTACTCATGCATCGCAGCGAAGCCGGCCGACAGTGGAGACAGCACCTAAGCTTGCACTGTATGCCGTCCCCACATGCACACACACTAGCACACATGAATCAACACACAATTGCTTGCGCACACACACACACACAGTAACACACACAAACCAGGTATCAAGAGCGAGGGCGCAACTCGCTGTCCGACGTCACGGTTCGCAACGGCATGGCCCTTTGCAGTTTCACTGTTGTGTGCTGCATGACATCATGCGAGCCGCGATTCGTACAAGAACTCGCCATCGAGAACCATTTCTCGAGGTTGAAGAGCGTGTATCGTGGCCAGCCGAGTTTGAAAGATTACCTTCATGCCTGCCGCTCTCTCTCAGCACGGCAGGCTCGGCAGCTAGACGGCCAGTCAGTCGAGAGGCTGCAGGACCGGGCGTCCAGTTTCCCAAGATCCCCGATGCCGGAAGATGTGGTGACAAAGCTCTGTCGCAAGGCCTTCGCCGCAGCATTGCAGACACAGTCATTCATCTCTGATGGCCGGAGCACCACGGAAATCTACGACACCTTGTTGAAGTTCTGCGGGGCAGAAGGGGAGAGCTTCTTCGGCACTGCCATCGGCGAGTCCGCTTTCGACATCATGGACATCACCCCTGAGACATCCGAATGGCTCCCTGTCGAAGAGACGGAACACAAGTCCCAGCAGCAGGTGGAGGCCATGCAGCTGTTGCACACGGTAAAGGACAGAGCCAAAGTCTTGGAGGAGATCCAGCTCCTTGAAGCATCCGATGCATCAGATGCTCACCAGCCTGCTTGCCAGCCTGCAGAGGAGAACGTGGGTGCACAACCTGCTTGTCAGCCTGCAGAGCAGAACGAGGATGCACAACCTGCTTGCCAGCCTGCAGAGGAGAACGTGGATGCACAACCTGCTTGCCAGCGTGCAGAGCAGAACGAGGATGCACCGCAGGACCCAGAGCTCGTGGTGGAGCTTGCACCGGAGAGCGGATGCGCATCCGCCAGTCATCCCCACGAACCTTAGCCAGCTGCTGAAGGCTGTGTTGGCTCAGGGAGGCAAGGAGTTCAACCTGGACCACGAGACAGGTCAAGGACAGGCTGCTGTGCTCAAACGGCTGCTGCACATGGCCCCCTTCATCCGAAGCTTCACCAGGCATGCCAGGCTCCAAGAAGCGGTTCTTTCAGCAGCCACTCTGAATGAGTGCAAAGGCCCGCTGAACGAGTGGAATCGTCGTGAGCACGAGCTCGCTGTTGCGAGGCGGGCTATCAATGCTAGTCAGGCACGCCTCTCCCGTGCCCAGGCTTGGCATATGGCGCTTCAGAAGATGTCCAAGGAGGTCCAGGCCGTGAACAAGCAAGTCCACAAGAACGACCCGGGAATCCATGCCCCCGATGTCTACTTCCCTGCGGGCGACCGGGTGCAACTGATTGCTTTCCTCCTCGAGGACCGTGTGGCAGTGGGACTGGTGCTCAGTGCCTTTAGGGGATCCTTGGTGAAGCGGCCTAATGGCAAAGGTGCAGCGGATGTCATCGTCAAAACAGCTCGCCCCTTTCCGGATGAGCTTCCAAGTGTGTCCACCAAGCTCGTGCATGTGGCTGAGTGCATCTACGATGAGAAGCACAGTGAGTACTGCACAAGCTGTGCAGCGAGGTGCCTGCTTGTCGATCCGGTGAATTGCATCTATGGCCAGTTGACCGTTTCCGCTTCGAAGCCATCCCAAACCAGGATGCATTTTCGCTTGAGCCCGGCATCTATGGAAAGCTTGCGCCTCTTGAAGCTGCGGGGCCGCTTGCCCGTTCAGCCGCTTCCAGAAGTGGCTGAGGGCGAAGATGATGCCGCTGCTGAGCCAGAGGAGCCCGACGCCCCGTCCCAGGTCTATCACGACAGATCCTTCATGCGAGCGAGCATGCCTGTGCAGGCCAGAAAGTTCATGTCGGATCTTGAAAGCTTGTATCGCCGGAAGGGCTGGCCGTTTGTGGAAAGCGGAATGGTTTATCTGTCACAAACCAAAAGCGAGTCTTGGTCAGTGTTGCTGGATCGAATTCCGGGCTTCTTCGAGCAAGAGTTCCAAAAGCATCAGGGCTATCGGTTCAGCAGGGCGGTCCATGCATACCTCCAGACGCTGATCCCTGAAAGAGACAGGTGAAGAAGTTTCTTGGGCTGGTCTCCCGTCTCGCACCGGGTGTGATCGACCTCCGGGGATGATCCACTGTGATACTCTGTGATCCTGCACATGGGCTAAGAAGTCTAGGCACAAACGAGAGGTCGATCCTGACGTCTCACCGGGCACGTGCAAGAGGTGGACCCTAACAATCCTCAAGCCCTAGGCCCCTAGCTAGCCGTAGACTTGTGAACACTTAGCTCTACTGAACACTGCTCCACCATGCCGAGTAGCCCTAATCTCCGCCTGCGTGGACGCCGCGCACCTGGGGTTCGGAAGCCGTGCGCCACGACAGAAAAAAAGAAGCGTGGCTGTGCTGCTCGCAGAACTACTCAGAGCTATCAGGGAGGATGCAGCATGAGGGATGTTAGAGTCCTTACCCCCCCCCCCCCATTAGGGAGGGGGGCTCACTGCTCTCAGGTCCAACAGACCCTGGCTTCACAGCGTCTCACCCTGCGGGAACGTCGCAACACAGGCCGAAAACCTACATCTTGTCAAGGGGGAGTTACGCTCTCCATTGATACGAGCAAAGCGTTTGACACTGTCAATCGGCAGGTCCTCGAGCACGAACTACGAGCGGCCCGTGTACCGGAGCCGGAGCTGGAGGTCATTCTCCATCTTCACCACTGCATTGGATACTGGCCGGCAGGCCAGGACCCCACAACCCGGGTTGCAAGTGAAAGGGGTGTGCGGCAGGGATGTCCACTAGCACCAAGCTTGTGGACTCTCATCACTGTTGCACTGTTTCGGGCACTGGCAGGTGTAACCTCCGTCGCCTGGCTGCAAGAGGATGCCACGGTGTTCGCGGACGATCTCTTGATGCAGTGGATCTTCCACGGCGTCCAGGATCTGGAGCATATGCTGGGCACCATTGCGCACTGCTTCCGGATCTTAGCTCAGCTTGGCCTTCAAGTCCAGCATCGGAAGACACAACTCATTGTGGCGTATAAAGGACGGCAGGCAAAACAATGGTGGCGCGCTCACACGGCCTCCACTTCGGAGGGCCGCTTCCTACTCATACCCCAGCCAGGACACAAGGCGCTCCGACTGCCCATTGTTACGCAGCTGACGTACCTAGGTATAGTCCTCTCTTACACCGATGCCACAACTGCCACGGTTGAGCACCGATTGCAGGTGGCCGAGGCGCAGCGAGCCCGGCTTCTCAAAGTCCTTCACTCCCGTACACTTCCTTTGGCTAAGCGGGTGCAACTCTGGCTGGCCTGCGTCCGGAGCTCAGCCTTGTATGGCCCACACCTTGTAGACTTGCAACAGAGACACGTTACGCGTATTACTGTTACCTTGGTCAGGCACTTGCGGGCCATTGCGCGCAGTTTCGCGCACATGACTCAGGAGTCCAGTAAGGCGTTGTTGGCGCGTTTACACATTGAGGACCCGCTGCTTTATTTGCTGCAGCGCAGTCAAACGCTGCTTGCCAAAACTCAAGATTCCAGCGATCCTATGGTAGCCAGGCCTAGGATTATGAACTGGTTGGTCCATGTCACGGAATCTAAGCTGGCACTGACCTCGCACCTCGACCAAGCAATAGCCGAGCCCTCTGCCTTTGCTAGAGTTTCCCACTGAAGCGGCTAGGGTTACACCTCCTCCACTACTACCCGGCCCCCTTCAGGGAGTGCCGTACGGAGCTCAAGTCGCTGGCAAACACGGCCCCAGACCTACTCACTTCTCCTGTCCTACCTGTGATCTCTGGTTTCCGGACCTGGCCACTCTGAAACGGCACCATAATCAATTCCATGAGACCCCCTTGCCTAATCCTCTTCTCCAGATGGAAGCCGCGGAGGTCCGAAAGCATAGCGTCGACGGGATGCCAGTTTGTGTACATTGTCGCAAGGACTTCACCACCTGGTATAATTTTAGGAGACATATCACACAAGGACACTGTACCAGTCAGCGACAGAAGTCTGACCCCTCTTTGCGTGGAGCTGTCGACGACTACCCTTTCTGGTTCGATTGTCCCAGATAGCCCGGCTTGTAAGCCCTCTAGCCCCTCTCCTGTTTCAATCTCCGTCTCAGCTGAACATCCCCAGCCACAGGTCCCTCCCGAAATGCCAGTAGTCATCTGCGGCAGCGGATTGCCGAAAAGTGGGACATCTCATTTCACCCTGCGTTTTTTGCGGCACCACGGTTACACGCACAGACCAGCATGCCTCTACATGCCCAGTCCTTTGGCAGGCCCGTATCTGTTGTCTTGCTCAGGGTTGCTCGGTTTCACCTGCCCCCGCCCCGGTCACTCCTTTTTCTCGCGATGGCGACGGAGGACACGAACATGACCCTCGACCAGATTTGGAGGGCTTCTAGGGAAACGTGCCCTACAGACGGACTTAGCGGAGACTCCATCCAAATTTCAGCATCCAGGCGGAAAAGGCCCTCCGATGAACCGGAGCAGCGTCACGCGCCAACAGCAGCAACCGTTGACAGGACGCGGACGCCATACGGCCCCCTTTCAGGGGAGCCGGGACCGCGATGCCCCAGACAATCGCAGCGGACCCTCCAAGATGCCTTCGGAAGATCACGCACTGCTCCACCGAGTTGCCAAGGCCCTCATCGTTCAGGCGGACTACCTGTCGCGTCTTCAGAGCGATCACACCGTCATCTTCACGTTTCGGACAGGCAGCGGCCCACAGTTGATGGTGCCGCTCCTTCAGGAGGTCGCGGCAACCTGGCGCGAGCAACGCCAGCAGAACAAAGTGACCCGCTCCCTCAAGCAGACTCTAATTCAGTACATCGCAGCGGAGATCGTCACCAGGGTCACTGCCTTCGCGACCGACAAGGAGTCCCAGGTGAAGGCCCAAGAACTGGGGTGGATTACGTCGGACATGGAATACAATTTCTTGGACTGGGACTTCGAGGAGAAGAAACTCGTCCCCCGACAGGCGGAGACGCTCACCCAAGACCAGATTCTGGCGGACGCCAGGCGTCTCAAGACCTTGTTGAAACATCCGGATCTGATCCTAAAGTTCAGTGGCGGCCGCAATACCAAGCCCGACTCGACATCAGAAACAGCGACGTTTGTGTTGAGCTGTCCATGCAGCTACCCGAGGCAGCAGAGGCGATGGCGATCTTCCGGAAATGGTATGCCAACTCAGCGCTCCTGCTCCTCTCTCTCCGGCTCAAACCGGCCCGCCCAGAGCGGTCGCCGTTGATCAAGGAGATCCAGGAGGCCGTGGGATGGTAGATGGCAGGGAACTCAGGTCTGTGTGCATTCATGCTGCACTGCTGCATCTTACACTGCACAACCCAGACAATCTTTGCTACATAAATGCCACTGCGTACCTGCTAGCCTACATTCAACACCTTGCTGGACCCTGTACTCAATCACATGGCACCCAGTCTCTTGAGCGGTCACTACAAGCTTTGTTGAGTGATCCAGTCCCTATACCTGAAGAGCGGCTTACCATCCCTGATCTTCCCGGGTGGCACTCTCTCCTCAGCGGCTGGACGAACATGCATCGCCAGCAGGACTGCCTTGAGCTCATACATCACTTGTTTGACAAACATTGCCCGGCACACATGCGATGTCAGTGGGAGGCAAGACCGATACAAGGTACTGTTGCAGCACGCAGACCCCTTGTAAGTGGTCTTTACAGCATTGACCTCCCCCTTCCTAAGAAAACCTCCAGTGCCACCATCCAAGAATGCATTATTAGCTGGCACGAACAGAAGATTCCCCATGGCCTACTCCAAGCACCGCCTTACCTGCTCACCAGCCTTGCCCGATATGCAAATCCTGCCAAAGGGAAAAATAAGACGCGTGTCCCTTGTAAGGCCATGCAGCAAGTCAGCTTTCCCGTCTTTCGAAGTCCTGGACATGCGATCCAATGGGCCACCTACGAGCTGGTGGCGGGGATTCTACACCTGGGGCCCTCGCCCCAGCAAGGCCACTATCGTGCATTTCTTGCGCATCCACGTGATGCTCACACTGCCACACCCCAGGTGTTTGCTGCTTCCCGTCACGGAGGCGTCGCATCTGCAGGTGCATCGGGGATTTCGGCCCCTTCGGGGAGACCGTCGGCCCCTTCGGGAAGCCTGACCTACACCTGGTGGTGTACGGAAGATGGTCAAGTACCCGAGTTGTGTCATCCAACATATGCTCGGATCCTGAGTGAGAATTGCTATATTCTCTGCTTTCGTCTCACAAAGCTCTGATCTGTACAGCCAGTGATGCCGGTATTAGTGTTAGTGCTAGTCTTCGACTGTGGACTGCAAATCTTTGTAGTCAGGTCTAGACCTCTGTTTCAGCTACTCGTCAAGCTGATGGATGTACATGGCGATGTAACTTACAGCTCTTGTTAGCCGCGCTGAATTCAATCTTGAATTCGGCGTGTCGCCTACGCCGCGCAAGGGACCAGGGAACGGTTCTGCGATCGCAAAGTCAAAAAAGTCTCTCTCTCTCTCTCTCTCTCTCTAAACGACGGAGACTCTCTTCAGAGTCACTTCATAGTCACAAGAGTACAGGACTCAGGCCCGACCTCCCCAACACAGCAACAAGGCTTAAACCCAGCCTCTTCGATTTTCCGGGCGACAAGTGTTAAAAGATCGTGCTGCGAAGAGAGAGAAGTTATAGTATGGTTAAGTTAGTTTTTCTGCAGTTTGCGTTGCAAAATTCATATTGTGGCGCTCTTTTTTGTGTTGTTTGATACGTCATGTGTGCGTGCTTCTATCTTTGTAGAGGTCAGAAAAAAGAAATTAGAGGCCCAGAAAAAGATCCACCGGGGTCCGAAAAAAGACACGGGGTCAGTTACGAGATATTTCGGGGCCGAGAAAAAGACGGCTTAAATCGTGGAGGGATCGTAATCTTTTTCTAGACCTCTCGCGGGGCTGAAGAAAAGATGGAGGTCGGAAAAAAGACATGCCGGGGCGAAATCAAGATGGACCAAGCGCGGGGTCTGAAAAAAAATATTTCGGGGTCGAAAAAAAGAGCAGCCCAAAAAATGTATTTTTATTGCAGAATGCCTTCATAAGTTTAAGATGACAGCAATGAACAAAAATAGGGTAAATGGTAAAGTTTTATTTTCACGATTCCGTTTTTGAAATGTTTTACGTTTCAAAAAGCCCGAAGTTTTACCTTCGGTAGTTTCCGTGGTATTTTCAATTCTTGTCTTCAAAAACAATCTGCAATGACATTTAAATGCAATGGCTGCAAGAAAAAAGTTTCAATGAACTTCACACACTCGGACGCCTTCGTTTTGCAGTGGCAGACTGCGAATTCTTGACATCGGCAACAAGCACAGTAAGTTTAGTGTCGCGGACTCGCAGAGAACCGACTTGGTACCGACGTGGCCATGCAGCCAGTTGACTGCGCTTCGCCTTTGTTTGAGCAGGTTCCCTTGCAAAGTGACCCATCCCATCGACTCTCCGTCGAAGAGAGATGTCAGCAAGCTCTCTTCTTTGACACCTTGGAGCTCTTCGTGCGTGGGATGGACCGTGTTCGAGCTTCGTGCTCACGGACCATTGGCGCTTCTTCTTGACAAACTTTCGTGAAGTTCGAAATTATGTCTTGCATCCTTCGCAAGTGTACCTTTACATATGTTTTATTGCAGTTTAGAGCGACAGAAATCGAACGAAAAATAACACTTTCTGGGGTTAGCTCTCCGGTTAGGTTAGATTTCTAGCCTCAGAAACTGCTCTACCTTTTTCATCAGCGGTCGAAATCGGACGCGGGAGCACCGGACTTTTCGCCACTGGTCAAAACAAAGGGGTCCGAGTGCTGCGCGGCAGTACTGTTAACCACCTCGACCCCTTTAGCCCCACTGTACCGGTAGGCAACGGAAGCCGGGCTCGAACTTGTTGTTACGCTTCTTGTGGGTTCTTGGCGCGTGGGTTGGTTTGTTTGTTTTGGGTCTCTACAGCACACTTTGCCGTGTTTTTGCAAGGCCAAGCTATGCTAGCTGTGTCTTGTATTGTAGTCCGACCCTCCAATGCCGATGTCCGTGTTTTATTTTACCGTTCCACACAAACACAGGTGTTCTTTGTTCATTTACTTTCTGGTGTGTTTTGGTTTGGGTTTCGGTGCGAACTTGCGGAACATGTTTGATTTTTGTGGTTTGGGCAATTTCAACAGTACAATGTTGGGATTCCGAATGCCGCACTAGGTCCGCTAGGTTCATGGATATCCGTCCAATGTCTCGACAACGCTCTTGGTGACCAATGTCGCCATTGCAGCTTGGTTCAGAATGTCCTATGCGTGGCAGTGTTTATTTCTCATTGTTATGTTTGTGTATGCCCTGCATCATGCCTGATCCTGGTTACAGATGCCTTATTCGGAGACGAGTTCGCGTAAACTGTTAATTTTGCACCCAGCCTCCTCATGCAAGCACGCAGCAGCTCAGCAGGCATCAATCGCAGCACACTTAAACGGTATATAGTGCAGTAGTCTGTCTTATCAACGTCAGAAGCAACCATGACGCATGTGGAGCCCTCTGCAGACGATGTGCAAACTTTTCTGGATGAGCTAGATGATTGCCAAAGGCAAGGACACAGTGCTGTGGTTGCATGTTCTCAACTTTGGTGACACTGGGTGCTTGTCAAAGTAGACGTCGGACAGCCTTCTAGTGATTAGAGTGTCGTGTTAGCTTCCAACGATCGTGCTAGCGATGCTGTTTGATGACACAGCATGTCCGACATGTTGCTGTTGGTGTTGAAGTTATCAACTCATGCTCTGCTGGACCCGAACCATCCATGGCAGGAGTGAGGCAGTCGGTCGGATGTTGAAACTCGAGGACCAGGACTCCGTTTGTCAGATCGTGAGTGTAATGCGAGGCGTCATAGGGAGCCGAGGCAAACTGGTGGAATTGCAGCCCTGTGCACGTGCTCCAAGGTGTTGAGTTCTGATTCTGAGATGCTTGCATTGTGATATGCCGGATTCGGGGTTGCGCATCTGCTTGCATCGTCACTCGCAATGTCGCAGAAGGCATTACGAGTGAGAAGTCAAGAGGCTTTCGCAGGCTAGCAAAGGTTTGGACTATTTGTAGATGCCGCCATAGATTTAATTGGTCAACCACCCCGGCAATTTCATCAGGAGCGTTGGCTGCAGTTGCTCAGCAGCTTTGCTGCCAGACGGGGCTCTGCTCGACGAGTGACTTTCCGATCGCTCACTGGGGAGGCCATCCTTGCGAAGAGTTATGATGTGTCGCGGACCAGCTAGTTTGTTACAACGTTGCATGTGGGCACCTCGAAGACGTGCAAAGTGGCGTTGAGACGGGAAACAGACCAGTCGAAAGCGAATACGGCCGGGACGTTGGCAACTTTTTCGAGCTTTCAAGTAAACCCAACGCTGCTCCGAGCGTTACATGTCAAGGATACAGGGCATGACGGCATATTGCACTGCTGCGTTGGACCAGATCTCTCTCGACTACTGGAATTCTCACTAAGATGTCAGGCCAACCAGGACCGTGCCCATCTCTGTGTCCGGCGTTGTGTAACCGAACGTGTATTCAATTATGACCTGCAGCTTCACAGCCAAATCTTACAGTTGCGCGACAGAGCAACAACTTCGGCAACGGAAGACGTCGGAAAGCAGTCCTGTGGTTCGGTCTAGCAGTCGAGCGTGTTTCTGACTACCTGTTGAGGCTGTCGAATTGACTTTGCAGCCGAAGCAGAGACTTGGCTAGTAGACGCTGGCTGTGTTCCCGCAGCACTTTCAGTTGCTTGGACTGCTGCTTTTCTTGGAGTACTGGCTGTGGTGCCGAGGGTAGAGTTGCTCAAACCTGTGTCCTGGCGAGGACTCTCTTCTCCGCCAAGCAGACTCTCTTGAAGCAGGTTGAAGCACACATGCCAGCAGTCGAACCTCGCTACCGCCGTGATGCGCAATTTTTTGCTGGAGGCAGGAACTGCTCTGTCGAGAGGGGCCTTCTCCATCAGCTGATAGCTTGTGGCAGGCGACCTCCTTGTCGATCACACGCTTGCTGCCATGCTGCCGGACGAGGCTACGGATGTCCTCAAGCTTTCGAAGCTCCGAAGCATTCTGGGGCTCCATTTGCAGGTCTCTGTGGTGTTCAAGGAGGTGCTGCGAATTTCACCCGCATCCGACAGCGACTTAGAATCAGATGCGGGCTCTTCTTTGCATGACGCCTTTTTCGACGACTTCGATTGAGACTCGGACTGGAGTTGAAGCGATCTGTACAGACGAGCTCCCTCTAGCTTGGCCTCAAAGTGTGTCCGAATTTCGGGACGTAGCTGGCTGCTTCATGCAGCCTTGTCAATCGAAGGTTTCCTCTCGCCGGGCTATCGTACAGAATGCGGGCAGGGCAAAACAACAGCGACTTTCGCAGTCTTGGTGTTGCTGCACCGTGCAAGACCGTATCTGGATTCTCAAGCAAGAATGATGCACACAGCAATTTTTCGGATTCATAGGTCAGCCTTTGCAAACTCAGTCTTCACCTGACGTATGGAACCAAGCAAGCCGCAGCAAGCCGATCAAAACGATGGCATCTGATCAACGACCTCTTTCAGGCAGCATTGCCTTCTTGCTTGAAAATGGCAAGACTCGTGCAATCTCCTGCAAGGCTGTGAGGCCTCTGAGCTTGTGCTCCTTCGGCGGCTACACCGAGAGCTTTCTGCTCGGAGACTCAGTAAGAGATGGAGTGGATGTGGGAAACTTCCGTGCAGCTTGATGTTAGGACTCAGTTAGCGCCGGCCTGATCGCCGTTTGCAGCCAAGCACATCCCCAACTGAACGGCTCATGGCACAATGATGACGAATGCAGGAAGAGAGCTGTGTGTCTTTGTACTCGGAGCGGAGGGAACCCTGGGCCAGGGTGCTTGGGAAGAGAGGATCCAAGAGACTTGGGGAACAGACCGGACCGTCTTCGTGAGCTTTGGGAAGAGCCCGGAGCCGGAGCCTCTCGAGGTCAGCAATCGCACTCCCGGCGGCAATTGCACGCCTTCCTCCGTTCGCCGGCTTCGCCTGGATCCTAAGTTTTCCGAGCGTCCTTACAGGGCACTGAGCCTTTGGTCAGCACTGCGCGACGAGCTGGATCACTCTAACAGCTCCTCCTCCTGGCTGGATAGCTGCTACTGGCTCATGCACGTGGATGGACGTGCCTACGTCAATGTCAAGCGAGTCGCGCAGAGATTAAGTTGCGTGAGAGGCTTGCACCCAGAATATTACGGGCTGGGCCCTATGATCGGACAGGCACGGGTTGCTTTGGCAGATGAGGCTACTGGATACATTTTCAGCAGCAGGTTGCTGTTGAGTCTGCAACCTGACTGGGTCCCGAAGTGTGCGGACTACTTGTCGAGTAGCAGCGATGCCCACGGTTTTGGATGGAACTGGCCTTCGGGGTTTTACGTGACGCTGTGCTTGTGGCAACAGCTCCGTTTGCTGTTGCAGCGATTGGGCGACCCTGAGCAGGAGGTGCTGATGCAAGCACTTCCCCCGCAGCGTCACAGCTCGCCACTTCACCGTCTTCGCAACTTGCATCCTTCTGGACACTGTGTTCTGCTCGTGGCAGCTAAGACGCCCGCTAGCTTGTTGGAAATTCACCGGCGTGTGAGGCTTGTAGGCCCGCTGGAGGGTCGGGGCCGCGACATCGTTCGAAACGAGATCGGGTGTTCGGTATTATCAATTTTGGAGCCGATGGCCCTGGCGCCGGCATGGAGCTACCGCGTTGCGAGAAGTGTAGCTCGGTGTCCGTTGAAGGAGGCGGTCTCCCAAACTGAGCTGGGTCTCTCGGTGCTGAAGCGCGAACTCTTGGAGCCCTCGCGACCGAGAGGACCTGCTGCGGAGAAGCTGCGTGCGGCTCGAGGACGCAAGCTCTGCATACTGATGCCCACCACAGATGCAGCCCCGAAACAGATAAACAGGGCTGTGGCTGCTGTGGAGACCTGGGCAAAGCCCTACCTCCCTCAAACCTCGCCGGAGCCACACAAGGAGTCTCCAGTGCTGGCGCTTCTTTACAGTCGCCGCCCCCTCTTCCCGGAGTGGGCTAATGCCACCCTGTCCTTGAGGGGAGATGTCGACCTTCGGCACCCCAAGTTTAATGCCCTTCGCTTTATCTACATGTGGTTGACTCTTGCGCTGTATCACTGGTCAGCCGCTTCACAGCAGTTTGCTTTATTGTTGACAGGTTTCCTTTGCCATAAGCGGATCCCCGATCTTGATCCTAGGACTGCATGTTCTTCATGAAGGCAGACACGGACGCTTACGTGAACGTTCCCAGGCTTTGGGCGACCCTTCGAGCAGTAAACGCATCAGCAATGATCTACGCAGGGCAAGTCACCTTGGCACACGGCCCGGCGTATGAGAAGTGGACCGAATTCGCACACGGCCTTGGGTATGTATTGAGCCGTGCCGCTCTTCGCAGTGCAGTGCCAGGCCTCAGGCTTTGTATGAATCAGCTCTTGGACGTGAAGCTCGAGTCAATCGAAGATATGCTGTTGGGGGCTTGTTTGAAAAGAGCCAAGATTTATCCTGTTGAGTTGGGCAAGATTATCTTCGATTTCAAAATGACCAGCGAGCACGTTGACGGGGTCGTGAAAGAGGCACTGGTAACACACCGGGTAGAAGCGCAGGAGATGTACTTGCTGCATGATGCGGTGACCAAAGTGCCGTCTCGGAAGGGTCCGCGCAGGGCACAACGTTAACCCCAGTTCGCGAGCAAGGAGTCTTTATGTTTCCCCATGCCTGCAGCTGTATGTTTCCGTTCTCCTGCCAGGCAGCAGGCATTAATAGAGAACAGAGAGTTCTGCGGATCCTCCGACAGCGCCGGTTTGGATTTCAGGGCTGAAGAGGTTCTTGTTTGGTACTGCATTGGCTTGGGTGTTGATCTTCCATCACTCACCTTGCAGGAATCCTGCTGGTCGTGTCCCAATCCAGAGTGCTGACTGTAGCCTTCCGCCAAGGCTGTCCGGATCAGCCGCTGGTGGCGTGCGACATTGGGACGGTCTCACGGCTGCCTGGACATGTTCATGCTCTAAGAGCAACACACATTCCACACGTCCCAATCCTGGCTAGCTTTCTCCACGGCCGGAAAAACCACTGATCAAGCGAGGAATGGCTTGTGCGTGTCACAGGAGATCCAGAGCTTTCTCAGGCGACGTCTGCCTGCGCAGCTTCGAAAAGCGAGGGTCTTGCGCTGCCTGTCGCTGAGATCACTTCGAGACTCGTGATGTTGTTTCGTCATAGGAGCCGCGATACCACGATGGTGTAAGAAATTCGTGACACTGTCCACCACAAGGCAGCTGCGAGAGAATTCAAAAAGCCTGGAGATCGACACGGAAGGCACGAGAGATTCTGAACGGAAGCTTCTGTGACGTGCTCAGGGATGCACTGACCTTTGCGATTAGGGCATGGGGTTAATTGGGAAAAACCATGTGACGTGCTATGCAGCTGAGCCTTTCTGTGAGGTGCCGCCAAAGGCCCGACAGCCAGAAACGAGGAAAGCCGAGAAGGACTCGGAGCGCTCTGCGATCGAAGCGCTGCCGGCCGAATGTGCGGTCTACGAAGGCCAGGGGCTGTGGCCTTCTGTCCACTCTCCTTCCCGAGAGTTTGCTATGTTCTGTGACTCTGAAGCTGCTGGTCCAGTTGCTCTACGTCCGGTGCATGAAGCTGCGGCAGCAGTGTCGCTTCGAGTGCTGACGGTCTCAGGTGCTGAGCCTCAAAGCCGGGCGGCGGCACTCTGGCAGGGCTGCAAGCTGAGGTGACACTCTTTGCCTCGGACCGTGTCTAGTGAGTGACCTCGTGGCCATGACGATGGGGATTTCAGGGAGCTGTCAGCATGTCCACTGAGAATCGGGATGCATTCTGTGATACAGTCGCTATGGTTGCAGACATTTCTGGAGTCTTGCGGCGGGCCGCAGGCGCGCGTTTGCAACTCGAGCGGTGCAAGCAAAAATGCAGCTCAGGCCAGTAAGTGCTAGAATGAATGCGCTTGCCGGTAGAAAGCTCAGATGGCAAATTCTGCCCTGTGGAGTAGACTTCTTTCGGTGAGACAGCCAATTCGGTGTCCATGCTACATTGATGCCCATGTTTACCGGTGGACCTGCGGCAGAGGCGCGATCTTTACTGGTTGATAGTTGATGTCGCGAGCTCAACTACAGTTTCGCCTTATTTGTTCGAACGAGATGCCTGAGATTCTTCTCAGGTCGAATCCCGCCATCCGCCCAAAGTGCAGATGCAGGACGAGCTGAGTCTGTCAGCGGGTCAATCACCAACATGGTAAAGTTACCTGATAAAGTGATGCAGAGTGGAGCCATCTGCATTCTTTTGGCGGCAACACATATCAGTCGGGCCCACTGCAGGACCCCCATGTGGGGCCTTGGCTGGATGTGCTCTATGCTGGCCTGAGCAAGCTGCAAAGCGAGGCGCCTCGGGGCCTTGTACTCGCGATGGCCGAACCGGAGCTGCATGGCTTCCCTGCTGCCCTGCGCAGGCTTTGGCCGAGCTGGCTGCCGCTCTCCACGGCCGCCGCCTCCCTCTTGGCAGGCAGGGCGGCAGTGTGCAGGGAGGGCCAAGATGACGCCTTGCGTAGATCAGATCAAAAGACAAGGCTGGCTTTCTCTGCATCAGTCGCGTGCTCGCAGCCTGCCTGGGAGATTTAATTGGCATGAGCAGTGTCGAGTCCAGCTGTCGGTGAGGAAGAAGCGTGGGACGGTTTGACATTGGTTCCTTGATATTCCCTGATGCGTGTCATTCGTTTGTGCACAACCTTATCAGCCGGATGCCTTTGCGCAGAGAAGCAAGTTCATCGAACATTTTTTAAGTCTGAAATCTTCAGGGCATTCGAGGTCGCTCCAACCTCATTGCTCATCAGCCCTTCTAAGCCCTACAGCACCTAACCCCCCACTCCTCACATCTCCATCTCTGCACGACCGCCTCGTTCCAATGCCGGCCGAGCTTGCAGACCTGGACCGATCCTGCGGCTCCTCGGTGGACGTACCGTGCGACAGTGGTCATTAGAGCCTTGTGGAGTATTGGCAGTGGGATAACGTAGCTGTTGGGATTTTCGTGAGCAGGGCCGCGGGCATCAGAGCTATGATTGTTTTTCTCCAGGTTTCGAAGTCTGATTATCATGTCGTGGATACCTGAAACTGTCAATGTCTCTCAGACTGAGTTGCAACCAAGGTGCGATCAGCATTTTGCCCAGCTCGCTGCTCTCGTTGTTTTCTGATCATAACGGTGTCGGCGATGCACATGGTGGGCCCTGCCAAGGGAACCTGTAAACAGGGCTACTAGGCTGTTGGTTTTGCAAGGTTGTCATGTATTCCGCGAGAAGGGACAACGTTCCAGCGGCTTCTTTCCCTTCGCAGTCTGGTGTTCAGATCGGAAAGCTTGCTTGCGTTTGGTTGCCACGCTTCCCTGAAGTTGCGCATGACTTCACAGCCTCCTCTGCTGCAACGTGGGAGCCCCAGGCATCGTGTTGCCAGCACCCTGCTGTATCTCCTGTTCTAAATGACCTGCTGATGCATGAGGCATGATGCCAGCTCCTTCCTGGCATTGCGGCCGATAGCACCGGAAGAACACTTGGTCGATCGGAGAAGTTAATGGCCTTACGAATCGTTGGTGCAGTGTGGCCAGCGGCCGACCACAGTTCGAACTGCCGCTTAAGCCCGATACGATGCCTCGGTTAAGGGGCGCGATCTGCAGCTGCGGGTGGCCGCAGCGGTGAACAGCAGTATGGCCGCGTCCCTCATCGGACACTTCGGCACCAATCTTAAGAGGTGCTGATCCCAGTTTGAGACCCTTCCGACATGAACAGTTGTTCTCTAGGCCTTCTAGGCACCTGATCAGGGGTGGTCTGAGTTTGTTGCGGTGCAACGTCGCATCAGCGATTCTGACAGCTCCTGGTCTTTGAAGCTTGGTCTGTATCCTTTCGCTCCGAGGATTGATTGCCGGAAAGCTGTGCTGCAAAGACAGACGACCGAAGACGAAGGATGGGGAGGTCCGATTGAAGCTTAGCTTACCCCATGTCTTGCGACGACCCTGGATCGTGAACTAGAGGCTGCGCACGCATCCTAAACCATGCATGTTGACTGGTGTGGTAGTCTTTCATGCAGTACTGCGCATCTTGGTGCAGGTTGCACTTTCTCCGAAAAGCTCTGCATCCGATTCTGAGCTCGAGGAGGGAACCGTCTGCCGCAGGCGGAAGCTTCTTTTGGGGGCTCTTGTGATGCAGGTGGTCGTCTCCATGGGCCAGGACGAGGCCGAGCAGGCCCGGGGAAGATGCGACGTCGTGACGTGCATCTTTGAGCTTTCCAGCGCCTACAAGGAGGAATCTGCATAAGCTGCATAAGATGGTCGCGACGACCCTCCACCAGCGCTGATGGGAGGTCGTTCCGAACAATGACTCCACTAAATTAGGTTTAACTAGTGTGAGGAGAACTCACGGGCAGCACGCGACGAGTTTAAGTGGTCACATGAATGATAGGCTGATAGGCTTTGCCAAATTTCTGGTCTTTACGGCACTCACGCGACGGTGCTGCTGACAAGAATCGTTCTTGGGAAGAGAGCGATTCACAATTGTTTGTTGGCTCATCGGACTTGGGCCTGTCCTGGTAATGTCTTCAGCTTGACATGCCTGGCGCGATCTTTTCGTGTTCCGGTTTTAGGCCCTTGTGGCTGTCTATGTCAAGTTGGTCTCACTCGAAGCACAGCTGTCCCCGTAGCGTGAAGCTGGAGACCCGAGGCCCAGCAAGGCATTGTGGCACACCAGCCTGGCCCGGCAAGAAAGAAGAAGAAGGATGTTTCTGAGTTTGTGATCCTCAGGAAAGCATGCTGGGTCTGCACGGAAGCAGTTTGTTCGCGCTTTTGCGCTCTGCAGGCCAACCTTCCGCGGTTGGCCCAAGGACTTGCGACGCCTGCCCCAGCTGGCCACCAGGCACTGAGAGATGCCCAGTGAGCTTCAGCCTACGACGGTGCCATGCAGCCATGTCAGGTCGCTGCGTGAAGTCGGCGAGCTCTGCTCTCAGCACAGACAACGCAGTGCATCCCGCACTTCTTCAGCGACGCGGTATGAATACAAATGGCAGCGGCCACATGTTGGTTGTTTGACAACTCATTTCTGCGCTCGTGAACATTCGTGTCGACCGAAGCCAAACGAGAGTCACGTTGCACCAACTCCGCTTCCCAGATCCAGAAAAACGCTCCTTAAGCGGCGGCCTTTCCAAAGGACTTGTCGTTTGCGTCCAACTTTTGGTTCTACGAAGCCCCTCCATCCTATTCAGATTCGGTCGACTGGAGCCGCAACCCCTTCTGTCTGCCACCTGCAATGCTGCGCGAATCAGGTCTGCAAAGGAACAGGAAGCCGACTCGCATTGTAGACACACCGTCTGCATCTCAGGGTTTTCTTGCTGTAAACGAGGTTGGCCTTAAGTCCAACTGCTTGACCGGAAGGCGAGAAAGGGATTGCGCAGAGATTCGTGCGTCTCGCATCGGCGACGTTGTTGCTCAACCTAGCTCCAAGATGCTTGCGCAGACATATAGAAGAGCGGGCGCGCAGATTCGGTGACATCTCTTCGGATCAGCCAACGAGTCTTCAGTCAAAACTTAGATGGGGATCCTGGATCCGAGCCGCCGGCCATGGCCATGTCCATGATGGCCCCGCCGGGGCATCTCCCTGGACCTTGGCCTTGATGGCGGCAAAGAAGAAAGCTCAGGCCAAGCCAAGGGGCCTAGCTGGCCTAGCTCCCGTTCTCGCTTACGCCGGGGATTCTCGGTTTCTTTCATGCGCTCCTCTCCTGTGTGTTGTCCTGCAGGCCATCTCTCAAGATGTCCCATATGTCGGTCCCTGTCTGGAAGCTTGACGTGAACACTTTCGAGAAACCATGCTATGTTGTTCTTCAGAGTCGATGATGCCCGTTTCTTTCAGAAACTCCGTCGGTACTTCAGATCTGTACCTGGTAAGTTTGACTCCAAGAAAGACGCATGAAGCCAATCCCGAGGCTTAGCGCCGCTTTGACCTCAGAACTCTGAGCACTTAAGCAACTTAAACATGACAGGACATCTAGAGCACTCCCTGAACTCCTGAGAGACTTTGCATCCTGCGAAGTCCTGGCTAAGATCCTCGCATGAATCGAAGATGCACAAGTTCCCATCCCTGTACTGTACGGAAGTACCCGTGCAAACTAGGCCAACAGTCAAAAACTCACATGCACCACCTTCACAGGCCAGCTAAAAAGCAAGTCCTTTTGCACATGCTACGTTGCCAACACGCATCAAGGGCATGCATGGAGCGTGTGTTTCCGTGACAGTTGCTACAGTGGAGGCCCCACCACCATCGCCGGTGCGTCGCAAAGAGGATGAAGGTGAATCGGGCCCTGTCTGGAATCCTCCATGGGTCCACTACTTTGCCAGGCACCTACCGCTACCGCCGCGCGGCGTTCGCCCGGGCGCGGAAAAGCTTGGATCGCATCAGGCCAGGCACTGAGTTGATGAGACTTTCGATGGAATGGGTGGCCAAAACCTTCCGCTGCCTCTGTAGTTGGCAGTTCGTCAGGACTGAGGCGAATGACGGTGATGAGCCCCTGACGGCAGTCCAGACAGAATTTCGCGTGCAGAAGTGGAGGATCATCCGCAGATCCTTGGTTGCTTGAGCCCAGCCAGGCTGGAGAGAAGGTTCGGGGTGCTTTTGCATCCATGCGCAAGGCCTGGCGTGAATTCAAGCTTGACGAAGTGCTTGCACCCATCACTACGAATTAACCCCAACTCCAACTCCAACTCAGGGTGTCCACGCGGCCCTGATGTTGAAGCGGGTCGTGGAGGTGCAGCCATCTGGGTCCGTCGGGCAGATGGCGGATGCAGGCCGGGGCCCGGGGCCACCCGGGGCCCAGGGCTTTGCTTTGTAGGACTTTGACGTGCGCCGCCGGAGTCCAAGCGACAGGCAATGCCGCAGGAACGGACTTGACAGTGGGGAGGCTGCTTCGACGAGGCTATGCTTCTTGCACTCGTCTTGCTGGGAGTTTTTGGCATAGTGGCCGGGGAAGGCTGCAAGTCGGTTAGCTGCTGAGAGGCTCGAGGGACAGCGGAGATCCACTAACTTCGACAAGCTTCGGTGGTATCTTGCCCGAGGAGCCAACTTCCACAATTCCACGATTAAGATGCCATTCAGCTTCACGGATTCTTGACTTCTGAGGACCGGCTGAGACAACGAAAGGAAAGCTTGGGATGCCTGTTCCAAGGCACGGTCGCGGGGCACGGAGTGGTATATGTGTGGCACGCATCGAAGATGCTGCGGCGCGAAGTCTTGTGCACCTCTGTTGAGGTGAAGTGAGGCAAGGTCGCAGACCATCAGGCAGGATGCGTCAAAGAGCATCCTGTGAAGTTTTCTGCCAGCGTCCAGGACTCAATCCTTTGCTTCAGCTCAGCATCTTCGGCACGAGGCTGGAGTTTTCCTCTCTGAGGATGCCTGGATTGAACTTACGCCGTACACACGACAGAACAGGACTGCGACTACATCTTTGGAGGAGTCGCAGGAGAGCCCGTCGAAGGCCTGCGGGTAAATGACGCTGCAATGCAATAGAGAAAGATTGCGTGCATACAGAGACCGTAGGACCTCGTATGCCAGCTCTGCAGGTCAGGCAAGCTGAAAAGAGTACGCCGCGACGAAGGAGGCGGCGAAAAAAAGCGGCGGATGACGGCATCGGTGGCACCGAAAGTGAAGACGAAGACGAGAGTAAAGAGGCAGTGCCCCAAAGCAAATCACCATCGGTCAATGCATGCCCAGAGCACCACTGTATCGGATTTGCGAGGACGGAAAGCACCGCAGACGAAGGCACGAGAGGAATGGGGACGAGGAAGACGTTGGCGACAGCGACCTCCAGGAGGCATGCAACCCAAGACTTAATATTCATTTTCATTTTGCAAGAGGCCTGTTTTGGGGCAACGAACGGCTCTGCACTGTTGCCGAGGTTGGTCAAGCCAGGTCTCGACGTCGAGGGCGACGGAAAGACAGAAAGACGGCAGACCATGGCGACGCTGTCCTTCCCCGGAGTCCCGACGAGCCCTTGGGCAAGTCGCAGGACTCTGGTGCTTTTTGACAGAATTCCAGACGGCTATTGCTGATCCTTGTGTCGCAGGAGAAACGCAGAGCTGCACGTCGAGGAGGTGCTGCCGAGGGTCCTCTCAGCGAGAAGAGCGAGGAGGGGGAATGTCGTCGCTTTTTTACCCTCTCCATCCATTTCCGAAGCCCGTGCTGTCTGAGCATCTTCATTAGCTAATTAATGCGTTGCCGAATATCACAGTGTGTAGTGGCGGCATTGTGCCCCCTTGACGATCACCCGCAGACGCTTTTCTGTATTACCGTAAACCTGACTTGTTGCTCGCAGGATGAGAGTGGCAGTGAGGAGGATTCCGACAGCTACACCGACAGCGAAGAGGGCGACTACTTTGACCCATGGGACGGCGACTATACAGATAAGCCAGACAAGAGGAGATATCTGAGCCTTGCCAGCAGCCGAGCTGAAAGTTTTAGGCTCGCATGGAAAACCTTCATTCAAAGCGGACACTCTCAGTGTAGCCGGCAAAGCACATGTCCAGCGTGACGTGGCAACTTCAGTCGGAACGCGTAGCACTCTGCACACCTTGACGGATCACGGCATGGAGCTTGGGAGTGAGGATTCCGAACAGCTCGGAAGTCTCCTTGGCAGAGACCGTTCAGTCGTCCTTCTTACCAAGGCACGGCTGTCTGAGCCGCGTCAGCTCGAGAAAGCTTGGCTTCAGGTGTGCCCAGAAGTCTCTCCGCTTCGGCCAGCGGCGCTCAGCGCGGAGGCACGGACTCCGCGGACTCCGGACTCTTTGCAGCGTGTGCTTGCAGCTGCGAGGCCCGGGTTGGAGCTCCGGGAGGCGGAGGCGAAGGGACTGGCGAAGCACCGCGGCGTCTTGGAACTGGAGCCGAGCGTGAGCAAAGAGCAAACTCACCCTATGCCCTCATCTGCGTTGCCGTGGCACCAGGAGATGCGCGACTGCCTCCTCGAACTGCAGGACGAAGTCTTCGTTCGGACTTTGTTTGTTCTTTGCTTTTCTTGAAGCTACAAATCTGCCGGTGTCCTTTCTGGCAAGCTTTCCGAGCCTGGTGATTTGCGGCTCGGTAGAGGTTAAGAAGGATTCCAGAAACTTTCGCAAGGTGCAGCCCCTTGCATAGGCCACAGTTCACACTAGGAAACATACTGCACGACACTTGAAGGGCTTACACGACGTGAGATGCCGACCTTTTCCTGCTTCGGGCTATCCCTGTTTCTGCTACCGAAAAGAGACATCCGCAGGCGGGTTGCGACGAGCTGTCCGATAGCGCGGTCTTCGGATGGCCTGGGAAGGAGCCTGCCACGGCCCTCACCTCTTTTCGACCCTGGACAGAACTCGGGAAGGAGCTGTTACGGCTGCACCGGCTCTGTCGATGTGCCGTGCTCGGCCTCTGCGGCGTTTACAAGGCCGAGAACTGCTTGTGTTGCATCATCCATGGTGGCGGGACTTTTCAGCTCACTCTCGCTTATGTTGAACATCGATATCGGAGGAGTTGCTGGCGGCAGAGCGCCCACGAACCCCACTGGGCCTGCTTCAGGCCGCATGGGTCCGGGCTAACGATTGGACCTTTTGCCATGAAGCTGAAGCCGTGCTTTGCGACTTGAGGCAGTCATGTCATCGGTCTTCGAACGGTGTATATCTGAAACATTGCAGCACAACCAGAGCGCAGCACAGGGGATGATGCGTGAGTGGCTGGTCAGGAGCAGGCCCAGCTGCACGAGATGCTGCGCTTGTGTCGCAAGGCATGTTCACTAGCCGGCAGATGTTGCAAAGTACCATGCGCACTTGAGTGGCTATCTATCCGCAGTCTCACACACAGCTGCAGGCTGCCCGCCGCGTCGCCGAGCTGCGCCGCCTCTGTCAAAGTAAGGATTGGAAGTGGCTGAAGACTGAGCACGGACCCTGGGAACAGGCGCGTGCCTGGTCTTTGCTCAACAGTCCTTGATCCGAACACTGCAACACGCTTCGCCACATGCTGTGCGAGCCCTGCCTTCTCCAGCTTTCGGCACCCATCGCTTCGCCACGCCGCACTCTGCGGGCAACGCCTCTCAGCTGCAATTTCGCCCTTGCAGCGGCTGGCCTCGAAGTTGCGCTGGCCGGTTGGCCGGTAGGAAGATGCGCGCGGAGAACCAGAGCCAGGACCGCAATGGAGTCATGGAACGCCGAAGATCTCCTCTCAGGCCTGTTCGGCGGCTTAGTCGCTTAGTCGCTTTGCCCTTGAAGGATGCCTCGCCTCGGGGCGCAGCGCCTGAGTGGCACACCGCGTCTGCCCGGAGCCCCGGCTGGCGAATTTCATGGCCATGGACCAGAAGAGATCGAGTTTGCGAGGTCGAGTCCCTGGAGCTTCTCCAGAACTCCCTGGGCTCCATGGACTTCCTCCAGGGAGATTGGGCAAGCAAGTCTCTCACAGGAATCTTGGCCGAAGCGGAGGCTTGCGCCAAACTCCGAAAAAATTCCTTGTTCATTTCTTTTTTTCCATTCCGGCGAAGGATCTACCGACTCTCTCCGCACCTGGAACGACGACTTCCGGCTGTTTCCCAGGTTCTGCCAGGACACTTTGCAGGCCGGGGGTGTTGTTGAACAGACGCCGCATGAACGAGGGGCTAACACTTGGGGCTCGGTGTCCGTAGATTTGGTTGCAACCTTCAGCAAGCAGCGACGATGGGCTGCTGATCTGCCAGGAAGCGAAGCAGTCGCGAAACCGATGGTCCCAGGAGAGGGAGCGCCTCTCTCTTTGTGGCCCTTATCAGACAGGCAGGTTGCAGCTTTAGGCTTTAGGCGGTGCTGCCACAAAGAGAGAGCAGAGCTTGCTTGCAGGTCAGTGCCCTGGTCGCTGTCCTCATGGTTTGCAGCATCGCTGTGTGCACTGCAGAGGCGCAAGCAGTGTGGAAGCATGGTGGTTCTGAGCTCCCTCACCTCACCTCTGCATGTTGTTTGAAGGGGGCGGGCAGACTCACATTATTTCAAGTCCTTTTTTGTACCAAGCTCTATCTTCAAAGGTCAGATGCATGGGAGGCAAATGCAGGTTGCGCTGCTTTTGCTTGCACAGCAGGCCGCCACCCTGGCAAGAACTGCAACCCATCGAAGGTGCTTTGCCAAATTGCTGACGGGAAACTTCTGCTGACTGCACGCGATGGACCGTCAGGTTGAAAGATCAGTGGAGGGCCGGCCCTCCAAGAAGCCAGCAAAGCAGAATGTCAGCGAGGCTGCAAGTTGGAAGCAGCTCTTAAAGTCTTAAATCCTTCCTTCTGAAGTAGCGGCAGTATCAGACTCCGGAACGTCCTCGCATCCTAATTTGGGGGACTTGCTTCAATTCAACGATGTCGGCTTTCTGGATTCAGTCATGCAAGCACGTCTTGTCGTATCCTGACTCCAGGCGCGACGAGGAAGTGGGGCTGGCAAGTCGCGCTCGGAGACGATTCCAGGCACCATGCGTGCGCTGTCCTCTGGTCCAGCATCCAGAATCTGCGCCCCTAGCCGTCGCTCCACCCTTCGGAAAAGAAGCCTGCAGTCTTCAATGCAGAATACATTAGAAGCTGTGAAGGTGCTTCCACGAAGGAGGAGGAGCTTGAGATCCTTGGGAAGACGGACCAAAGGCACCTGCAGGCCGAGCTCATCAAGCGCGCCAAGCAAGCCGTCCGGGCCCCCTTCAGCCCTGCTTTCAGCCCCTGCTTTCCTGTGCCGTGCTGAGGTGAAGAGTCTGATGCTGCTCCTGGCCCGGCTGCCGAGCGCCGCGCGTGTGGACGACTTCCCGCGGCTGGCGGCCTTCGTGCGCTCCTTCGAGGCAAGGACATGCGCCGCCGGCGCTGTCCTGTTCTTCTCCATGGCCCAGCTCGACATAGTGCCAATATCACCATGCGTATAGAATCCTCACAGCCCGGCCTTGGTGCCATTTCTCCATAAGTCTGCGGTGGTTCCCTGGTGACAGGAGCAGCCCAAGGCCGCAAAGACCCAAGGTATGCAGGCAAGGACGCCCCGGCTTTGGATGGCTGGGGTTGGGGCTTCATGATCCTTAAAGCAGCCAGCCGACATGTTGCTGCATTGCTGATTGAAATTCCAACACGGGACACAGAACGGCCAAGTTAGTCGGGCTTTCTCACTTACACGTCACATGTCAAGAGAACCGACACGTCCATGAACAGTGGGCATGTGGCAAGATCCGTGGCGCAGATAGGAAGGTTTCCAAGAGCGGTATGACCCGCCAGCCTTTGCTTCCTTCTGTTTCGGGGGCAGTTCTGCCAGGCAAACAGAGAGAAATAGGCACTCTGCTTGAGTCAAAGTCGTGGATGGAGGGCTCCCCGCACGCAAGAGAACTTTGAGAAGAATAGGCATTGCCGAATTACGGACCGTTTACTTTGTAACAATTGCCCGAAAAGGACCTCTATGCGCAGCAGAACTGGTATAAATTTCTCTCGTCAATACATCTTCGTAAAGGATCTCGGGAACAGCTGTTGAGCCCCCGAACCGGCCGCAGTGTTTCGCTTCATGTTTGTTGTGTGATGTCGAGCGTATTCGGGCAACAGCATACTGTAAATCTTCGTCAACATGCGACGATGGGCTTTTCTGCATATTGAGATTCTCTATTCGCCACATCACTGTTGAGCTGACCCTGCCAGGCCGACGCTCGCCTCCAACACTTACCATTCCATCTTGCCCGCGGCATGTCGAGGCAAGAAGCGTGGGAAAACCCCAAATGTAGGCGATGTGGTGGCATATGGTGGCATATGGTGGCATGCAGTGATTTGCATTTTTTCATCGCTGTCCTCAAAGCGACACATGCCAGCTTCTGAGGATGTGATGAAGATGTGCAGCCAGATGGCAGTGAGCCGTGTCAAAAGACGTTGCGTTAATGATCTGGGAGGCCTTTGTCAAAGACCAGGCTCAATCCACAATTTTGTTGGTGACGTTGTCTTGGCAACCAAAGAATCACCAAATGGCCAAAGTGCCCGAGTCCAGACGTCCATTTGCGGACAAGTGACCTGTCAGATAATTGCATTCTTGGGCTGCTGGCAGAGCGCGTATCTATTCCTGAAGCATTGGTGGTGAGTTATGGCAGCTGATAGCACCCTAAGTGGGACAGCAGCCTGCGCACGGGGCATGCCCGCCGTTAGCAGCTCAAGGTCGTGCCAGTTTTCGGATCTCGCAAACAAAACGCGATGCCAGCTGTCAGCTTCCTTGACTCCACTCCATGTTTTCATTCTTTCACACCTGCCTCCGCTTCAGGAACCTCGCCGCTGTCCACCGGGGCGGCGGACACCTCCCAAGGATTGGTCCAAGGTGTGGAGCTTGGGCCAACGGGGGGGTGCTCTCAGAAGTTCGTGTGGCAGGTGGCTCCAAAGGTTCGTTGCTGGGACAAGGGCCAGCCTCTGCCCGTGGCTGGAGCCGCTGGAGCCCCTGGTGAAAGACCCGTTCCGTTTAGATGCAGAAGTGCTCAGTCAGGTCTCTGCCGGATATCAGAGCGGTGCGAGCACACCGACAGGTCAAGTCCTCAGGAGTCTGATCCGGCTTTCCGTTCGCTGCGGAGAGACATCACTTCACCAAGGCCGGCGACCACTGTCCGGCTCACGGGGAGCGAGTCCACAAGGTGTCGGATGTCTCATTTCATGGGCATGGCCCCATGGCGCTTTGCACTTCGTTCTCTGTGCGACCTGGAATTGTGGGGATCTTGAGGGGCTCACATCGATGCCAGGTCCAGCGACGCAGCTGCCAGTAGCAGTAGCTCCAGAGGCGGCCGCTTTGAGACACAGCGAGTGACACACGTCCTCTTGTGACCGGGAGGCTCTACTTCGGCAACGGCCACGGCCCGGACATCTGACGAAGGTCGCTGTGGCCATTGAAACACCGGGCGCTTCAAAGCGATCTTGAAACTTCGATGTTCCGCGCCTCCTTAGCTCCTTCCTTTCCCGACGGAGCGGTGAAAGACACCGCTCTGGCCGGATTGTCTAGCAGAAGATCCGTGCGCTGGAGTTCCTGCGTCGCAGGATGACCAACTTGGACCGCAGAGAGATCAATTAAAGCCGGACCGGGACCCCCCCTGCGATATATCTACCGAGGCTCTCTGTCCAACACTTCAGCCGACCTGATACCTCAGTGCACTCGTGTGAACTTTGTGCCTATTATTTGCGCAAAAGCTTTGGGCGCAGCTTATTTGCTCCAATTTTCGTGTTTGGAGGGCAGAGGTTTGGAAGCACCCGAGCATCATGTCGCTTCTAGGCTGCACGAAGCTTCGATGAAGAGAGACCCTTCTCCCTCCTGGAACTCCAGAAAGTGTCCTCTGTCTCGAATGCATTTCTCCTCTGCAGTGAACATGCAGTGGTGCCGTCTAGCCACTGAGGAGCTTGTCCTTCTCTGCACAGCAGGTTCGGGGTCCTTTATTGCTGTACGCATAGAAGCAGAGCTCCACGCTGCAGGGCCTGCAGGGCAGGCTCGAGAAGCTGGACCTGGCATCCGCCGCATCAGACCGCTGTTCGGAAGAGTGCGGAGCTCGGACCTACAGAACAGAGCGACATGTTGTGACAGAAGATATTTGTCGCGGAAGGTCCTATGGCATGGGAGGGGCGATCCCTTCCTTAGCCTCTGGCGGAGGCGGCGAGTCCGACAGGACACGAGTTCTCTATCGCCCAGCATGCCTCGTCTGAAGCCGTCAACAGCAGCATATCTCTTTCCTTCAGGAAGTCTATCCATGCTCTCAATGGACAAGTCCTCAGCTGCATCAGATTCCGTCTGCCTTGTATTGCGTGAACAGTGTGGCCACCCCCACCCGATCCAACCGACCCGCAGGGCGAGGGGCCGGGGACGATCGACTGTCCAAGATGTCGAAGCTGCGAGAACGTCAATCAAAGGTTGTGCAGGCGGGACCGGGACGGCCCTTCCCTGCAGCTCCTCGAGACTCCTTGCAGCTCCACTGTGGCAGGCTTTGAAACGCCGGGGCACGACTGAGAGCTCAGGTGAGCTTCTGCTTGCTGGGGTTGCTAGTTGATTATTTGATCGACGAGTGGAGGTAATGCGGACTCCCCACGAACGGAGCTTGCCCGCCAGATGTCGGGTCTGTCAGATGCCCGCACCTCGGACCGGGCAAGGCGGGTAGGAGCGACAGAACGAACTTGGATCGTGATTGAGCCGGTAAGCACGTAGGCATGGTAGAGCCTGCACCACTAGCAGAGAGAGAATTTCAGGGCTTCAGCCGAGCGGCCTGTCATGTGTCACGTCCAATGACTCTGCAATGCTGTCCGCTTTTGCACGCAGCAAACGACTGCCCAGGTGGCTACCGAACCGAGTCCATATCATTCATGTGTAGAATCAGGAATCGGAATGAGCGGGAGCTAGACCGGCTAGACACAGGGACCGTTGCCCTATGTTGCTCTTCACTTCGCAACTCGCAGACGTATTCCGCGCATGGACGCATGGCGCTGGCTGGCTCTTGTACTGAGCTTGTGTGCAGCCGGCCGAAGCCCAGCTCCAGCTGGCTGCGCGCAGTCTGAAACTCTGGACGAGTTGACCCTACTGCAAGTTGAAACGGCCATCGATTTTGATTCAAGAAGAGGCTCGCTTGAAATCCACAGGAAAGCACCGGTGCACAACTTGCCCGAGGAGAAGCTCAACTGCTGGCTGCGTTTGTGGCGGATTTCTCTATTTGTCTTGACTGGGGCGATTGCTCATGGCTGGCTTTTCCGGCCATGGAAGCCAATCTTCTTGCTGCTCATCCCACTGGGAGTGGCCGCCTTCCCGGCGTTTGTAGCTTCAACATCGTCCGATCACTCGGATCACCTGTTCTTCCTGATAAAGGCCTGTAGCATCTCAGCTTTCATGATGCTCATGACAGCTTTGTGCATAGCATGTGCCCCGGATGAAGCTGCTTGGCCCTTTAATGGTTGGGTCCACGGCTTTTGTGTTCGCCACCTCAGAGGTTCTGTCTGGCCACATATAGTGCTTTACCTGCTTCTTTGTGCGAATATCCTCGAGGCGGTGCTGACTGACCTGTCGCATCAATGCTACCTGAATGCTCTCACAGGCCTCTGCTTGATAGCAAGTACTCCCGTGCCGGGGGCAGCGCTTTTCCAGTATCCCTTGGAATGGATTCGAGACTACGACATGGCCTCAAGGCAGGCAGAGCTCCAGGGTCTTCATCTGGAGCTCGACGAAGACCTGAGAGCTCGGATTTCAGATTGGTTTGTTGTGTTGATGGAGACAAAGAGTAGACGCTTCGGCGATATGTGTTGCCGACTTCCAGTGTCCTGGGTGTGGTTGTACACTTCATGGAATGCTCTGTTCATGTTTGACGTCCGACTTCTGAATGACTGGACTTTGGCAATCTTGCTCGTGCCAATACTGGAGAGCCAGAGAATTCTCTGGGTGTTGCAAAGCCACGGAACAGCTTTGGACGCGTGGATGAATTCATATTGGCTCCAGGTACGAGCTTTCAGTCTTTGGTCCTGGGTTGCTCTTGACAGTCTGTTGCTGAAGCTTCTTCCGGAGCCTGCCCGCCCTGCCGAATGGTTCCAGCTGTCGGAACACGATGAGGATCTTGCTCGCCACTTCTGGGGTGTCTTCAATCTTGTTTGGGCAGTCCTCCACCTCGTATGGTTCTGGCATCGGGTCTATCGACTTCAAGCCGGGACTGAGGAGGGTGCAGAGGTTGGGAAAGCTGGGGCATGTGGGGAAGGTGCGGCGAGCAGATAAGGTATCCTGGTCGGAGATTTCTCTGCATAGGACCTCAACCTTCGGGGCGGATGCCCTTGCCGATGCACTCGGTGCAGCGGAAACCCGTCTCACAGGCTGTTGAAATCTTGAAAGGAGTAGAAGACGTCAGGCTGAAATTCCAGCCGCCGATCACATCGGAGTCCTGAAGCCAACCCCTCGCAGGGTGGGCAAGCCTTCGGGGACCTCACGGCCAGAACGCGTTATGCTTGGATCAGTTGATGTCAATTCGGGTGTTGCTTAAGAATAAGTGGACGGTCGCCCTTCCGGCATTCCGAGGCTTAGCAGACAAAACACCACCACCAGCTTGGATGGAGCGCTTTGCTGTGTGCTGTGAGTGTTGTGTTTGCGAGCATTCGAACCTTCATGCCACTGGCAGTATGAGAACAGGAAACGAGCCCCAAGCCGCACCGCGAATCATGACCGTGAACGACATGACAAGGGCGGTGGTCCCAGTGCGGTTTCTTTTTGTGCCAGCATGGTTGTGCTAGCATGATAAAATCTTCTTGCGACTGTGTAACAAAACTCTGCCGGGCTTCCCACGAAGTGAATGGCAGCTGGGCTGTTTGCAATTACTCAGTGGTACCCTTCAAGCTTTACGGCGCGCCATCTCGCAGTTTGAAGTCGGACTCGGTCAGATGTCCAAAATTAGACACTGCTCAGGTCCTCGTGGAGGTTCGGGATTCTCAGGACCACCCAGCACCGCTGCTGAGGTTATTGCTTTGGAGCTGTTCTAGAGAGCATTGGTAGGCCTGTCGGAAGTTTTGGTGACTGTGTCGCGGAGATGCAAGCTGCAAGTTCTCGTTCGGCCTCGGCTCACAGCGCCCTCTCCTGGGGCGACCCGACCTTCTCCCTGGGCTGCATAGCGTTTTGGGCCCGCCTGCCTGCACCAGGCGCAGTTCACTGCGACGCGGCCCGGGCCTTCACAGACAGGCTTGGAAGATGGGTCATGCCAGGATGATGCGCCGCGGCATTCGTAGCAGCCTGCGTGCTCTGCCTCGTCGTGACCGATGGCACATGTTGCAGGAGCGGAGACGTACGCTTTTTTCCGCTCGGATTTGGCGCTTTTCTCGGCCTGCTTGCAGGAGTACGCCGTCGGGGAGAGCAACCAGGAGGAGTTTCGAAAGCTGCGAGTGCGCGATGGCCAGGCCAGGCTCCAGCTCGAGTGCCTAACCCCTGAGCTTTGCACGGTGCTGTGCGAGGTCACGACCTTGGTGGAATCCACTTCAAGCACTCCTGCAAAGGCTGGTGCCTTGGGCAGTTCCGTTTTTGTCTTTTAAACCGAGTCTCACATGTCTCATAGCGCATTGCAGCTGGTGAGCTGAGGCCATCGATTGGGCTGCCTGGGATTCCCGCATCAGCAACAAAGAGGCCGTGCGCGGCGCTCTGCCAGGACGTTTTGCAGCTGAAATGCTTTAGGTCCTCGGCTGCCTCAAAAGCTTCCACGAGCAGCAGTCTGTCTTGCTGGAGACGGTCCTCAAAGAGGCACTCGCCCTGGATCCACTTTTCAAGCGTTGGGACTTCCGGAGCTTTCGAGCTTAGGAGGAGCGTTGAGGGTTTTTGCTTGTCTAGCGCGACCTGTTATGACTACCATCATGTCCGCAGTGAGACTGTGCCCTCTTCAACACATGAAACGGGTGTCAGCAGCTGCCTCGGTCCCCCCCTGTGTCAGGCGAGAAGTCCAATGGCATTTTGGGTGCCACGTGTTCTTTGTGCAACTTTTTCAAACCTTGGACCTACTAATGCCGGGACATGTGTAGCCCAGAAGTTCATCGTGACTCATGCACAAAGCTCGTCTGCAAGTTTCATGTTCTTTCGCTGTTCAGACGCCGTCAAAGCAGGATGCCATGCCCGCGAACAGATGATCAGTCTTCCTAGAACTGTGACACGTAAAGCATGTTTTTTGACTGCGAGGGTGCGTCAGGCAATGTAGAGTACATGCATGACCGTCATGTGTAACATGGTCTCATGGATATTGGCCTTAGATGCAAGGGAGCGAACCTTCAGAAAGAGCCAGAAGCCCGACAACCACGAACCGGGACCTACGCAGAAGCAAACCTGCCTGAGATGTTGGTACTCAGGGCAGGCGCTGAACAGTGCGATCTGAGCCTTTCTGAGCAGGATCACTCCGCATCGATTAAGAAGCAGACGGAAGGCTCGGAGCTTGGTTCCTTCGAGTGTGGCTGTGGTTGACAGGTGCTTCGTCTTGGTCTTTTGAGGCTGGGAGCTTTTCGATGCAGCCGTGACGAGCTGTCAGAAGTCCGTGGAGAAGCCGGGCCCCAAGAGCCGAAGGACGAATCTGCCGTAAGAAAGCTGCCATGAACGAGTCATTTCATTACCCCTCAGAGCGAGGTGTTTCAAAAAAAATTGTCTGGACCAGAGATGACCAGAGGTCTGAGCAGATCTTGCAGAACGGAGCCCGCGCGCTTTGGATTTCCTTCCAGCTTACGCCCCAGTGAACACGAAGTGTCTGAGTCTCTCTCCTGAGTGCTCGGTTGGAGCAAGACACCCGGAGTTTTTTCGAGGAATCCGCCAATTTCGATGCTTTCCCAGTCTGAGTGGCTGGACGCTGACCAGTACTGGCAGGCCCGAGCCGTGCAAAAAGGCCTAGGCAGCGAGGCTCAAGAGCTTTTTTACCTTTTGAGGCCTTCGTCGAGAAGCACCATTTCTACCACAACCACCTGCTAAGTGCCGTCGAAGATCCCGAGAGCAAGGACTACGATGCCAAGACGAAGGCGGCACTCTCAGCCCACAAAAAGAGCATCCCCCAAGGCTTCCACAAGGAACGCCAATGCATCGAAAGGCTGACCTGAAGAAGCGATGGGAAACCTTCGATGGTCGACAGCTAAGAGACTGTGTCATTCTGTATCCATTCCCTTCTCATCCGAAAGGGCTGCAGCTGGCATGCTGAGGCCGTGGAACGACGCGCCAGAACAACAAGCTGCTGTACCAGCGGCCATCTTTCGAGTGCCCCCTCCGGAAACCTCCACCCGAATTCGGCCGGCTGCGCGGCTGGGCTGGGAGCCAGGTACTACGACGTTTTCCGGGGCCCGCTCATCGAGCACATGATTTTCTATCTCACAAAGACCGGGGGCGATGCCAGGAGAGTCACGCGTTTTTTCCCGAGGCCCTTTTCGACCACCGGAAGAGATGGCTCCTGGCTCCTTGTTGCAGGACTTTCCCGGAAATGATGCCTACCAAGTGGCCCCCGCCTCGGCAATGCTGAGATTGCGGTTCTCTCTCGCATGTGCTGACAGCTGCCTTCAGTTTGCTTCTGCGCCTTTCAGTTGCCTGCACTGCCTGCGTGCCTTCAGAAAAGGTCTCAGGCCTAAAAGACTGCTCGGTGATCGGAAGGTATGCGGAGATCTATGACATCCGTTTCAAGCTCTACAATGTCTTGCAGCGCCGGAAGCGGCAGGTCCTGGCAGTCGGTGCCATGGAATTTTGCATCCTCCGCACCTTGGGCAGGTCCACGAAGCGAGCTGGTCTCGCGAAGCCTTCCATGACTTCCATCCGCACGACTTAGAGCATGATGGCGAGGCGCACCCTGTTGTCAGTCGTGAAAATGTGCACTCCTGTCACAGCGAGGCCTATTACTCCAAGCTCATTGCCAAGGAGGCTGCAGTCTGAGATGGGACATAACATGGTCGTGGCCTCGGGGGTTCATGCATCCTGCGATGTGCCGACCGATCTGAGTCCGTGGCCACCGAGCTTTGTGCTGGCCGCCTCATGGGGAGACCTGGCCTATTCAGTCATGGCACCCACGCGGCCCGTGCTTCCAGACTTAAAGAGCCACCCAAGCACAGGAACTTCATTCTTTTCAGTGACGCTTATGTGCCTGCTGGGAGCTCGGTGAGACCGTTCAGAACTCTGTGGTTCTGTCACTCGCTGCATTGCCGAGGTGCAGTCGGGCACCGGTTTTTATAGAGCCATCCAGATGGATGGTGGGAAGGGTGCCCCAATTGAGAGAAGTCATGACCACTTCTGCAGACACCGCTAGCCGCTCAGTAGCCTGCGTCCATCTCCCCAGCTTGCTCAGCTTAGGCTCCAGAGCTGTACCAATGAGGCATGTTCAAGTCCTTGAGCTTGAGCGCGACTTTGCAGCTTGAAACGCCAGAGTTTAATCCTCTTCCCTGACACATGGAACGGTGGAACAGTCAACAGTGAGTCATCAGTGTTGAAGACAGAACCAGAAGCCCAAAACAGACTTTGGCCATGGCACCTCCGTCTGCGAGACCGGGGGAGGCTCCGTGGACGTCGAGGCAGGCGGAAGCCGAGCCTACGCTGTGACACATAGCTGGGTGGCCTTTCGACACATTGAGCGGCCGTGCCTTCTGCGTAGAGTGGGCAGGCACAAGCCGCGACACCTGGGCGAAGTGGTGGGAAACACCGACCAGGCCAGTCCAAGACACCTTTGCTCGAGGGAGCGTGAGCTTGTCTCTTCTGCAAATCGAATGTGATGCTACGAAGCCGTTGCTGAAGTGATGCCTTGACAGGTACGAAAACTGGCAGAATGGCTGCGAGCAGGGCAGCTCAGGATCGTCGGGATGGGCGACTTGCAGCTTGCTGGCTGTAAGGATTGGGACGATGTTGTCCTCCGTGGAAAGAAGAAGGAACTTCCGCCTCAGGACGTACGAGATTCTGTGCATCACGCTGTGGCAGAGGGTCGCTTCTCAATCGGGACATGCAGACGTGTTTCCACAGGAAAACTACACACTCGTAGGAGATGCCACAGCCCGAGCTGTGATCGATGAAAGCTCAAGCGTTTCTCCGTTTCGGAGGACCCGACGAAGAAGTTCCAACCGGCCGAGACTTGAGAAACCCGCGGCGGAATCTTGTGGGCGCGCATGTTGGCAGTGCAGCCTTGCCTTTGTTTGCTCTGCTCAGGCTCCAGAGAACCTGAATGCCCGAGCCGTCAGAAGCTCAATTCCATAACAAATGACCCTTGGCAAAGCCTCGCACGGCTCAGGTCCTCGTAAGCGGACCTCCAGGGCGCAGCTGCCATGTGACAATGTACATACACACCGAGCAGAATTTCATGTGTTTCTGCCAGGATTGGAAAAACCACAACCTGCTGCCTTGTTGCCGCAGCCTGGGAAAAGTGGCGAAGTCGAAATCTTCCGGCGACAGCACTCTCATTCCGACCGGAGGCGAGATGTTCGCGATACAGCCTCATGGAGTTCAACGCCTCTGACGCGCGGAGCAAGGCATGTTTATTTATTGACAGGAAGCTGCTCCAAGAATGCCTTAGCCGGCAATTTGAAAGGCTTTTGCTCATTTCTTGGTCTAAGCTGAGACATGTTCTCGCCCTGGAACGTAGGTGAAACCCCGTGAACATGTGCCACATGGGCACAGGTTCTAGGATTCTAGGGTCTTCGATGCATGCAAACGGCGTAGGTTTTGGCACGTGCCACAGGCTTAGAAAGCTGGAGCTTTCGTCAGGCTGTGATCGACGGCTTGGCCAATTCACTGGTTGCTACCTGAGCATGGCACGGCGGTTGCTGACGAAAGACGCGGATTCGGATAGCGGAATAGCGGACGACCGTGGAATAGCCCGCCTCTGCCCTTGCCTGCACATGCCGAGGCAGGGAATCGCACCCTCCGCTTCGGCAATGCTGGGAGCAACCTGAACCGCTCTGCCGGGTGCCCTTTTGAAGACGAGCTCAGAGCTGAGATCAGCTGAGCCGAGGTCATCATCATGGACGAGTGTGCCGGGCCCAAGGGTGGCTTAGGCGGCTTGGGGTCTTGAGAAAGTGACGGAAAGCTCCGCTTCTCTGAGGTGATGGCATGGCCGGTGGGGACAAGGGCGGTTGTCAGGCGCTGCACTTTTTGTGTTGGGGCCTGGCTGGCTTAGCCGCCTACCTCGCGCAGGCATTGATAAAGCTCATCCAGGCCACGAAGAACCCCGTGATTTGCATCTGCAACGTGTGGAGCCTAAGACAGTGGCACCTCTTTCGAGCCTGAGCTATTGGGAGATATGGAAACTTCTACAGCAGGATCGAAATGATGCCCAAGTACGTCAGTTGGCTACCCATTGTCCGGATCCAATCCTGCCAAACTTGACACACGTCCTCGTCCCACTCTCGCCCCATGGCCATGGCTGAGGCTACGATCTTCGCTTCCGAAGGCCTAGCAAGATACGCTCTTGTGGCTTTCCGACGTTTACGGTTGCTTTGTTGGTGCTGGAAGGCCCGAGAACGTCGCGGTCGCCAAGCGCATCAAAAGCATTGTCCAGTCTGAGGGAAGGAAAGTGGAGATGGCCTGTTCCTGAGCTGATCATGCATCCTTTCCGGTGCATGCTGTGAGCAGCCACAAGACAACAAAGCGACAAAGCTTGTACATCTCTCGAGAATCAGGCAACCGTTGAAGCAATCGTGGAAGCTTGTGGCCAAGACATTCGACAGGCAGCTGCTTGCCAGCTGCAAGGCTCCCAAGATGCTGTCCAAGCTTCGTAGGTGATCAATCACCTGCAGTTCTTCGGCACAATCATGAACGGCGGAAGGACGGTGCTGCCTTTGTTCGTGAAGGGAGTGGGAGACGTTCAGCACGATCCTGTGCAGGGCCTGCCAGAAGGACTCCCAAGTCATGATGTCCACCTTCGAAGCGATCGGTACTCGGTTACTTCTGGTGCCTTGCACCGCTTAAACAGGGGGAAAGAAGCTGAAGGTGCTCGCGGCTTCTGTCCCCTCATCGGGAGCCTCTTCCATTGGAACGACGGCCACTTGTCTGATGTGCGTTGAAGTAACGCTGATTGTGGCAATGCTGTGGACGGACTTGTCGTTCGCAGTCGGGTTCGAGAGCAAGGATGGACATGTACTATGTCGACAGCGAACTTATGCCGATCATGGTGCAGGAAGTTTCGGCAGAGCTCGATAACAGTGGTGCTGAACTCACCCTTACAAGTTCGGAATGTGCTGCTGCATGCACTGCAAGCTACGGTTTTTCGTCTTGAAGGAGAACTATCTGCGAGCTATGGACAAGAAGCCGGCCAAAATGGATGAGGTGATTGTTGGGTCGAGTTAGTTCATTGCGCATGTGCCTTGTGCAAAGAATCGTTTCGGTTCAAATCCTTTCAGGGCAATCGTTGTAAATTTCATGTTCTGAGAGTAGCAGCCAGGGCTGATGGCGAGTGGTCCATGTTGTTTTCCCACTCTACGTTCTGTGCAGTTGGCCGTGCTGGAGCGAGCTGCGCAGGCGTTCTTGCCTCAGCTGGTAGTGACTGGTAGTGTTCGCTTTAGGCTGAGGCCAGCATTGGGAAATATTGTGTTGCAACAGCACTGTGGCGATGTCGTATGAGAACCTGGAAAGCGTGGCAAAGGTCCTGGCTGATAGCTACAGCCGACGGCTGGTCTAACAACTTTGAGGCCTTGCAGCTTGTGGAGTCAGATTGATGACGCACGATAACGAAGCGGTGAGCCACTCTCGGAATTGTCCAAAGCCGCTCGCAGTTGATGAACAGCGCGGCTCTGGTTGGCACGGTGTACCCGTCTACGCTGATGACCAGACCGGGCCTCAGATTCGAATCTGTGCGGAAGCGGCAAGCGCCCGTCAAAGAAACTCTTCAACAATTGCAAGCTGGTGGCTTCACAAACATCCCAGGCCCAGACCAAGCATTTGCAAAGCCATCCTTCCCGGCTTTTTTGATGCCCGGTTCCGAGAGTCTTACGTATGCCCCGGCTACCAACACGTGAAGAACTTTCTCATGCGAGGAAGCAGGGAACCATCAACAAGAACGATCGCATCGCGCAGGATGTACATGACTTTGTGTTTGTGGACGATGCATCGGGATGACGTTTGCATTGTGAGGTACACGTTGGAAAGTCAGTGAGGGTTACGTTTTGACAAGCATAAGTATAAGTGCTTTTGGTCAAGAGGTGCATGTTGCGTGGTTTGGATTGTCTTTCCACCCTCATGGTTTGAACCGAAAGTTGACTTCGTATTCAGAGAAGGGTTCAATGGCGACTGCCAATGGCAACCGGCTCGAGCACAGCAGCTGCATGCCGCCGTGGAGGACCAATCAACAGCACCATTGGAACAGAACGGTAGCAACTCGCTAGTATCGAAGCCAGGCCAGCTCCAAATTTACTGGGCCTCAGTGCAGGGGAACAAAGAGAAAGCACTAGTTCCTGGACTTGGAGCCAAGATGGCTCCGCAGCTTCTTTCCCTCGAGGTGCGACTGACATGATCATGTTGTAGATAGGAGTCGCGACGTGCCGTGTAGGTTCGAGATGGTTCGACCGAAGCTTTGCTAGTTTTAGGAGTAGCTTTCTGCAGCAACATTAGTATCATTAGCTTCAGCGATGAATTTAACTTCAGAGGACGAAACAAACTAACTCGCTCCGTTCCGTGGGACCGCGTCTGTATCCAAGTGAAGAAACGAATTGGTGAGAAAGTAACTTTCTACATCAGGGCTGGTTTCGCAGCGAGAAATCTCACCGGGTTTGTTGCTTAGAAAACACTAACACTCTCCGGAATGGTTACTTTCGGAGCGAGAAATGAGCTCCGTACGACCGGGTGTGACCAGCTCGCAATCAATTTCATCGCTGCCGCCTGGCGCGCAATGCAACGAAGTGCACAGTTTGAGTGACGTTTGAATTTCATTGTATTTTCAAACGACAATTTACTCGCCCAGAGGGCGAAGACATGTGGAGCTTCCCCCGCGGTGATGAGTTTCTTCTAGATTCTAGGCATTTCTATTCTTGCGGTTGTTGAAGCGATGCTCACATGACGTCAACTCAACTTCACAACCCTCGGCTGCCCCATGAGGCAAAGACCTGTGCAGTTTCTTCGACCTCAAGCTCATTCGTCCTGGCTCGCAAAGCGATGGTCCGCACATTCGAAGTCTTCGGTTGTTGGAGTTATGTGTATGAGAATGTAGAAGTGGGAAGGTGAAGAGTCTCTTTTTAAGGGTTTCGGTTGTGAAGGTGGTGTTCAGGTCGGCTTCTTTTTTCATTTGTTTCCACCCTTGCCTCTTTTTTCTTGCACAAGGCGAAACCATGCGCAGCTTCTAAGTTTTGCTGACGAGCCCAGGCTTTGTTTCGACTGCGAAAATATAACTGTCGGTGAAGTAAACCTTGTCCCTGACTGTTGCCCGGGTTCAGAGAAGAAACAAAACGGGCTTGCAGATTGAGTGTCGTGTCAGAGTTTGTTTAACCTGGCGAAACAGAGCCGTTCTATACTTTCTGTACGTTCTCTCTCGCAGTTTGCTAAAGCCAAAATAACTTAACTTGGACCAGGAACGTTCGTTTCGGCGCCGAACAACAAACTCCGGCGGTCAGAGTATGTTTTGTTTGGGAGAAACGGCGCGCTTGCGGCAGGAGTTTGCTTGTTTCCCCTCCTTCCCGAGAACTTGCTGGCAACACTAGTTTCTTCCGCAAAAACCCCAGGCCCGGATCTGTTAGTCGACGACACTCATAGGGCCAGAGCTTGTTTAGCGTAGCAAAAACAATCCGTGCCGGACGGAATTTGTTTTCGCCGGCGTCTGTGTTTCACGGGTCTCGGAGACGTGAAAACACTCGTTCAGCCTACCAATAAAGACATGCTAATCACTATTTTTTTCGCTTCGTCCCTCCTGGAAGTTGCGACATCAACGCTAGACCAACCGCTCTTCTAGGAGGCGCGTGCGCTGGGTCTGGGCAAGGCTCCGCCAAAGGGAGCGACCGTGCCCCACCAAGCAGTGGTTCCCGGGGGAGGTGTGAGCTGGTGTTGCAAGCTGCTCGCAAGCTAAGGAGTTCGAGCGTGAAAAAGCAGCACTCAAAGAGTTTGGAGTTGACCTGGGAAAGGAACCCTGCTGACTGTTTGCTCTGTTGTGATAAGCTTTGCGAAGCAGATGCAAGGACCACCTGGAGGGTTACAAGTACAAGTCGCCTCCTCGGACTCATACTGTAACTTATTTGGTCACAGCGAGCACATCTGTATTGCAAGGAAAGACATGTGTCCGGCAGGATCGGATGCTGGATCATGCTTGAGAAGATTCAACTCGTTGCTAAACCCGCGCCCATCAAATAAAGATCTGAGAGCAACGGGGCAGCTTCGTTTCGGTGGTGACACAAGGCCAGATCGAGTAGACAAGGATGCGAACTTAGCCTCTCCGGCAGCATTTTTCGATGCAGCGGAATCAGACAGGGGAGAGCTCTCTGATTTCCTCGCACCATCCCATCTCTGATTGGCCAGGTGCAGAAGCCCTGGGATAGACCAATGCTGGACCAGCTCGGCCCAGAATCAGCCAGAGCCTCGCAGACGAATCGCATTTCTGCTCGAAATGAGCCTTCTGTTGGGTTCTGGGCCAGGTCGCCAAGTGCGAAAGCGTTGAGACCTGGGACAATCCGGAGCTTTCTGGCTGTCGTGCTGGGTTGGGGCCGTAAATTACACCCTTCTACAACCTGGTAGCCTTGTAGATTTCTTGCAAACTGGGCTTCAGAAGCGTTTCCTTCTTTGTCGGCCCTGTCAGGGCTGCCCGAACCAGTTTTGCCCCTCAGCTTTGGGCCCACGATTTCGGACTCGTGATTTCGGACTTGTAGAGGGACTTGAGAACAAAAACGGAACTGTCCTTTCCAAGCCAGTCAACACCAGGTTGCCAAAGAATGAACCCGAAGTGGCAAATCGTCCAGGTTTCGTCCCGCGTTTGAATTTACTTTCCTGTCACCTCGTGCAAAGTTGGTTCAGGGCCAACCTCATAGGGATGAGGCATCGAGCCCTTGAGCCACGATGCTGCATGATCTGGCTCGTGATGCCCCCTATTTATAGGCTTTCCTCATCCAAGCACTCCGAGCTGGCGCTCTTGGCTATGTCGGAAGGAGTTCCTCATCGAGATCCGGGAAGGTATCGCCTACTGCACCTTGAACAGGCCGGATGCGAACACAATCGCGCTACATTTCTGCAAGGCTAGTGTAGCTCCTGATTGAAATCTTGACATGCGTTGCACGGAGGCCCGAAGCAAATAATGCGCGACCCTTATTCTGGTGCTTTAGCTACGCGCAAGCCAGCAGAGACTTCTATAGCGGTTATGTGCATGCTGGCCGCTTCCAAGTAGTGTAAGGCCATGAACGATGGCATCGGCGGGGGGATTCACGATGCATGCCGAATCCTCGCGCAGCGGCCAGATGTGCGAATCGCCCAGGGCTCGGTGACAGCTAGACTCTGACCTGAGCTTGCAGCTCTCAGTTTGCAGCTGCCGGGGCGACCTATGCAAATGTGTCGGCTGCAGGCAGTGTTCACAGGCAATGGCCGCATGTTCTGCGCCGGAGGCTGCCGAGCGGAATGTTTTGACAGTTGCGTCAACACAGGGGCCGGATCCGCTGCTCCAAACCGCGCCAGGAGATCCCAAGTCCTTCCAGGCTGCGCAGGCGCAGGCCCGCGAGCTGCTTGCACTGGCACGGGTCTTCCTCGCCAGCCCACGAATAAAGTTGCCTGAACACGACGAGGCAGGCGCGATCTCTGGTGGACCTGCAGCGCAGGCTCTGGAAATAGTGCTGGTAAAAGGTGCAGTGAGATAGACCAGACGCGAGCGCGGCAGCTTCCGCCTTTGCAGGGTCCGCCGCCGGGTCCAGCGATCGCCCTTGCCGGCAAAATGATCACTGAGGTTTGGAGCATAATGGGTGGTAGACATTGGAAAATTCTTGAGCACCACAGGGCTTCGTAATCAGCTGTAGGATGTAGTCGACTGTACGAAGCATTCCCTGGATGCTTGCAGGGGAACAAGCTGTCGGCACAAGGCTTTGCCCGCGACATGCCCTTCGGAAGCACCGGAATTCGATCGCCACGCCTTGCATCTCACGGTGTCCAGTGCGGAACGAGGTATGCCATGTCAACCTTGCCGCCCCCTCAAGCACGATGCGAGACTTTGCCCGTGGAGGGACCTCTGAGTACGCTGTACGCCCTGCAAGACGCGCTCTGTTCCGCAGAAATTAAGGCCGCAGTTCACCATCTGCTGCATGAATGGTTCGGCCATGGGAGGCTTTGTCGCTGTCAGAAAGGTTGCAGGATGCCGCAGAACGTGGGTGCGGTGACTGCAGGTGGCTTTGGTCTCGTGTGCGCGTGTGACTATGCATCTCTGCAGCATTGATGGCGTGTGATTGCAGGCCAGGGGTTCAGGAAGCTGAGAGAGGCTCTGAAGTTCGAGGGAAGCTCGAGTTCTGTTCTCAGGGGCTTCAGAGGCTTCAGGAACTTCAGCGAAGTTCCAGTCTTCAGGAGCTTCAGTTCTTTTTCGAACCCAAGTGGCCGGATACTCCAAAACTTCCCGGCTGCACTTGCCAAGCAAGTCAAGTTGGCTCTCGGGAGTTGACCAAAGATCTTGGCCAAGAACTTTGCCTGACAACAACCCTTCCACCGAGGCTACGGCAGGTTTGATGCAACTATAAATCTATGCAAGACCCATCTATGCTGCTGTTCTGTAGACAGCACCAGTCCAGGTGATTGCAACGAAGCAAGCGCATGCCACCTTGTCGGAGGCTGGCCCTGAGCGAATGAGCCCCGCGTCGGGTGCCAGAACCACCTTGTTGCCCCTGCCCCTAGCGGCCCTAGCGAGCTTGAAGGGCCTGGGACCCAACTCGGACATATTGGGAGGGCCGAGAGTCGATGCGAAGGCGATGGGTGTCAATGTGCTTTTCCGCGGGCGTGGCTCTCGATCTCCAGCGCATTTCGCGAGATGGATAGGAGCGGGCAGCAGTTTGATCGGCTAGTTAGGCTAGTTTTTGATGCCTCCCACAAAGCCAAGCCTAGAACAGCAACAGCGCGCTGAGTCTGTCAATCACCGATACGTACCATCCAAGCCCCAACCATGGCGCCGGCACTTGCCCTGCTCGCGGCACACCGGGTGCTCGTGGAGAGGCAATCGGAGCAAGTTGTGGTGCCCTGGCTTAGAAAGCGACATGGTTTCTTGCCCTGTGCCCCGCTCCCCTGTGCTCCTCCCCCTACCCCCTTCAATCTCTCTTGCTGGCAAGGTGGTGGTTCTTTCCCTCGTCTTGGAGTGGCTCTCCACTTGCAGCGCGCAACTTGGACAGCGAAGGCTTCAAGCCGAAGAACTGCTTGTATTCGCAACCTTTCAGAGTTGGCATCAAGTGCTCAGAACCTCGCGTTGGATAGCAGCTTGACAAGTGACGGCATCTTTTAAATTCCTTCGTGTTGATCTTCCAAGGATATTTCTCGCACAGTGGACGTCAGACATCTTTCTGCTACCTGCCACTGTTGTGATGATCGGCATGGCGGTGAGGCGGTCCGGAGATTGGCAGAATGTGTTGCGCCGCCCGTTCCCTGGCCGTCCATGTCCTTTTCAACTTGAATCAGTTGTTTTTTTCGTAAAGGTGTCGGCTGCGGAATTTGAGACTTCACGGTCATCAGTTTTCCCGATGAAAATCGTGTCTAGCTCAACTGACATAACCTTCTTTCCTGTCATTCTGCAAGATTTTTGGTTTATTCTGTACCATGTGGGTATGAAGTCGAGGATTTACATTATAGTTCCGGAGCGGCATTCTGCATTTGGCATTGCGAACAATCAGTTGGTGGCCAAGCAGTTCTATATTGCGGCAGCCTGTATACGCGTGGGTAGCATATTGCTGTGGATCTTATTAATTTCGGCCGGCGGCTTGCCAGACACGAGCGATATGTGCTTGGTTCCATATTTCGAATTTGTAGATGAAGGGTGTGGTAGACTGTCTTGGTGGCTACAGCCGGGATGTGGCACGTCCTTCTCGTTGCAGAAGTACGAGGAGTGCCTGTCGCAAGCCTCGTGGATCCAGCATGGCGTGTGTAACTTGCTGGCTGCCCAGTGCAGGAACCAGGATAGCTATGGAAATAAGATTCCCATCAGTGTCATGTTTAACACGACCATGAATCTCACTTCGCTTTGCTGCCCTGGCCTCTGGCTGCTGCTCACAGCTTGGCGGCACCTGACACCCGTCCGCCAAGCCTTAGCCTGAAAGGGAGGTGCTGGGACTTGGGCCTAGACATTCTTCGTTCTTGCTGCCATGATCTGCCATGTGTCCTGTGCCATCCCAGGAATCGGCGGGAGAATCCGTGGTCTGTGCCAGCTGCCCCCGATTTACATGCTACCATCGAGGACGAGGAGCATCGTTTGCGAGAGCAGTTCCAGGAGTTCAACGTCGCCGTAGCCGAGGCACGAAGGGCCAAAGGTGATGAGTTGATGTAGCGACATGGGTTGAATTTCACAGGTGACTTGGGACTCGTGGATGTATCGGTACTTGCACCTGGACTTCGTGGTGTACGTTGCGGACATGGTCACTGACACCTTGTGCTTGCTGTTGTATGTCTGCGAGTACAACTGGTTTTTTGCCATGCTCCAGCTCCTTATCTTGGGTGTCTCGATCATGAAGCAGCTGAATAAGATGGCGCAGCAGGGAGAGCAGGGACAGCAGGCACAGAACTTGCTGGAGGCATTTCTGACATCCCGGCGCCAGGGCTTCTTCACGGAGGACTATCTTGGAATAGTGCAGACGCAGAGGCTCGTGCAATGTCCGTGGTCGTTCTTTCTACAGTTCTACAGCTGCGCATTCGTCAGAAGCGGATGGTATCCGGTGTTGCTCTTGTCATGTTCCATTGGCTCCAGCCTCTATGGAGTCGTGCATTCTAGCTACGTTCTATTCCACCTGGACATTCCAACCCCGACCGTGGACACCAAGTTGGAGCTTTCACTTTGGGAGTTTTCGACTTGAAGGCCGCCTTCTCGTGCATTGCAGGCCGTTTCGGATTGCAAGAAATTCAGGCCCCAAGGCGATGTGTCACCCACAAGCTGGAGGAGCTCCGCCGCCCCAGGGCCCGAAATCTTAATAGACTTCCGGATGCGATGTGTTACTTAGAAGGATTCCGAAGATCTCCTCTATGCTGGTTTCCCCCGGATATCCGAAAGAGGGTCCGGTCGCAAATCCGACTTCCGTTCGGGAGGTCAAAAATGGAGACTCCTGCAATGTCTATGCTACCAGCCTGTAATGATACGTAGGTTGCAGAGGGGCTTGTTTCTGGGTCTTTCATTGACTCGAACCAAAGTGGGATGGGGGAAAGAATGGAGGTCAGCCAGCATCTAAAATGGGCATCACCCGCTGCTCGGCAGGTCAAGCTGGGAGTGATTCCGGCAGTCATCTCACCTCATGTTTCCAGGACGGTGCATGTTGATGTCCGGCTTTAGGCAGACCCTGTGTCCTGGAAGAACCTCTGCCGCACGATTGGAAGCTTAACGTGCGCGACAGTCCTTATGCAGGACGATCGGCACAGCCAATTGCAAACGATTGTTCTGCACCGCGGAGAACGCCAACATGCAGACTGCCGTGGAGATAGGCTCGTAATGCTGCAAGGGCTGCAAACAGTCCTGTAAGGGACCATTGTGCAGGTTTAGTTCACAAGATTGTGGACCACCCCCGTGAGTTTCCTGCAGCCGCATGCTAAGACCGCCGAGGCGAATGCTGCAAGCTTTAACCTGTAAACGCTCAGCCTGAGGCCATCAAAGAGATGGCAGCCAAGATCCAACTGTTGGCACCAGGCCGTAGTGAAGGGAGCTTAGAGCTTTGGTTGCTGACGCTCCAGTGTCCTGCAGGTGCAGTTGGTGCTACAAAGCAAGTTCTCCTGAACTGCTTGAACCAGTCGATCACTACGAATCTCATTGACTACACAGCCAAGGACTCTCAGGGGATTCCTTGACTCTTGAGGTCCAAAACAGACTCTTCTTCAAGCTCTCTTGGCACACGGCAACGCTCGGAAACCTTTCGCAGGAGTATTTGCGTGTCCGGCGAGGAAAGGAATGCGAGGCCGGGGCGCAAACGCAGGAAAAGGGTGAGATCGCATGAGGCGTCAACCAGGTAGTGATGGTGATGCCCTAGACTTCAGTGTTGTGCTTCCACCTCGTAGTTTCCAAGCTAAAGGACTGTTGTCTCTAGATATTGCTGCTGGGGCGGCCTGATATGAGCATTACCCAGGAGGGCATGGAAGCCCTGCGGAACAAGCAGAAGCCAAAGTGGGTGCAGAAGCCGATCGATGCCGCAGCCCTGCACCTCCTGAAGCGTTGATAGGAATCCCGGGACCACCATATGCCTGCTGAGGTCAGGGAGAAAGACGAAGCGTAAGGATGACCTGAGCGCTTGCACGGGTATGCCGCGAATTTGCATTGTCGGGGTCAAAGGTGCTGAGCCTTAGCTTGGACAGAGCCTCGCGATGTGACAGTAGTGCCGTGACGACGGAATCCTGCAAAGTCTTCGCCCCCGGATAAGCGCCTCCTCTTCCGACCCCCACTCCTCGAGAACGCAGCGCTGAAAAAGGCTATGGTTGCTTTCTTCCGCGTGGGGTGATCGAACGGGTAATGTAGCCCGGATCTGAAGCACTGGAGCCATCGCCTCGCACGGAAACACGAAACACGCAAGGGGAATCCCAACACATTGGATACGCCTGCCGTCAGGATCTGAGCTCCCGAATCCGCCGGCGCTCGACCTGTGGAAGCCCGGAAGGGGAAGGGAAGGAAGGGAAGAAAGGGAAGGAGGGAATAGATGTCAAGTTTTGGCAGGACATCAAGTGACAGGCGTTCCGATTCAGTGCTTCGACTTGCGATGTTCGCAGGTCGAGAGTTTATCACGTCGAACTACCACGACGTTTTTCACCGGCGCCTCATGCAGATGCTGGTGCAGGGGTCCTCAAAAGAGTGCGCGGAGGCCTGGTTGTTTGTCCACGGGGCTCCTTCTGCGTCCTGCATCGGCTGGCAAGCCTGGCAAGCCCAAGCCTGTCGCAGGCGTTACATGCTCATGGCCTGACACGGGAGTTCTTCACGGATCAGGCACCAGAGTTGTTTGGCATGCGCTTGCTCCCGCGAAGCTGAGAGAGGCTCCGGCGTTCCGTCAACCACTGCAGCTTGAGGACACCTACAGGAAGGTGGGACATGGCCGTTCTACCTGCAGAGGAAGCTTAGCTTTTCAGTGTCAGCCTTGCCAGGTCGATGTCACCGTGCGCACGCGGCTGTTGCAGGAGAGACATCCCTGGCCCGGCCGCCGCACTCGATTCGTTTTTGGCGGTGTGGTAGGGGGTGGGCGGCAGGATGTGCAGAACCTGGCGATGTCCACGATTGCTGCTGCAAAGCGCAAGAAGAAGCCAGAGGAGGACACTGCACAACTGTTAGGCTCTTCTTCGAGCACTGTCCGGAAGCGCAAAGTGTGGATACGGAAACCTCTCAGCCGTAGGACGCAACGGCTCGGAGGCCCGTGGCCTGAGCGATGGAAGATCGGGCTTTGCGTTTCGAGCGTCCCGTACATCGTCTAGGCGAAAAAGCGGTGGTGGACAGACCTCCGAGAAGCCGGAGGTCTGCCGAACCGTTGCTTCTCATGTCACAGAACTCCGTGTGTGAGTGAACAGCACGTGCGACGTGCTGTATCATGTCTCAAAGAAGGATGTCGAAATGGAGGATGCCGAGGACTGCTCTCGCGTCAGGCAGCAGCGCTCTCATGTCAGTGTCTGCCGCTCAAGGCTGCAGACGATGGGGACATCCCTGGCCTTGTGGCGGCCCCAAGAGATCCGGAGGTTTTTTTGTGTGTTGGTCGTGTTCCGACCTCTTATACCGTGGAGGTGAAGCGCAAGCCGGGCTCCAAGGCTGCCCCGAAGAAGAAGGCCCTCCTTGGCTGTTGCCGTGTTCCCTGTCTGTATCATCCGTGTAGCAATTTGCTTGAGAAGATCTCTGACTTTGCTTTTGCGACGAACATTTTCTCCAAGACCCTCCACTCCCGCAGAGCCTCTCTCCTGTGCGTTGTCGACAGGCGCTGAAGGACATGGAGAAGGACCGCACATGCATGGACAGTCTACTGCCTATCCGGATCACGGCTTGCCAGTTGGTGGCGATGCATATCTCGCCACTCCCCCAATTGTACGAAGCTCTGATTTCGATGTCACTTCCCGTGAGGATCTCAGCAAATGCTCTCTAAATGGCTGGCGTGCATCAGTGAAGGACCGCAGGATGTTCGGCAGGGCGATATAGGGCGATGAAGAGGAAAGCTGACATTGATTGGTTTATCCGGTGAGCGAGTGCGGATCGTGACAGAGTGAGAAAGGATATGCCTCAACCACCTAGAAGAAACCAGGATGTCGAGTGTCAGGGTACGTCAGGATGTTGCAAGACGACATCAGCTACCCCACCGGCATGAAGCTTGATGTTCCTTGCATTCGGCAGGAGAAGGCGATGCAGACCGCTTCGCAGGCACAAGCCTCGTCTTGCTACTTCGGTGCTAGCGGAGCTTCTTCGTTGATGACATCCCAAGCAGGTCACGCCGTCTCAGGCAGATGCCAAGCCTCTGCTGGTCATGAAGTGCGCCACTGCCTTCGGGCCTAGGCCCTAGGCCTAGGCAAGCTCCATTGGCATTTCTGGTCCGTGGGTCCATGGTGCTGGGAGGTACATCGAGGGCCACACCTGCTCTGTGCGCCGGAAGGCGGCAACCGACGGCAACGTTACTTTTTGGTGGTTTTCCATCGCTTGATCTGCAGATCCGCATGCGCGACATCCTGGGGGCGTGGAACATGTTCTGACGGTGTCGCCGCGGTTTCAATCGCCCAGTCCAATTGTATGGACGTACGGGCATAGGGCTGTCCAACTAACGAATATGTGGCGGCAAAGCTTGTCAGTTCACGTGTTTCACCACCTGCCACAGGTTCGAAGTATTGTACAGGTAGGGGCAGCAGAGCTGCGCAGTCAGCGTAGTCTCCGCACGGGGATCAGGGGACTACTGGTCAGCGTGGAATGCTGATGGCATTTCGATTGGTCATCAGATCCACTGCCAAGACTGTGTCACACTGCAGAGAAGACTGTGGCCGAAAAGGGATGCAGACTCTCAGAGATGCGGGGAGAAGCTTTCCAGGTACTTTCTTCAGCCTCGGCTCCGATGTGCACTGCCTCTTCTACAAGCCGGCCGGGGTGGAGCTCAGCACGCCGGACCCGGTGGAATGCTTCCAGGCAAGGGGAGGGCTCTCAGAGGCGTATACGGAGTACGGAGTACATGGGCACTGGGCGTGGCTTCCAGGCCCTGGCAGACCATGCTGCGATGACAGGACGGAAGTTCGAGGCGGCTTGTGTTTTTCAGTGCCTTTGGCTTGGAGACGTAGGTCGAAGGCATAAGCAACTCGAATCATTTCGTTTAGCATTGTTGCAAAGATGCAGGCAGGGGCTAGTCGGGCTTGGGGGAACGGGCTGGTGGATGCTGGTGCGGTCGGGGGTTGGGCGGACTGGAGCCTCCATCGTCAACGACATCCTCGGCATGTGGCTTCGGAACAAGGCGGGCTGCTTCACATGCTTCCTAGACATGGTTTCGCGGTGAGCCATGCTTTCCGGATACATTTTCGGACTGCCCTGCAGCTGTATGCTCAAGCCCTACAGAGGTGGAGTGTGCCAGGAATTGAACGAGCTGGCCTGCAATGTGCGACGACCTTTTATCAGACCTCCTAGATCCGTGGCACTTCCTTGGTGATGCCTGTTGCTGCCTAGCAGATGTGGGTAAGCGCTGCTGCGAATGTCTGGACTGTATTTGCTGCCCTGAACTCTGCTGCTGCCTTGAAAGCTGCGACTATCGTGGACTGGAGCCAACCGTGAACGGTCGCCGTCATCCTGGACCTGATGTTAGTCCGACAAGGAAGGCGAATCAAAAGAAGCAGTAAGCCTCGACGCGCTGAGATGGGGCAGACGGTTTGTCAAGAATTGTCCGATCACAGGATCGAGGGGCATGCATGACCGCCGAAAACAAGAGCAAGAGTCTGTGCAGCCGATAGTTTCGGCTGAAGCTTGATGATATGCTCAGTCTCTGTTCAGGTGAAGAAGCAGCTTCGGATGGACACGAGCGCCTTCGCGTTCTCTCCTGATCCGGCGTTTGCTGGTCCCTACTCCCCCTCCTCCTCCTCCTCCTCCTCCTCATCCTTCCCCTCCTTCGCCGTGCCTTCTGCATGGGGAGGCCGGCTACGCCACGGCCTTCGAGGCCTTCACCGAAGTCTTGGCCTCGCGCAAAGAGGGCCTTGGAGGCGGGGGTTGGGGAGTTTGGGTCTGCGTGTCACGAGAAAAGACGGAACGGTTTTTTTGACGTATTTATTTTTTATCCTCTGTGTGCTTGAGCTCTTGCTTTGCAAGGCAGCTGGTTCACGGCGCCAGGCTGGCTGCCGATTCGGCTTCTGCTCCTATGAAGTTATGAATAGTTTGGATATCCTGCTTCTGAGCTCAGTGCTTGAGCTTGGCTTCGAGTCTGTGTCTCTCGTGACCAGTGCTGGGTCTACTTCGAGTCGACCCCATGTTGATCCGTCCTGTGGCAGGCGAATCTTCGAAGGATGCCTTCATGCGCAGGCGCCCGTCCTTCTGAGCCTGGAGGGAGACGACGGTAGGAGCAAGGTCACAGCCGACCGGTGCGACCAACACTATCTTTTGTGAATCTCGCAATGTTGCAACGACAGCTACCAGTGAGCGCACAGCTCCATTCCGACCGAGAGGGTCCGAGCGAAGCTTCGAGGCTGCAGCAACTGGATGTTGAGTGCTTTGACTGTTCTCTGAGTGCCCTCCCTTCCGATCAGTTTCTGTTGGAGCGTCTCTTTGTCGCAAACAGGCTGAAGAAGTCGGACCCGGCTTACGACATCTACGCGGCCAGAGCCCAAGCTGGCAACAGGGAGGACCAAGGACGAGGGAGGGACGGACCGCCACGTTGCTACGCCGCTACGCCGCTACGCCTCGCTCCTTAGGCCTATGCCGAGGAGCACGAGGAGCGCTGGAAAGCGGCGAAGGTCCCCACCGTGCGGCCGTGCCGTGCTGCGCTCTTGTCTCGGGCGGCTCCATGATCCGGGCAGGCGCTGTCCATGGACGAAGCCATCGCCCAGATGCCCGAGATCGAGCGCAAGTGCGGCTGCAAGCTGAAGTTTGGGCCATGTCTAGTCTGGCTTTGGTGACAGACATGAAACGCCAGGTACCAGATTGAGTGCGAAGAGTACAGCAGTGTCCTCTTTGGCACGGCGCTGAGAACCCCACAGTGCAGTCCGGTGAGAAGCCTAACGAAACACATGGCTACAGCGGCTACTGGCTTTCCTGTCGTACCTGCGAAAGTCTCGGGGGCTAGGTTTTGGTGGCACCTTAGCCCAGGTGTGAATGATGAAATGGCTGCGGCGGGCAAGTTGGAGCAGGCCTATACGGTGTGTTGAGCTGCCATCTGCGAGCCCGGCTCCACGCGGATCTGCTTCGGCTTGGGCATGAAATAATCAGGAGCAGCTGGCGAAGCTGGGAGATGTGGGTGAGCTGGAGGTCGGGGCCGGTCGGTCGGGGCGCGTATCGGGGCTGTCGTGTCTGGCACGACTCGAAGCACTGCTGGGCACAGGGGAAGCTAAGCAGCGGCGAGATCGTCGCGATTAGTCCGTCCGGCAGCTTGATGGAGGTCAGGGCCCCGGAAACCGGCGCAGGAAAGTGTTCTGCTTGTCTGTGCTCTCCTGAAGCTCCTTTTTGATGAGGTCGGTGAAGTGAGCAAGGCTCTCGACGAAATCGATTCGATTAGGGACAAGGCCGGCTTCTTGCCTGGTGATGTGCTTCCTGTGATTGCCATCAGCACTTTTACTGGCGGGACGCGTTCGGCTCTGCTGGTGCTGTTCGTGCAGCTGTTCGGACAGTGTGCCGGACATCATTGAATCTGGTCCTCCGGGCAGACTGTGGACATGGTCATGGCGACAAAGCTGCCCGCCTTGGAGAAGAGGAAGTGAGGCACCGGCAGTCTCCTTCAAATGCCGATTGCCCAGCGGTTCCTGCTCGCTCCACCAGGCATGGTGGCCGGAGAATGAGGCATCCGAGATCTCATTGAAATCCACTTAGACTTGGCCGGAAATGTGCCTGTTTTTCCGGAAGGCTCGCTGCAGAGATGACGTTGACTCAATCGAGGCGGGGAGCAGAAGCTAAGAGCGGAAGTGTGAAAAGCTCACAAGATTCGACACGAGTCATCCAGGGGCAAACCTGCTCTGTCTCTGACCGAGCTATGCTTTTGGCCCAGCCCTCGGGTCATCTCGAATCTCGGGTGTCAGTCCATGTGAGTGCGAACAGCACTTCCAAGCGCACTGGCGAGGTTTGGAGCTTTGCGGACTCGCATGACTCGAGCGGGCGTGAAGCAAAAAGAAGCGCTCGGATTCGAAGATGTGAGAGAGGGCTTGCAAAAGACAGTTCGTTTCAGCTGTTTACAAGGTTACGGCTCGAAGTTTCGGGACTCACTCGAAGCAGGTGCCATCGCTAGACAACGCAATCTCCGATGCAATCCTGCACACGGGAATGAAAGCAGGAGCCAGGACAAGGATAGCCGTGTGCGGAACCGGAGCAGCCTCCGTGGAATGTTGTGCCAGCTACGTGCCTTTCCGCGACTACTGCGGACCCTGCGACCCGAGCTGCGGTGGGTGCGCCGGCCGCACAGCAGTAGAGATACCGAGCCACCTGTAGCATGCTGTGGCCGCAAGAGGCCCGTCGCGCTCTCGGCATCTCGCCAAGGCTGCAAGCCGCCGAGCGCCAGAGGCACGAGAGAAGCAGCGGCCGCCTGGCTCCGCCAGGAGGTCCTCTGCCAAGTATTTACGCAACAGCGGACAACAGAAGGAAGCTCTCATACTTTTCCATGCTGCCTTTTTGTCTTCATGAAGCCGTTGGAAACATGCCTACTTGTCAAGCTGTTGTTACTGGATGGGCGTCCGCTTTCATTGGCGCCGGTGCTGACATCCTCCAAAGTCGTGCAGAACTTGATGGCTCGCCGCAGGTGGAAAGGTGTTCATTTTGATGCGTTGGAATGGTCATCAGAACTAGATTTGCATCTAAGCATGAACGGCAGACTCGGATCCTTTCCGAAGATGTCAATGTTATCAGGACGCGGCCACATCCGCCGCCTTACGAGCCTCTTGCGTTGAGGCTGGGATCCCTCGCCCCAAGTCTTGTGCATAAAGGTGATGTTGCATTGATTCTGCATTTGGCACTGTTGTTGTCCATCAACGTATGGATGCCTTTAAGCTGGCTTTGCCTTAGGCCCCAGAACTTGCACGGAGATCATGACATGATCGCCGAACATTACTGGTCTTGTGTGAGTTTGGCTTGTGGTATCTAGCTGTTTGGAAGCCTACACATCAGAGCATGGCAGCGTTTTAGAGTCTGCACCTCGAGCGAAGCTCCCTAGCCATAATGTGAGGCTGGCCGCGCTGGATGCGAGGGCGGCTGATGATTCAGGCTGTAACAATGCAGGATGTGCGCGCTGACGCTTTCAAAGACGATCACACAGAAGAATCTGCATTTTTTTAAATTCTCACAACACCCCGTGCGGCCAGGTTGCGGATCGGTGTTCAAATGTGTTACATCTTTTGCACCAAGGCTGTAACTAGTCATCAAGCCCTCACCCAGATTACAGTGGAATAAACTTTGAGGGAGGTCCGGAACGGGGTTCACCTGCTTCCTGCGGCGTTACAAGGTGCTGCTTCACGCACGCTCGAGGGCGAGCCCGGTCTTGCCGAGGCCACACTCGGTTTCGCAAGCCAAGCCAGAGCAGGTCTCGACGTCCCGATACTTCCGAAAGCTCTAGGAGGACTTGGACTTCATAACGGTGGACCTCCCCGCCAGGGAGGACAGGCCAGACGAGGTGGGAGGTGGGTGCGTTCGAAAGATGCTGAAAAAGCTTGCTGCGCCAAGTTGAAGTTAGCGGTTCTCGGCCTTCAAGATAGCTCCGGGCAGGCCAGTGCATCGGATGCGGCACCGGTCCAGGCGAAGATCGCTGGGGCCAGGAGACTGAGAGAAGAATCTTCCTAAACCCAGAGAGCCGGGGGGGGCCTTGCCAGGAGTATTGGAAATCTGCTGGCAGCTCTCCTGAAATGGCCTTACCTTGAGCATGTACTGTACCTCTCGAAGTATAGATAAATGTAATGGCTGGGGCAAGTGTTTCAAGTGCTACTTCCTGGCTTACCAGACCCTTTGCTTCACCATGACGTTCAAGCATCCCTCCCTAGTTGAGTTGCTCCCCGTCCCCACGACCTGAGGAGGTTGTAAGCCACCCAGATGCATTTATCTGCCATGGAGCGTGTTTCGGGCCGGCTTCCTGTTCTGCTTCCTTCGTGGTGCTATCGGCACACCTGAAGGATCGAAGCGGAACCCATTTTCGCAGCTGAAGGCTTACCTTATCTTGCCTTTGCCTGTCAAGGCGACAATGTCGACAACCTCGACTCCCTTCACGCCGCCACCGCAACTAAACTGATACTCAGTGAGATCAGTGAAGCTTTGGGCAGAAGAATAGGAACAGACCAACCAGGCGGTAATGCAAGCGCGGGATGACACAAACCGTCTGGAAGAGGCCTTGCACCGCCTCGCGCGACTGGGCGCCCGACGCGGAGGATCCGCCGAGGCTCAGGGCGTTGACGGTTGAGGGGGCTTGGAGTACTGTACTTGAGCCCGGGCAAAGCCGGAGCAAGGCCTTCGCGTCGGATCCTGTGCGCGCCGCGTTGGTGAAGCGGCTTGCACAGCCGGAGGCCGGGCACAACAGACCAGCAGGAAGTTTTCTACCGTACCTGGCGCATCACGTGCACGAGTTGCTTGTGAGTAACAGGAAGATTTGAAATCTTTGCAAACAGAGCCCTGGAGACTCGAGATTCCGCAGGCACTGGAGGTGCTCTCAGCGCAGGCCCGTGTTTGCCTGCGCCTGGGCTGAGAGAGGACAGGGCAAAGACAACACAGTCCCGCACGGCAGCCGCATCCTGGCAACCTGAGGCTTTGGGCACTGGGGCGGCTGGTGTTGGCACCTGCTTGGCTGCCCAAGCTGCTGGGTCTAGGTGCGGATGCAGCAGTGGGTTTTTCCGGCCGGGGCCTCGACGGAAGCCAGGCCTAGGTCTCTTTGCCAGGAACCGAGCCGCAGCTGTGAGATCGAGGTCATCAGTTGGCGACAGCCTTGCACAGCCTCGCAAAGCTCGAGGCGAGGACGAGGGCAGAGAATGGAAGAGGCAATGGCGCAAACAGATTTGGGTAACAGGCGGCGGGCCTGGTGCAGCTCCAAAGCGAGGCGCTCCAACCGCTAAGTTGACACTGGAGGAGCTGCTAGTCCGAGTCCCGACCCGCAGCCGCTGGCAGGAGCCCCAGCGGCTGCTGGAGGCAGGGGTTGTTATTCTTGGGGCTTCAGGGTTGGTAGTTCAATGGGATCGAGGTTTCTTCCGACCTTGCGATGACTGCTCAGATGTTAGAGTCTCCTTTGAGGGATCCTGTTTACATGTGACAACGATGGCGGTTCGCTGTCTTCGACCGCTAGAGTTTGATGGAGTCGAGCTTCGATCGCTTGAAGCACCTCGATGTAGCCACACAGCCATGAAAGCTTCGATGACCGCGACAGGGTAAGTTATCGTCGCATTGTCTTTCGTTTGCGCCATCGCAAGATCTTATCCTCCGTTTCCTTCGCCTTCTGGAATGCTTTGGTCAGCCGGTGCCAGCCTCGATAGTGCTCGAGTTCCCCAGGCCTATGGGCTATGATGCCTTCCATCACGCGGAAGGATCAAGGAACTTCCTTTGCCCCGGAAGTCAGGCAAGGAAAGAGTTGCATCAACTTGGGAGATTGCGGACGACTTGCACCCAGACGCTACTGAGATGTTAACCACATTGATATGTCGCCAGTGGAACAAAGGCCTCTGCCAAGACCGTGGTTCTTGTTGGAACACTCACGGCCTCGGTCACTTGGGTAGCGGTGCCTAGACCGAACGGAAGATCCAAATTCACCGGGGCATCTTCCCGTCAAGACGATGCTGACCGAATTCTTGACAGGCAAACGTTCAGCAAGTGTGGACGAGAACCTTTCCAAGGCAGTACATGCATGAGCTCCGGCGTTTCAAAACATCATCCGTCTTGCTGGCCGATGCCAATCCTTCGCGAATCGGTCTCAGAAACCCATTAGTGTTCAGTGTGACCTTCTGTAAGCGACTGGAGGACAAGACCGCCATCGATGGAAGCCGGTCCGTGCTCCGGAGTTCCCATACGCTCAGCAACGCAGCAGACTAACGCAGCAGAAGGATATCGAATCTCCGACACATGTCGAGCAGTTTGATGCATCGATATGCATCGCAGACTCCGCCACTGGGTCGAACAAAGGAAGGGACAAGCACGCTCAGGAATGTTTGTTTGTTTTTTTCCATGTGTCGAGTTCGGCACGTCTGCATGCCATCTTGGTTCAAGTGTGACCCAAAGAAGCAGCCAGCCGAAATTGCCCGCCCACCCGCCCGCCCCACCTTGTTCGGACTCGGTCTCCCGTCAACGCTCCCTGTCCCTATGGGGTTGCGCGAGGAATTGCGAAACTGCGGGTTGTGGAGGAACTGACCCTCTTCTCAGCATAGGGTGGGTAAGTTCACTACACATGGCGAAGACGCGCACCAGCGACTCACAGCTGGCTCGACTCGCCCCACTGGACTCATGGCTGCCCCGTCACATCGCTGGGGGTCCCTCCCGGAAGGATATAACATAGTTACATGTGTGCTGTGTGATCCATTCTGCGAGGTGGGTTTGCCACAGCACTATTCCGGAGCCGAACCAGGTTGAAGAACAACTGAGTGCGTGAAGCGAGCCAACAGGAATCGATGATGTGTTGTGCGAATCTACGTAAAGTAGAACGAGGTGGAAAGGTTCGATGAGCGTTTGTTGTCACCAGAGTTTGCTAGAGTCTGGGTTCGCAACAAGCATTGCAAAATAGCAGCCACAGGCTCTCCACTCGGAGCTGCGGCGGCGGCAGAAGGTTCCTGGGGTGCAAGATGAATCTTGGTTGGTTCTGAGGATTCTGGTCACAATGATGTTCGTGGGAACGATTGCAAACATCTAGACGGGTTCACATGCCAGGAGGCACGTACAGACCAACAGTCGTGAGACCATGATTATATCTGCGTGTATGGGTTATCTCTCCCGTGCTGTGGTGCGGTTGTCTGCCAGCATTGCTTGCAGAGGCACTGGGTCCTGGTGCCACCTCAGACTCTTGGTGTAGAAGCATCCACGCAGAGAGCAGCAAGTTTCGGAATCGCTGGATCCAAGGCGATGGACACCATACTCATCGCAGACGGTCTGGCAAAGCTTCAGATTCGCGATGACACAGTTTTCACTTCACTGGTGACTGGGTTTCGCAACTTAGCGGGTACTTGTATCGATTGATTCGATTGCCAGTCTCCTGAATACAGAAAGACGCAGGGAAACGCTCGGGATGCAGCCTCAAGTCGCTGCATGCCTCCTTTTGAGGCGACTGCTCTGCGAGCGCACATTACTGTGGGCGAGCTTGGTGTCCGGGAAGTCCGTTCGGAGCTTAGCCGGAAGCTGTGCCCTCGAGCTGCAAGATCAGCACATATCAGCACCCTCCAATCGTCAAAGTCAAGGTCATGCAGCATCGGCATTCTCCCTCCTGGGCTTCGTGGATGCCAAATTGGCCGGGGCACTGATGAACTGGCTTTCACCTCGCCTGGAAAGCTGTGGAGGCACCACTCAATGTGCTGTTGCAAGTGGAGAGCTGTGCTGTTGGCCAGCGCGGACCACTGCAGCCACGACCTGCCCAATGCCGCCGGTGCTGCAGGCGATGACTTATCGGCGCTCGCCTACTCTCTTTCTCGTGCCGAGGTGGCCAAGAGTGCCCACAGGAGCTTGCAAGACGCGCCGTCCTTTCATAGCCATGCTTGCTCCCAGCTTCCGAAGGCTTCCATGCATCGGCCTTTCAGGAGCTTCTTCCGAGCCTTGCGGACCGAAGTGCCGCGGCGCCTCGCAACTGGGGAGCTCAGTGCCAAGGCGAAAAGTTGTGGCCACGTCACTTCCGATGAGCCGCTCTTTCATCGCGTGCCGTCCAGGAATCCGCAAGCCTCCTTGTCAGCTTCTCGCAGGCAGCTTTCGCTTTAGGCTTATCGAAATATCATCATGGGCACCGGCGATTGGTTCGCGAAAACAGGCTGGTCTGCTCGAGCCGGAGGATCGGGAAGCACGGCAGCTGGTGAAGCAGCTCTCAGCAACAGTGGCGCCTCGCCACGATGTGCACGCTTCTTTATTGTGTAGAGCAGTGTGCAAGGCTGGGCTTAGGAAGGACTTGTTACGACTGAGGCGAGATCACCCAGCGCCTTGAACGGCCAGTGGCTGGCACTTTCGGTTCCTTGCCTCAGCCCCTTTGCGGCTGACTGCAGGCCATCAGAGACTTGAAGGGTCATGCCAGACAAGGACACAGACTGCTCGGCTTGAGGGCATACACGGTCCCTGGCAGGGAGTTGCTCGTCCTCCTCGCAGCTAGGGGCTCGGAATTGTCAGGGGCAGACGAAGGCGGAGCAACTCGATAACACTCTCCGAGGACCGGGCGACGCAGTTGGCGCCAATGCTGTCGCCGAGGCAGCTGGCACGGCTGGCTGTCGGCTTCGGCGAGGGAAAGGCCAGGTACAGCCTGGCAGAAGCTGGCTGAGCGCGTTAGTTCGTCAGATCGTGAGGTGCAAGGGAATGCGCTTTGGCAGTCCTTGACGAAAGAAGCCCCTCAGATGCACTATGCTGCTATTGGCGACAGCCATATCGACAGGAATGTTCACTGGACGGTGATGGCAGAAATTCGGAATTTTTGCGGTAAACCGTGAAAAGCTGGGATGATATTGTATACCAGCAGGGTGCCAGTGCGAATCAGTGCGACAGTGCGCCGGATAACACAGTCGCCTACCCCAAAATCTTCCACACCTCGACGATCTTGTTCTCCAGGCCCTGACACGTGCCTCGTCCTTCTCAGCACCCGATGTTCTCCGGGTGCTGGCGGGCTTCGATGCAGCCAACGTACAGCATCCAGGCCTTTTGCAATCCGGAAGTGTGCATAGTGCATGCTGCATCTTCTGAACAGACGAGCACGACAGGTTTTCTGAAGACTTTCTGGGCGTGCCGGGGCTGCAAACAAAGGACTTGCAAGCCTAGCATGAGATCAGTTGACACTGTCAAACCTCGTGTCGAGTTCGGTTCAGCCTAGACAGCTGCACTGTACACCGGTTCCAGGCTTGCTGCTGAAAAACAGGCAAAGTACCTGGTGGAGGCGCACTGTCCGGGGGCAGGTTCCAACCAGCGACGAAGAGAGCGCTCGCTCCGTTGCTCCAGGAGCTCCTGGCCCTCCTGCAGCTTTGGCCCCGCCTCCCTGCTGCGCTGCGCGCGGGGGAGCTGCCGGACTCGCTGCCGCTTCGCCAAATAAAGACGGCGTCTCGACGGCCGGAAGGGGTTGCCCCGCGCGCCGTTCTGACACTCCCCGAGGATGAAGCACCTGCGCGGACGGCTGGAGAAGGGCAGCAGGCCGGCACTGATCACTGGTCTGTTTCGGCCCGGCTGCCGCACGCCCTGCGCACGCCCATCGCCTCAGGGGAGTCGGGTGGTATGCACCTGCTGTGACTCGGCAGCCTTGGCCTCCCGCCCCGAGCTTTGCGATTTCTGACAACCCGAGGAGCTCGCCACAGAGCTCATCGAGTGGCTCCCTGCCAGCAGAGCATTGACGGATCGCGGCCAGTTCCTTACTTCCTTTGCCTGTAGCAGCTGTTCATCCAAACACCTTCTATCGGATGTACCCGTATCAGTGGCCAGTGCTTAGGCATGGACGGGCGCCTCGTCCGCGCTTCGATGGCCCAGTTGCCACGGCAGCTGCTGCACCTGAGATGGCAAAGCAATATAGAGACAAAGTAAGTCAAAGCAGCAGTGCAGCATCTTGCAGCTCTTGCTCTGGCGAGCTCTGCGAGGTCCGCAACACCAGCACTGCGGGAAAGGTTGCTGGCCGCGTTGACCCTTCGAGTTTCTCGCCGGCATGCAGAAGGCCATGCAGAAGGCCCTTGGAACTTAACTTCTCAGATCCAGAAGCAAATCTGCCTGGAGCCCTGCTCTGAACGCCGATGTAATTTTCCGTGGCAGAAATGACCCCCAGTTCTTGTTGTTTTTTGGCATTGCTCGTCTTACTCACTGTCACTCGACGCTTCTGACAGGTTCTTTGATCAGATTAGCAATTGCTCAGTGGCGTCTCGACGATTGAAGGGTTCACCAAATCAAGGCTAGACAAGTAGTGGGGAATTGCAATCGTACCTGACAGTCCCGAAGCTAAAGAGCCCTGATGGGTCTTGGCGCCAATGCCCGGCGACCATCCCAACAAGGACGAGGACATCCTGACGAAAGCTCGTAGCGAGGCCAAGAACCAGTCGCTCTTTGCAGATGTAGCGATTGGCACCGCTTCGTTTGCGGTGCAGTCGCGGTCCAAGCTTGAGACCTTGTCGGGAAGGCGCAGCAGTCAGAGGCCCTCCAGCGTGCCTTGGCAAAAGTCGTGCAGGACGGGAATCCTTTCGGTCGATCAGGCATCGTCACGGTGGGATGGAGAAGTTCATGCTAATGGCCAAAAGGATTTCTTCTGAGGCTCAAGATGCTGGCTCCCGCGCAAGTCAGGTCTTAATTCCTTTGGAAGCTGAAACCTCGCTCACCCATGCAATGGCCGAAAGCAGCACTGATAACAATTCCTGGCATGCGATATGGGATTTGTGGGCCGAGTGCATCGATATCACGAGGGGGTAGTTGTGTCGGGTCGGTATGGCCCGGTTGGTGATACGAAAAAAAACTTACGGGGTGATCGTCACCCTTAGGTTTTTGCAGAGACGGTGTAGCAGTGGTACTAGTTGCACTGGTGCAGCCAAGGCGTGTTACGCAGCTACCCGCTAATCAAACCCTGTAGTTTCAACTATGGGCCTGATGCAGAGAGGATGATCGATTCTTGAGCTGTTGTCCACTACGAAGTCCGCGCAGAAACTGAATCCAAGACCCCAGCGTAACGCGCAGGAGCTGATCCCTTCTGTGCAGCAGCCAGCAGTGCGCGAGCTCGCGGCAGGCACACCGAAGGCGGTTGAGGCACAGGTGCCGTGATCTGCCCAAGTCTTGCTCAGACACGGCCTTCGGCTGTGCTGCTCTGGGCTTCGATGGGCCAGCGCTCCGCGATCTTCTGGGTGGCTTTGCAGCACGTCTGGGTGGGAGTGGTGGGATCGAGAAGCCGCTTCTCGCTTCCAGATGCTTCCAGGCGCGCTCCTGGAAGACACGGCGGACATCGAGGCTCCGGGGCTCCGGCCGTACCGCATACTGCAATGCTGGTAGCTGCAGGTGGGACCGGCAGCCAGGATCTGCTGGGCCTGCGCAGAGGTGCCATGTCTTGGCTTTGCAGATGCAGTTCAAGCACAAAGCTAGTCTGCAGAAAATGGCAGGTGGGTGTGCACGCCAGCGCTGCGCGTGCACTTCTTTCTCGGATGGCGGCGGCGGGGGGGCTCAGCACTGGAGCGTATATCAGCAGCAAGTGAGTTTACATGACAATATGAGCCTTCGAGCTGTGAAGAGGGTGCGTCTCCAAGCGCGATCGAGGAGAAAGCACGGGCCCCAGAGACGAGCTCGGACGTTTTGCGATGTGTCTGGTGTCTTGGCAGCTCTAGGCCTTGTGCCCTGAGGTGAGCTTTCTGCGCCTTGCGTGCCTCTTCTGCATGACGGCTCAACGACATCGTGCATCTTTGGTCACGTTAGGGAGGGGCTCTGCCGGTGGTTGCAGTGATTTGCTGCTCACAGGTGGGCCCTGCTTGCCTTCGAAGGACCAGAGGCTGAGCTCCGGCAGCTGCTTGCGCTCGGTGAAGACGACGCTCACGCAGCTGGGGCCCCAAGATGCCCTGAAGAGACTTTCGCATTGTGTGGCTGCACTGGGGCTGCCGTGTCTTGTGAGCCACGGACACAGGACACATAGACGAAAAAATCAAGTTTGAGTCAAGGTGTGGGTAACGCAGATTCGCTTCCTGTCTCCTGTGATCCCAGCCGGGTGGGGTTTGGGCGGAGCCGGCATGAACAGATGCTGACCCGAGCGCATCCATTGGATCGGCACCCGGGTGTGAAATGGTGTGGAAGGCCGACCATCCAGCGAAGTGGCAGGTGACCCCGAAGCGCCAATCCACACGAGGAGAGAGAGGATGCCCCCCCCCCCGCCTCCCCGCATAAATGCCCTTCATGACGGCTTTGCTGGCAATCAAGGTCACTTTCCTTGTGGTGTCTTCATTATGCATTCTCCCAGAAGTCCTGCTGGTTTAGGATGGTTTGGCAGGCTTGGTTTGGGCACTGCAAGCGGAATCCACGCACTGAGGATCAGATTCTGAGTGCATTGAGCCCACCGGACCTGCGTCCGATGCAGCAGCTGGCTTGGCACTGCCAGCGTCGAGCCCAGAAGCATGTGTAGCTGTCGAATGGCTTGGATTTCATTTTGGCCAGCATGAATGGAAGTTTGTGGAAGTTGGTGCAAGACTCCTGTACCCAGGCAGCAGCTCCCAGAACAGTCAGCGGTCTGGTCAGCTGCGGTCAATACCTCGGCCGCCCGGAGTGCTTGCTTGCGTACATGAAGACAAAGCCTGTTGTGCGAGCGGCATCGCAAGCTTGCTTGTCGGCTTCTGACTTCTGACACATTCATCGCACCCATATGGAAAGTGTCACGGATCACGGTCAGAGCACCTCATGCTGAATGATGTCACATAGCTACCTCGCACGAGACCCAGAGCTTACGGACTCTGCTAGCTTTAACCCAGCCAATGCCCAAGCTCCATGTCATAGCAGTCTTCACAGCAACATGTGCCTGCGCCGCTGAACATGGCGCTGGCCAAATCGGAACTGGAGGCAGAGCTGCTGGAGGCCAGGCCGAAGGAATCAGGCGGCGAAACCTCTGCAAACAGAGTAGAAACTCCTGAAAGCTGCGATCTCCCCTCCACCACTCGATCCTGGCACATCAAGCTAGACTCAGACCCAAGTAAGAGGTGCGCGTTGGACACAAAGCACCTGGAGAACGTGGTTCTTGCACAAATCGTCAGAATTGCACCTGTGACCTGTGACGCATCTCTGCATCTCGTCACATTCGGGCCATTTTATGCAAGATACTCTTTCATCCCTTTCCAAGAAAGACGAAGCCTGACCGACGCCGCGAGCGCAGGTTTCCCGTGCTGCGGAAGATTTGAAGCAGCAGGTGCGCGCATGGCATGCATGGTTCGCCCCAAATCCTGAGCCTGAGTGAGTCCTAAGCCGCATGAAGCAATCGCTTCGCAGGTGAAGTCCTCGGCCAAGCAGTTGGAATCCAGCTATGCAGCGAAGCCTGGCTGCATGCTGATTGCTTTTGTAATCCCAGACTCCCAAATCCCCTAAATCCGATGAGTGCATAACACGGTAATCGGCACCTACTAGCCCTAAACACAGAATTCAAGAAGCTGCGCGGACTCGAGTCTTTAGGCTTCAGCAGCGCGCTGAAGCGGCGCATGAATCATCGCAGCAGGCAGGATGCGCAAGACAGAGAACACCTGACAGAAAGTGGGCAAAGTAGGTTTGGCTTCCTGTCGAACCGTCAAAAGTTCTAACCTCTTGGAGCCACCCAGCACAGAGACAACCCTGTAGTTTTTGCTTGGCACGTCATTTGACGTGAGTCTCGCGTGTCATTCCATGGAAGGTCCTTGGCGCGGCCGCAGAGCGGCGGGAACGCCTGGTGGCACTTCGCCGGCAGTGCCAAGAGTCTCGGCTACATAGGGTCTCAGGAGTAAGAGCATGAAGGAGACTGGTCCACTCGGCGCCATCTTGCTGGTAGGAACCCGGTAATGCAAGCCTGTACAGGAAGTCGCGGAGCAATTGCAGCAGGCCCGATGGGTGTGGTAATTGAAACGAATAGTCCGCCCCGTCGCGTGTGAGAGCGCCGCAGACGCTCAGGGCTCGTCGTTCGACGTAGCTGCAGCTGCACATCTGCAGGCAGGGCTCCCCAACTGTGGATTTGGCGGTCTTTCTCCGCTTGCTAGCCTTTTGGTTGCGCAAGTTAGAATCAACGCGAGTTTACTTGATCTGCCGCACGATGTGCAGTCAACGGGCTGTTGCTCCTGGCTCGCGCCTTTACGAACCCTGAAATGCCGAATTTGGTTTGGTAAGCGCGTTCCAGGTGATGATGGCCAATTCAGAAGGTATCTCTTCATGACAGAGTCATCACGAGTAACTGGCGTAACTTGTTCCGTCACGAAGTTTTCGAGCTTGATCGACAAGGTGATGCTTGACTACACGTTGCATCAGGAAGAGACGATTGGAAGATCTATGAATATCGCATGAAGGAGTTTCCATCGAAATGTCATCCAAAATGTAGATGCAACCGAACTCCACTTGCTGGCAAGTTCGTGTGGGCTCGGAGGAGTTCACTTTCATACTTGCAAGGAGGTGAGTTTGCCTCGAGAGGAACGCTGCCCGCAGCACGCAACACTCAACACTCAACCAACGACGACACAGACTGACAGTGCAAGAGAGGGCGCCGGTTCGTGACTGCCACATGGGTTCAAGTCCCTGAGCCCCAGTCGGTGTGTGAGAGTCTTGTCTTTAGTGGGGCACTTCGAGTTGCGGAGCTGCCCAGAACTGGGAGGTCCCAGTCTCCGACACAGTGCCGAAGGCAAGTTTTTTCTTGCTGTGCTTCATTCTTTGTCAGCTTTGTGCTTTGGGAAGGATGGGCTATGAGGATCTCTTCGGTCTCAGTGTTTGTGCGAGGTCGGCTGCGAACGCGCTGCTGGCGACGTCAGCGAGACAGCGGTCTCGGAGCCCAGCAAGGTCTGCTTGGATCGACACGACGGTCTGATGCTTTCCCTGCGGAATGGACAGCCTCGCCGATCTGGTGTTGGCAGGCATCCGTGGTAGAGACCGTGCCAGCAAAGGCAAGACCTTTCCTAGGTCCGAGTTGGGCGGGTCCTCGTGCTCGCGTAGCAGTATCACGAGGCCGCCGAAGAAGCTCCGGCGATGCCGGCGAGCAAAGCAGGCCCCGAGGCCACGGAAGCTTTGTGCAGCTTTGGCTGGGCTCGGGCAGCGAGAGTACCGCGCAAGCAGTTTGCAGAGGCCAAGGCTGAAGCCAAAGCCATGGCCAAGAAGGACCTCCGCAAGTTTCCATAGAGATACGAGTGAGATCCTCTGGCCACACTCCAAAGGAGCCGAAAGGAAAGAGGGGTAAGAAGCAGGCAAGTGCGCGTGTGTGTGCTCTGGCCTGCGACCTCTGAGCCCATCCCAGACGTCGAGGACGCCCAAGCGGAGCCGGCCCAAGCGGAGCCCGCCCAGCCGGAACCGGCCGAACCGGCAGCCGTCCAGGCTGCGCCAAAGAAATCGATAGCCTGAGGAGACTCCGGAAAAAGCCGAGACTGTAGGCTTGTTCAGTGCATACATACTTTTCAAACGGGTGCCTAAGTATGGGTTGTCCATGGAAGCGTCGTAACTCAAAGACACGGTGAACACTAGTATGACAGACCAGAGCGGCAGGTAGAGGCTGCAGAGCCAAGTGCAGCAGAGGCTGCGAACATGCTCCGCCAGCCTTGGTACAAGGGGCCCAAGAGGTTTAGCAGCTGGAAGCCTTATCCATTTCTCAAACTGGACGAGTGTGGGCAGGCTGCAGCGGATGCGAAGCCAAAGAAAGCTCCACAGAACAAGAAGGACCGAAAGCAGGCGTGATCGCAGATCGCCACCTTGGCGTGACCAGTCTTGTGTCCGGGCTTGTTAATGAGTGCAGGGCTTTAGCCAGGGTTTGGAATTTTCCGAAAGGATGTCACGAAAGCTAGCTCTGTTGAGCTGGTGGGAGTTGCCCTTTAGCAATTTTCACTTGGTCTACCTTGTATTAAGGCACTAGGGCAAAACCAGGGCTTACACCTTATCAGGTGGGACGTCCAAGAGTTAAGGTGGGGGGGTGGGGGGGAGGAGGGGCCGCCCCCCCCCTCACCTCGCTCATGAAGCATTTTGAAGAGACAAGGTGTGGTTTCCCCCCGCCTCCCCCCCCCACCTTTAAGGTTGCGGCGCGTGGGACAAGGTGGGGGGGGGGCTCCCCCCCCCCTACCCACAGGTCCCCCCCCCCCCCCTTCCACAAGGTCCCTGAATTTGCTTGTGTTTGAAGTTTGTCGTTTGCGCTGCGTCTTGGCTCCAGTTTTTTTTGGTCCTTCGCAGTGTCGTCCAACTGCGAGACTGAACCGAACATACCTTGTCGCCTCGGCCTCGTGTTCGACAGTACTCTCATGTCACATGCGTCCCCCGCCTTACTCAGCGCCAATTGCTCGCAGCTACGCTTCCTCTCCCCTAGCTTTCGTGGCCCTCTTCTCAAGTTTCGCAACTCGGTTTGGGAATTGATGTGGTGAGCCGAGACAACCGAATCAGCAACATTCCAAACGAGCAGGCTGGTGACAAAGCAAAGAAGGCGGCAGTCGAGAAGGCGGAAACATGCGGAAGTGGTGGTCATGTATGTGACTTGCTGACGCGTTCTCACGGTAGGCCAAAGCGGCAGCAAAGCAAAAGGACACCGAGGAGAAGGCGACAATCTGGGGCACCAGCGGTGTCCGGGAAGTCTCTGCAGCCTCGGCGTCAGTGTCAATGGTGAGGAGACCAGGGCGCGCAAGGCCGAAGAAGAGCGGGCGCGGAAGGAGGAGGAGTGGCATGGCACGGACGGGCTCCTTGGAGCGAATCCTCCACTGCGTTTACGGAAGGAGGCTGAGCGCAAGCAGCGAGAGGCGCGGGGTCGGTTCAGTCAGGGCTTTGGAAGAGGAAGCGATGAAGATTCGACTCTCGCACAGTATGGCAAGGCCGAGGCTTTGGCACGGGCCGAAGCAGAGAAGGCCGAAGCTCAGCGGACAGTCAGGGTTAGGGCGGCGAGGGTGGTATAGGAGCAAGGGGCTGGACATGCAGGCTGGAGCGGAGCCGCGCGGGTCGCCCAAGAGGGAGGAGGACCCTGACGAGGCTCCAAACTCCCACCTGCTCTCAGCGTGGTCCAGGAATTCGACGATCCAGAAGAGATCGAGGAAGCCGAGGCACTCAAGGAGGAGGACATCGACGTGGAGGAGGGAGACTCACAGCCTCAGTGCCGTGGTCGCAATCAGTCCTTGCTTCTCCATTGTGTCCCCCTCCCTCCCTCCCTCCCTTCCTCCCTCCCTCCCTCCCTCCCTCTCTCTCTCTCTCTCTCTCTCTCTCTCTCTCTCTCTCTCGCGCTCATTCGCCCGACAATGTAGGTGGCCTGCAGAATCTGTAGCTTAGGTTTTCCAGCGGCTATCAGGACGCCTGCGGTACTCAGCCGCACTCCCAATGCCGACGCGAATTCGTGACAGGACGGCACGGCCCTGGCGGCTGCCGCTTTGAATAGCCCAGACCAGCCGGAGTCGAAACAAGGCCTGGGCCGAGGATGTAAGCACCGACTGTCTCTGATGTCCTTTCTGCAAGGTGGTTGGCTCTCTTGGTTTCGTGGCAAGTGAGATCAGGGCCGTGAGCTCTTCCGAGCTCCGCTGCCAGCCCAGTCTGTTTTGAGCCCCGCTCGAGACATCACTTATTCTGAAAAGTGTTGAGCTTGATGGATCTGGACCGGCAGCAGAGGTAGTTCGGAATTTATTTCGTAGATTCACAAAAGACCTCGGTGGTTTCAAGCTCTGCGCTGGAGAAATTGCCCTGGTTCCATGCTGGTCAAGGGTTTTTTTCTGCCTGAGGAGTCTTTTCCAGGTCCTGGCGGCTGGGCCACATGCACCGCGCAGTGCATCTGCCGGGTCACATGGGCGGCCGCCGCAGACGGAGGTGCAACCTGAAAGAAGCCAGAGTGGTGCCAGTACGTTGTGTGGAGTCGGAAGAGGCAGAAAAGACGCTGTCTGCCCTACTGCAGCACCTTCGGATCCCCCATGCGACTTAGCGGAGATTAGGTGCTCCGCCGTATCACTTCAAGGCTGCACCAGTCACAGCGGCGACGTTGCGCCGAGGTCGTGGCTTCCCCCGCGGCAGTCCCTGGAGGAATCTACCGCATTCCGGCATTGCCGGCTGTTTGGGGATGATTTGACATGAATGAAGCAAAGTTGAACGATTCTTGTGGCAGGTCTGGTTTCCTGAGCAGAGCGCCGCACTAGAGCTGGAGCTCGGGCAGCACATACTTCACGATAGCAGAGTCGGGTGACAGAAGAGCCCGGTTTCACAAGGAACAGCTCGGCGACCGTCTCGCTGGAGGTGGGCTCTCCGGGACTGCGCGGCTCAGGCGGGGCTCCTGCGGGCTCGAGTTCTCCACTGCCTGATCCATCAAATGCTCGCATGTGTAGGGGCAGGCAGGCGAGGCGACATGCAGAATGTAAATGAACCCGATCTGCGAGCGACGTCGCTCCCAAGCCCCGTGCTGGATTGCATTGTGGTCCTGCATTTACTGGGTCAAGGGGGTGGGGGGGGGGGGGATGAGGTACTTGCAACCCGGGTCCAATTTTGCTTCTCCTTCGAGGGGTAGCTGGATGCGTCCACGTTGAGACTGAGCAGAAATGTGCATTCAACCCGGCCCGCCTTTCCTCATAGACCGAAACCTGTTGCGGTGCCGCGCTGCTTGCAGCCGAAGGCGACGCCAGCTTCGCGAAGCGGGCTTGAAAGTTCTTGCCTTCGGCCACGACCCCAGGTTTGAACGATGGTTATTGTCAGTGTTGGTTTCTGGCGGCATTTCTCGTGGCGCTTTTGTGGGCCGTAGTTGCCCAGACTCGTAGCTCACGCAAGAGCTGTGTGTTCTGACTGAGATCCCTCCGCCTTCCGTGGTGCCTCGCAGCTGCGTCGGCTTCGTGCGGTGGCGGAGGCATTGGGTCCGGGATGAAATTCCGTGGCCCCTGCCTTGCACGTCGTCACTGCCCTGAGTCCTTGGGTGGGCATTGGCTGGCAAGTTTAGGGTTTAGCCAGTTTAGGGCTTAGGGTTCCTTCGGGAAGTGCATGCCAGAGCGATCTGCACAGGTTGTGGCCCCGTCTTGCCCAGAGGCAGGAGGTGATGGAGCCGTGGGGAGCCGTAGTGAAAGGTGAGACATCCAAGTGTTCAGTGTTTTCTTTTTTTTTTTTTTTTCTCTCTCTCTCTCTCTCTCTGTTGGTGCGTGGGCGTGTTGTGGCAGTGCTCCTTAGATCATTATGACTTGAATGCGCCGCTGCGACGGCATGGGAACCCTTCGGAACCTTCGCTTGCAACTTTTCTTGGAAAGTTCGCCTTGAGCAGCCGAAGGCAGCCGCTTGGCTCCGCAGCGGCGAAGCGGCGCAGGCTAGAGCAGAGGAGCCGCGGAGGGGGCCCGGCGGGCCCTGCAAAGCGGGAACGAAAAAGGCAGCCCAAAACAGATCTTTTGAAATCGCAAGCGCAGTCTGCGCAGGACCTGCAGCGCCTGACCAGCTCCCCAACACCAGGCAGGTTTTTTTGGGCATGTTACAGTCTGCGAGAGCGTCTTCTCGCACTCTTCAGGCCGATCTCACGCGCTGGCACCAGAAGAGGCGTGAGACTTTCCCAGAAGACTCACCTGAAGATCTTCAACTGTCAGTGGGCCAGATTCTCGGGCCTGAAACTCGTGTGGAATGCACAGGGGGGGGGGGCTGCGTTATGGAGGGCAACAGCATTCTGTTGTTTTGAGGTGTACAACAGCCAGCCGCCTTCACTGCGTGTGCGGCAAAGGCACTGCCGTGCGCAGGCCCTGCGCAAAAAGAGTCGGGCAATAATCGGCTTCGCCGAAGCCATCCGAAGCCAAATCGTACGGGAGGCGAAGATCCCGCCGTTCTTGCAGCTGACGATGGACAGTTCCATCGGACTCGATGCGAGGCACCATGCTTGCAAGGCAATGCAGGCGCTCTGCAATGCCATGCAACGCGCTCATGCCGTGCAACGCCTCGTATCTGACGCTCTGGTCATCATTGGCATCGCGATAGGGAGCGTGCCACAACGAGTTGGCCACGAGCAGCTGTGAGAAGCGGTGCAAAAGGTTGCAAGCGTGTTGCTGTATCGAGCGTGAAAGTTCCATGTACAGTCCCACAAACTGGCGCAGGACACTTTGGTTGAGAAGCTCTTGGCTGCTGCAGGGGGCACGGACGAGCGTTGCCAGGATCTACTGCAGTGGAGGGATGCCAGGTCTCAGCCGTGTCATGCCATGTCGTGCCGTGTCACATGCACGTCTCGTCCTCAAAGGAAACTCGAATAGTTGCAAGGGTGCATGCAGTGTGGGATCTGTGCAGGAGACGGGGCAGCTTCTAGCTGAGCTCACCAATCGGGTCGACGTTCAAGGTTGGCACAGGGCTTGCAACCGCAGCTGTCTTCTGTCAAGACTTCCGTCGTCGAGTTTGGGGGTTGGACAGTCAGCTGCAAGACCCTTTGCATCGCTTCCAAAAATCCCGATCAGCCTAGTCTCGCGAAGCCACGAAGCCAAGATCTGCTGTTCGCTCCTGTCTTTGTTGGCTCAGCCGCTTCGCGATTCCTGTGCCGTCCGTCCGCGTCCGCCTTCCCTGCCCTTCTGTGCCCTGGCTCTGCTTGCAGCATAACTGGCACTGTCTTTGAGTGGCATGAAGAAAAGAACTCAAGTCGGTAGAAGCCGTGAGGGAAGGGCAAGCATTCCGTGGTCGCCGTGGTACGTCCTTTGGACATACCTTTGGCCCTGCCGAGGCCTACCCGATTCCACCATCATGGGTGCCGGAGCTTCGTCCGCTGCGGAAGCTGCCAAGAATGCGACCGTCGAGGCCGAAACGGAACTGAATACAAATCATACATGGACGTGGATGTCACATGTGTTTGCGTGTGTGCACTTTATACTCGGCTCCAGGAGCTCAAATCAGCCATCTCGGCTGCCAGCCCGGAGGAGCAGAAGAAGCTGGCCGATGCCCTGAAGGCGCTTGAAGGCTTGGCCCCATCTTTCCTCTCCGCACAGCATCGCAGAGCACCGTTCTGCTTGCGTTTCGTCAGGCGGTGCCGCTGGCCCCTGCCCCGGTCCCGTGGACTGCTCCGCCCCTCGGCAAGCACCAGGGCACCCACTCTGGGCGCCCGGGCGACCTTCATGCGAGCACTTTTTCTGCTCAGGCCGTGAAGGTGGTGGCCAAGGACTACAAGGCCGGCAAACGGAGCCACGGAGCTTATTCGAGCTTCCGGCTTCCGCAAGACGGGTACCCCAAACTTCTCTCACAGCTTCCTCGCTTTGCCCAGGGCTTGCTGGCGCAGCCTGCAGAGCCGAAGTTCAAGGGAGCCCTGTGCCAGTCCCTGGGACTTTCAGCTAAGATGAATCCGCGAATTTTGCATAGCATGCGATACCTGTATACGCTGTCAAAGCAGAAAGTTCCACAGGCTTTTGCTTACCTGCTTTTGTTCTGGCTCTGGACCAGAGTGTCCATGCCCAACTGGGGCGGATCCTTCCAGGATCTACGTCCGAGATGCACCTTACGGCGGGTCTGACAAGAGCAACAACGGCCATCGCGCCTGGGCATGTCGTTCAGATTAAGTTCTTGGGCTTGTGGTGTCTTCAGAGAGCTAGGGGTGAAATGGGACGACGGCATGCCTTAAGATCCGACTGCACAGGCTACGACTCCATCCCTTTCGCCAACGGCATGATCACATCTGGGATGAGCTGCCAGCACACGACTCAGATTACGGGACAGTGAAGAACGGCAGGGATGATGAGCTTCAACCCTCGGCCCGGCTTTCTTGTAACCTGCAGACCTGAATGATTCGCGGCTGACTGCTTACGGACCGAGGTTGATCCACTACACTCACGAGGAGCACGACAAGTTCTTCGAGGTGTGCAAGCAGTTCAACTTCATCATCGCCCGGCCCGCAGAGAGACATCCACGCAAGTAAGCAATCAGCCGCTGCAATTCGATGTTATAGTCTTCTATTGGTGTTGATGCTGTGCTTAATGTTAACAATATTATCAGTGGTGTCACTCGTATCATTTTCCAGCTATGACGAGTATCATGACTGCTACTATGCTTACAACTTGTTACTAGCCCTAAGGGTTGTGGTTGCCATGACCATATATCAGTTGAAAATACCACCACTGCTGCCATTGCAAAAACTATCATCATGATGACAAAGATGCCGGAGTAGACGCAAAGAAATCAGCTGCCGCTGCCGCTGCCACGGGCGTTGCTGCTGCTCCCTCACCTACAACTGTTCCTGGTCCTGGTTCTGGTACTTGTGCTGCTGCTGCTACCACTACCGCAACCACTACCACAGCCACTGCCACTCCGCCGCTGCCACTGCCACTTGCACTGCCACTGCCACTGCCGCTGCCACTGCCGCCACAACCACGACAACAACTACCGCTACTACTACTTCTACTAGTACTACTGCTACTGCTACTGCCACTGCACTACTGCCACTGCCACTGTCCTGCCCCTACTCCTGCTCCTGCTCCCGCTGCGACTGCTGCTGCTAGTGCTGCTGCTGTTGCTACTGCTTACGACCACTACTACTACTACTACTACTACTACTACTACTACTACTACTACTACTACTACTACTACTACTACTACTACGACCCTGGTGCTTGCGTGGATGATGACTAGCACCTTTGTTTTAGCCGTGACTTTCAAAGGTCCGTTGCAACCCTGGCCAGATCAAGGCTCGTTCCTTTCTCCCTGCAAGGGGTTGGCGTTGGGTTTTGGGGAGGTGTCGGACTTAGGCTGCGAACTCTTTGTATTGCTGTTTTCGGTTGAGGTTTTGGGGAATGATTAGGGTTACGTTGTAGTTTTGAGTTGGGTTTTGACTTGGGGTTCAAGGGTCTAGATTCTTGCTCCTACCGCCAGGCAGATGGCGGTGATCAGCAGAAGTTCGATGACCCTTGGCATGCAAGAAGAGACAAAGCCTGTGCAACAGCACCGAGCATTCCAGCCGTGCAGATCCATTAACCCGAGGATGGCATGCGTGGCTTGCGTGGCATGGGCATCCAGGAGTCTTGCCTGAAGTGGGGAAAGATGCGGTGGTTTGAAGTACTGCTGCTTCATGATCGAGTATGATAAGAAATTCAAAGGAGGCTTTTGCTCAGACTTGCAGTCGAGGTGTGGCCGTCCCCGGACGTAATGGAGAAGATGGGAGCTAAGGATGCTTTGTGCAAGGCCGGTTTCGGTTTCTTCGCCACGTAGTCATCAATCTTAGAAGCCGCCGTGGCCAGGTGGCAACCCTCAACATCGGCCTGCCAGACACATTGGCGTCTGATGCTCAGCGGTTGCCACTTTTTTCTAGGATGTCAGCATTTTCATTCAGAAGCTTCTTCCTTGCTTGGGCTGCAGCATGTGGTACAGTACGTTGCTTTTGTGAAAACAAGTCATCTCTGATCGTAAGCAGTCGTCAGCAAGTTTCCTTCGGACATGCTGGCCACAGTCCAGCCATACTGGGGCAGGCGTGTGGAGCTAGAGAAGCTCTGCATAGCTCTGCTGCAGATGCGCACATTGTACGGCACCGCTGTCGAGGTATTACTCCCCGGAGGAATTCGGTGCTGGCTTCAAGAAGACGATGGCCTTCCAGCCTCGAGTGGCTCAGCAAAACCGAGCTTCTGCTTGGACATTTTATGGGTCCCCTCCCTTCTGAGGTCATTAAGCAAAACCGTGGCTCCAGTGGCGAAGGCCTGTCGCGGTTTCGGGCTGCTCACAACGCTGGTCACATAGTGGATGGAGATCTGTTAGTCGAAGAGTAACATCTCATCTCAGATCTGGGAGAAATCAGGGTCGAGATGGGTCGAGGGTCCCTCAGGAACGCATTGAGGCTTTTGCTGATCGTGCTTGGGGCTTTGTGCCTTCAGGCCGTCCATCCGTCGAATTCCATCTTTCGAACTGTTCTCGCGCCATCCTCTCCCCTAGCAGAATTTGCTTTTCGATTGCAGCAGGCATCTGGATCATCAAGCTCAAGGAGGGCCGCCAAGCTGCACACACTTAGGGCCTCGGACCTCGGGGATTTCGTGCGGAGGAGATCATCGGCTTCAGGGCTTGGAGCTGTCCCGCAAATTTCAGTTTCTCATTGCGATCAATGCCACATGGCACCGGCACTGGCCATTTCGCTCAGGCAACTACTGCAAGGAGTGCCTTGGCCCAAACGGCTGAGAACATCTCGGACAGATCGGCACATCATAGCATGGAGTTACGGGGTGTGGACTTGGCACTTGCTGTTTGACCGTCTCCGATAGCCTTGAGCAGAGCCTATTCAGAGCCAGATGCATTGCTTTTCCGCAGCGAAGGTATGGCGAGCGCCTCTGCGAAGATTCCGAAGTCCTGTCCCTCATGGAGGCACGTGCACCTGCGGGCTTAGGGAACCTGCTGGGGAAGCCACTGAAGTAGCGCTGGCCGCTGGTCTTCGAGGCCAACGACAACCATGAAGAAGAGCACACCGTGGCACAGTTCATCGAGTTCTGCGTCAGCGGCCGCAGCGTGGACTCCTCAAGCTTCTTTCGTATACTCAGAATTTCAGAATCTGAAGACTGCGATGACCAAGGACAAATCCGGAGAGTGGACGTCCAAGGGCGTGGGAAAGTACCTGGAGGCTTCAATCTTTCGTCCGGACGGTCGGCCGTTCCACAGCCTTCTGTGTGGTACCTAGTGCCTAGGGGCTCCTTGCCTCGGATGCGAACTGTCCTTTCGCCCCGCACGCAGGGTGGCAAGGCCGCTGGTGGCCAGCTTGCCGCCTGCTCAGCTGTAGTCTGTCATTATCCGTCATCCAGCAGTGCTTTGTGAAATTCGTGCCAGGTCGACCAGCGCTTCTGCCCACGCATTGTCGAGGGGGAGCTCCGACACTTAGCCGCAAAAAGTTACGAGGGCTGCCAACAGTTAAGGGTTTCCGCTGGTCACTGTCGCACGAAGTATTTGAATGAGGTTACAACCTGATCGTCGACGCTCTGGTTGGAATCATCCACAAGAAGCCGAAGGCGCCTTTGCTCAAGAGCTTGCTGAAGCACATGCCGATGAATTTTCCTTTTTGAGGAAGGTGGCATCTCCGCTGTTGGCGGAACCGGTTCGGCCGGGGCCTCGTAGAGTCCCCAGCTGAGCGTCGCAAAGCCTGCCAACGCTCAGATCTACACCTACTACGGACCCGAGGAGGCGACGCCGTGATGGCGGTTTTCCTGTCCGTAAGGTGCATCTAGGAACGCCCTGTCCAGCAGGATCCCGAACTGTGCGCAGGGAGTTATGGGTCAGAAAGCCCTGAGAATCCCGAGCCCTAGCAGCCCTAGGTAGCATGCATTTCTATCAGGCACAGTTCAAGAACCTGACCACCAACTTTCTGGAGAAGGAGGGGCACTTAGCCATGGCTGCGCCTCTGCAGGGGGGCAGCACATCCCAGAAGCGACGAAGTAAACGGTAAAACGGTGTCTGTCTGTGTGTTTTTGGTTCCGTTTTGGGGCAGTTCTAGAAGCTCTTTCTCACAGTCCCTTTGCCACTCTGACACGGTGTTCCTGTGGGTACCCAACTCGGAGGATCTGCCGCTGGTGATGCCGGCCCTGGACCTCCCGGATGAGCCGGTGCCCCTCTGGTGGACCACGGACTTCATCTTGGCTTCCCCCGAGGGCACGCCCAAAGAGGAGGAGAAGTGGATCGTCGGCGAGTTCAACTGTTGCTCATTATGCATTCGTGCTCTCATGTGGGCTCAGGTGACAGGCTGCCGAGGTCTCCCTTCTTGTTCCCTGTCTCTCGTTGAGGCTCCTGCGTCGGCATCAGTCGATGCCTGGCGGCCTACTGCAAGGATCGCTTCCGCTGGGCTCCGGAAAGTTTGAACTCCTCTCGTCCGCATAAGCTTAGTGCCAGGTGTAGCTGTTCGGCTGTGACCGTGACCGCCGCTGCTTATGGCTCAAGCACATCTCCAGTTTCAAGCACATCTCCCGTTTTGGGGACAAACCTGTTGCACACAAGCTCCATCATGCACCCGTCTCTTGGATCGCGTTTTTCTTCCCCAAAGCTCCAGCTGATACCTGGTACTTTCCCGAACAGAGCCAGAGCTGGTCACCACATGCATGCGTATGGTTAGCGATGTTTGGCCCACGATGCCAAGTGCCACTGCCGTCAGCCTCCCGGCACCCTTCCGCGCGAAGACTGGGGCCCTTGCCGCTTTTATGCGACTCGGCTTGCAACAAGACCTGAAACCCCGAGAGCCTAAGCGCTTAGCCCAGCTGAGCTGAGGGCGCCTTGCGGTCCTTGCGGTCCTCTTCATGCTCCTGGAGACGGCCCTCGGCACGGTGTCCTGGGCAAGCCCAATTTGGAGGAGTGCAGTCGGGGCAGTTGCGAAGCCTCTTTTCGCCTCCCTGATGGTTCTGCCTTTGAAGAGAGAGCCTGCAGGGGTAGCGGGGCGAGCGACTCCGCAGTGCTCCTGAACTCCACGTGCTCTTGCCTGACTTGAATCTTGAAGCAGAGCGTAAGGCCTCGCCACCGAAGATCGCATATTGTAGAGAGCCTGGTCTGCAGGTACTCCAATGCCTTGGGCAGCTGCCAGGCAAGGATGCACCTGCAACATGATACTTGTAGGATGCCCCCACAACTGTATGACGGAACTGTGCTTTCCAGAAGGTGGTCGTGTGGCCGGATGGGCGAATGGAGTTTGAGCTACATGGTTTCGGCACTGCTGACACCACCGGCAAGATGCTTCTGAAGCTGCATGCGATTTTGGGTCGAGGACGAAAATCTCCGTTGAATCTATCTTGCCGAGGCTGCGAGACTGTCGGGCTGCGATGAAGCGAATCGATGGCTCGGTCAACTGTACCATGGATCTGTGTACTGCTGCAGAAGCACGCGTCACGCCGCTGTTATATCGCTGACAAAGGCACAGCGCTGGTTGACATGAGGATGGGCTTGGGTTGTTCACCCCTAGCAGCTCCACCGCCGCACTGTACACGCCACTGTCGCCAGCACACGCCGTGTTGCGAACATGGTGACTGCCAACCTCCGGCCGCCAAGGTGCCAGTGATCTCTCGTTTCATGCGGGACGAGGGCCCAAGAATTCAGTACTCAGCCGTACTTGGGCCCAGCCACTCGGAGCTGTGAGGCATGGATGAGGAAACTGTCGGGCGGCAAGTGCATGTTCTAATGTTCCTTCCAGCAAAGGACCACTCATGGCACTGGCCCAGACCATTGCAACTGCGGCGGCTCGCCTCAGAAAAGTGTACGACGCTGGGAGTCAAAACCTCTACTGTTCTACTGCTTTACAGAGGTGCATCAGACGGGCGTCGCCTTCTTCATACACCGGCATGATGCAGAAAAATGGTGCCAGATCCCCACGCGGTAAGGACGTCTCGACTGCTCTGACTGAGATGTCCAGTACGCCGAGCGCAGGCAGCAGAGGCCGGCAGGAACACTCTTGCCCCTCGCAGCTGTGCCTTGCACAGACTACTTTGCAGAGCAATTTTCAGTCCCTCCTCAAAGTACAGGAGGCGACCCTCGCAGTCCCAAAGAGTTCGCAACAAATTGTGGAGCTGAGCTTGCCTGTCTTTTGCCGAATGCATGTAAATGATCGGGTCTCTCTTGATGGTGGGTGTGCCCGGAGGATGACACGCCAAATGCGTGCTATGACGACATCACAGCGGAGGACAAGGCAGAGGCTGACAAGTTGCGGCCTCAGAAGCAGGAGGCAGATGCACCGGGACGGCTGCAGCAGCCTTCACACTATCTCACCACACTCATTGCCGTTGCATAGGATCATCTGCTACCCCACACATGATTCAGCGGTCGGACGTGCGAAGGTATGGCAAGCTTATGGGAGAGAAGGCGGTCCGTTCTTGACCTGAGCAGGATGTTGCAAAGCATCGTCTGGATATCGTCAGAGCCTGCGAGCTGTGGAGTGATGTGGAGTGACTTGACTTTTCGCTGTACCGACTGGTACTACAGATGAGGACGCTATTCCTTATCATGCGGTGGTGGCAGCCTGGTAACAGCACTTACAATGTTGCTTGCAAAGTCTTCCACTGTCGCATGATCTTCTGGTACTGTTCGGAACAGAAGAATCAGCGCCAATGCTCGTGAGAATGATAGCGCCCTAGAATCAATATCACTAAGATCGGAGGAAAATGGTGGATGCTCGCAGAAACACCACCAACAAATAGCTCACGACGGAAAGATGGTACCCAGAGGTTCAGAGTTTCAGAGTGTGTCTGTTTCAGGCCCTGGCCATCCTCTCCAAGTGAAGCCGCAGATCGCAGGGAGCCCGGTACTGTAGTTGCAGTTGCTTTAGAAGGCCTTTAAGTCCTTGCTTGGGATCTACACATGTCATTACACTTCATGACACTTCTCCATGCAGGGTTCATATCAGATCGTCCTACGAGAAACAGCAGTTGGAAGCTCCTCCCAGGCAGCACTGATTTGACAGCGCCTCGGATGAATACAGGCTTCTCAAGAGGAGATTTGGAAATCGAGTCTGGCAGCTGTCACTTCCTTGCCGGGCTTGGTTTCTAGCTCTGGTACATGGCCCTGTCTGCAGAGGCCGGGTGTCGCAGAAAATTGGCATGCTCGAGCTGCAAGTGCTCGCTGACTCTGCGTAATACCTCTTCTGAGTCCGAGGGACAGTTCTGCTCTGGCACATCGAACACCCTTCAGCAGGAATCTGTCTAAGTCTGGGGCGAGACGGCCGGACTGGTTAGACAACAAATAGAAAAGTCTCAAGAAGCGTGTGCAATATGTACTTAGCACAGCACCTGCTATGCACTTACATGCCCCAACCGGCGAAGCAGAGAAGTCCTAGCCAGCTCCACAAGTTCAGGTACTAGCTTCCTTCTTTCCACTTCTTTCCCACTTTCGCTTCAGTGCTTTTGGCACTTTCAGCACCTGTGCCTCGGACCCTTCAACATCGAAGTTCTCTTCCCTCTTGTCTTGTCTGGCGGCGTTTTGGAGAGAGCTTCCTAGGGAAGCCCGCCAGAAGCCCTCAAAAGGGGGAGAGCTCTGAGTTCTCATGTCGACTGCACGAATGCCTGCAGCTCTCGCCGCACCATTCCATGTGAGCCTTGCGTAGGGGGCTCCGCAGGCTGCTTAATGCGTCTTGCGCAGCCCTCCTCCCGTCCATCCACTTGTTTCTCCTTTCTCGGACTGTCTCGACATACTTCGCAATGCTTGACCGGTCAGGTTTGAATTTGCAAGGACGGACGATTTTCTCTCGCTTGGCCACAGACTAGCAGGTGTGACTTCGGGCTGATGTCCAGGATTGCCGGCGGTTGTTGAGGCGCTGTTTGTGCCTCCGGCTGTGGCAGTCCCCTTCTGAGCGTGTCAGCAGCCGAATGCTGGACCCATCAAGGCCTAACGCCCTGAGGGACTGACCGCAGAATCAGTTTGAACGCCGTGAGTTGACTCTGCTAGCAGTGCTAGCAAAATGCGAGGATTTCGGGGATCTCAAAGTCGCAGCTTGTCTGTACATCGTGCTGCCTTGGAGGTAGGGTGCTCACGGTGCTCCTTTGACACAGGCTTCGGATCCAGTCAAACTGGCTTTAAATCTCCAGTGGCATGAAAAAACCCATGCGTGCCAGACACGGCGCCGCTGACGGCGCTCATGCTGGATGTACTGATCTATATCCTTGACAGGCCAAGAGATGATGAGCGCCCGTGCAACCGATCAGAAGGAGGTTCGGAGAGATGTTTTCTGGGAGTGGCAGATAGGCAGATGGCTTTGGTGCAGACGTCAGAAAGGAAAACAAGCGGATGCTACCCTGCTTCGACCGTAGCCGTGGGGCACGAGCTTGATCTCGATTCAGGGTCCCAGGCTGTCATGGAGGCCGCGACGAAGTCGCTGACGACCTCCATTAGTTTCACAGGTGTCTGGGAGTGCCTTCGGGGCTGGTGGACGCGGTCGAGCGAGAAGGACCTTCGCGAGGCAGAGGCCGCGCTTCTTAGAAGGGCGGTGTCCTCGAAGGTGAAGGTCACGGAGGTTCCAATCTCCGACGAGCATACCGTGCATACGCTCTCTGTCTCGCAAGGGGCGAGGACGAGCGGGCTGGCGCCTGTGGTTCTAATCCACGGCTACTTTATGGGCTCAGGTTCATGGGCTCACAGCTTGGATGCCCTAGCCTCCACTGGCAGACATGTCTACTCCATCGACTGGCCGGGATGGGGCCTCTCCTCGAAGCCTGACTTTCCCACGGGTGAGGCAGGGATCATCTCGTTTCGTGCCTGTGTTCGCATCGAATACATGTCCCTTAGTCGGATCCCTCAGGGCACCCGCGTGTGCGAGCAGTTCTTCGTGGAGGGCATCGAACGCTGGCGGCGGTCAGTTGGCTTGGAGCGCGTGGTCCTGCTGGGCCACAGCTTTGGAGGCTACTTCGCTGCCTGCTATGCCTCCCGGCTTCGTTACTGTCTCCATTGAACTCCATAATACCAACAATAACCAAGGTTGGCTCAACTTTTGTGAAGGTTGCTGCCTGTCAGCAAGGGCAGTGCACGGCGAGCGCCGTTCTAAGGCCATGAAGCATCCCGAGAACGTGGAGGCACTGATTCTAGCAAGCCCTGTCGGCATGGGTGAGAAGAGAGCCTTGGACCTCTTGGACTCTCCCGCAGCTCCCGTCGCATCTTCGAAGCCGTACAATGCCCAAAGCCTCAGGAGGCGAGCAAGGGCTGCTGAACCCTGAGAGACTTCAGTCGTTGCCTTGGTGGCAAAGGCTGGGATGTGGGGAGCATACCCTTCCTGCAATTGAGTGACACTCTCGCGGCGGACCATGTGCAGTGGAGTTGTAAAGGCGAGCGAGGCATCACGAAGCCCCCTGGCAAGGACCCTCATCAGAACGGCCCATGACATGTGGTCGGGAGGCGCGATTGTCCTGGATCTGATGCGGCAAGACTTGTGGGGAACATGCGTATGGGCTCGAAGGCTGGACTCCCATGGACATCGTGCGCCTCTTGACGGAACCGGAGAAAGCTTCGAAGCCACCGCTCTGCGACATCACGTAGTGCCGCACTGAGGCGGTCTGGGCCCGGCAGGGCTGTGGTTGGCACGTTGGTATATGGATCGCCGGTTCCGCCTGCCTCGTGAGCTTGGGACCATGGAGGCACCAAGAGAGAACTGCAACACCTATATAGGAGTTCTTGGGGGCAGGGCCATCTAGGCCGAAAATGCTTGCTCGTCAAGGTGTCCACCAGTCGCGTCAGAGTGGACGTCTGTCGTTTCAGGGTGATGTTGTTTACCGAGTCTTGACTGCAGCAGGCTGACAAAGATGAAACCGCCGCCTACATCCATCAACTGGACGCCTGGTGTCAGTTTCAATGTGAAGCACTCGGCAAGCCTTGCCTATTCACAATCCCCTTAACGTGCGAGAGCACAAGTTCTGGGATTTGCAGAGGGTTGTCGTAGAGTCTGAAGCGAAGCCTGCTACTTGCAAACTTGCTCAGTCACCATTCATCTTGAACCTCCGCAGGTCTGTTGCATTTTGCGCTTGCTGTTCCATCTGATCTTTAGAATCCAATCGCATCGTGTTGTACATCTCGCCTAAGTCTCTACGCCGCCGCAATGTTCTACAATGCTCTAATCTCTGAACCCTTGTATTCTATATGCATTGTATGTGTGGGACTGCCTTGAGACTTCCAAAGAGGCCTGTAGGGTTCAACAACAGTGGTGTTCCAACTGTAGCATGACGGAAAACGGAAGCACAGACTGCTACGCTTCATCACTTGCTTCCTGAATATGCATGAATCAGGAACTCGCACTCCAGGTCAAGACTAATGCTTTTTGCACCCTGCTGGTGTGGCCGACCGGACTCTTCTAACGTTCGATCTTCCGAGCCGCACAGATGTCATTTCGATTCCAAGTCGAAGTTACCAACACCAACGAAGTGGCCACTTAGAACAGCACCGAAATTTCAATCGCCAAAGCGTTTCTTCCCAGACACAGCCGCTATCCCGACGCCCTAGACAAGCTTAGGCATCCCGCAGCGTCGAAGGAATGAACGACAGGTCCCAGAGTTTCGGTTCTTGTACAAGCTAGCAGCCCCAGGCAGCTCGCCCTGCTGGGTCGGAGCGCTGCCTCGGGGAACTGCTTTCCTTTGGTGCTTGGGCGAAGGCCAGAGGGAGAGGGGATTTTCTTCTCTGAATCTATCTACACATATCCTTTAGCATCTACGCTTCTGTCTCAGTCTTCGGAGGGAGGAGGCGGTGAGGGTCAGGGGCAGAGAGACAGCTGGATCTCTTGAAAGCAGTCTTCAGTGTTCAGTCTTCTCTGCAGGAGCCCATCGGTCCCCGACTGGCACAGCGCTGGAAGGCTGACTTTACGTCTCGGTCAAGCGGCATCTATCTATCCAGCGATTACAGTCTAACATGTGTGTCGAATGTGCCCGACTTGTCGGTGAACGCAAGTCAGAAACCGTAAGACTCACGCAAGACAAGGTGTGAGTTCTTTGTCGAACCATGGATGGATGTCCGATGTAGATACACCACATTTACTGTACCACACTAACGGATAGCGCAGACACGAGTTGTTTGAAGATTCAGCAGGTTTCCTTCTTCTTCAGAGCTACTAGTCTCAGTTGGCACCTTGTGCTGCGCTGCAGCTGCAGCAAACCGCAGCTGCAGGAGTTGGGAAGCCGAGCGCCACCAGTCACTCTGCTGTACGGCCACTCGTGCTGCAATGGCATGCGATGTAGAGTGCCCGCGGCCTGCAGCTGCGTGCTGACCTCCGTTTGGGCCGAGGCGAGTCTGATTGGATGGATGCGGGAGCAGGCACGAGATCACCGCGAGGAGCCTATAGTTTTCTTGCACCGAGTCACTGGTCGAAGTCTTGGAAGGTGTGGAGCTGGCACGCGAGCTCGCCAGAATTCGGCAGCCTGCACCGGAAGTGCAGCTCGCCCAAGCTGAGGGCAGAGTGCGGCGGTTGTTCTTCTGAGCTGTGCGAGTCGGAGCACTGAGTGTGACTGTGTGTGACTGTGTGTGACTTGTGAAAAGGATCATGGTTGAGGGTGCCGGCCACCAGCTCTTCCTCGATAACCCTGTGGCCGGGCCGAAGATTCCGAGGGGTCCGTCCTCCCCGTAGATGCGAGTCTCATCCTGAGACGGGTCCACCCGAGGCCGCCTTCAATGCCGCCTGCTATCGTGCGACTCGGCTGCAGATCTCCTTCTCGACATCAAAAAAGAGTGGAACTTCCATCGACTGGGGACTGGGCCGGGCCGACTGGGGTGAAGCTGTGGTGTGCCAGGCCTGGCACAGGTGTTTCGCCAAAGCCTGGCACCTGTGCCAGACCTGACACCAGAACCCTGTGACGAGAGACTGGCGAGATTCGGGTTTAAGGATTAGGGTTTGGGGTTTATGGTTTTGGGACTATTGAGTGGGCTTGGGTTTTAAATTAGGGTTTAGGGATTTTCAGAGTTTATGGTGAGCGACACTTGTGTCTGCCCCACATGTGCATCTTCGCTGCTTCGATCGAGTTGGTCCCCCTGTAGCCCAATGCGTGCGAACTTTGCCCTCGGTACTGGGATGACCTGAGTTGGCCGCTCGTGTGATGTATGATAGTTTCATTATTGCACACGCGCACATCGATGGACTGATCATGCGTGACCTACATGTTTTCGCAATTCAGCACAAGGTACTAATGCACCTACGCTTGCCGCCCTCCCACATACAAAAATCCGGCAGAGTTTTGTTGATATGCCCACCCCGAACATCCCGCAGAGTATCCTCGGACTGGCAACCTCCGCAACCCATCCCGAGAAATTGCCGGTGGGCACGCCTGGAGTGCCCAACCCAAAGCAGCACACCGAGTATCCGCACAAAACAAACCTGAAGTGCTTACCCCGAGACTATCCCGCAGCTCTGATCTAAAAGACGCGTGGATGCATTGATGCATGCATGCATACACGGATGAACAGATGACTAGATGAATGGATGCAGAGAATAGATTGGGTTGATCGGTAGATAGATAGCAAAGCAGATTTCCAGATTTTCAGTGGCCAAGTTGCCAGATTCCATACTTCCAGATTTGCACAGACAGAGCTTCCACATTTAGATTTTCAAGTTTACTGGACCTAGGTTCCCAGATTCCGGGAAATCCCTAATCTGGAAACTTGCGGCACTCAACTCTGGAAATCTGACAACCCTGGCCCAGCAAATCCCGAAATCTGGATTAGGTAGGCCTTTCCCGAAGCCGCTGCCACTACAAGCCTTAAAGACCTCCGCCGCAATCAGATTTTGCAATCTTGAAACAACGATAGTCGACATAAAGGCGCAACAGAAGAGCGCATGTGCGAGGCATTCATGACCCTACAGTATGTGTTCTCTATAGCTGCTATGAGGATGTTCTGGTTCGAATCTCGCATGCCGTTTTTGACTATAGACTTAGCTTCGTTTCACACACGAAGTAAGCCGGCCCAGCATCCTCTTCATTCTCTCTTGCCGCTCCTGATTGGACGCATTAATATTGAGGCACCGCTTATCGCACTCGCCTCCAGCATAGCCATTACTAAGAGTAGCTTGTCCACTTTGTGATTGCAAGTCGGCATTTTAGAGTAATTGGACCTGGGAGTGGCGCATGTTGCGATCTGCCAAATAGGAGCATGTGCAGCTTGAGTATCGTTGTGTCCCTCGACCCTATGCAGCCTGAGGCTTTGGGTTCAGGCCTACCATCAGTCGCCGGATTCTATCGGCAGCTCTTTCAGATGGCAAAGCGTTGAAAAGCGAGTGCGGCCGAAGGAATGCTTGGGGTAAATGCCGGAGCACAGTGGAGCCTCGTCGAGCCACGATATAGCAATCAATCTTCGACCTGTGCTGCACGCAGCGGAGGCTTCGGAGACTCTTCGGGAGCTCATGCAGCACGTGGAGGCTCTTCAGGCCCAGGCCAGCGGAAATCAGCTGACGCAACATCCGGTGCGGCTGACAGTCTGACAGCGCACCAACGCGCCAGGAATCTGCGCAGCTGCAGGTTCGGGTGCAGTCCCGCATCTTGCAAGTCAGCTTGAAGCTGCCGGCGCGGATCGTCATTGCAAAGCGAGCGGCCAGCGGTTGAGTCTTTCCGGAATCGAAGGAGCTCCGCGAGGCTCGCGGCGACAGCGCCCGGAGCTCTGAGGCCGGCTGTGGCCCGTCCTTCGTCCGTGTTGGGAGGAGGGTAGTCGGGTCTGTGCGTCTACCGGGTTTTTTGGTAAGAAGGGGGGGTGCACGTTTGGGCATTGGGGCCCGGGCCTCCGTAGCTCCTTTTCCCCCTATTCTCGGCTGCATGATGTAGACCTTGATCCTAGTCTACACGCGAGACATGACGAAGAAATGCTTGACTGCCTGACTGAACAGGATCACCAGAAGCGTCTGAGCGGTGTGGCCGACGAACTGCAGTCGCAGGCACAAGCGGTTGAGCACGGTGGAGCTCTTCTCCCTTAGATGCGTGCCTTCCTGGTTTCCACCAGTACAGGCGCTGGTTCTCAAGGCCTTGCAGCAGGCCAACTTCCGTGGCTGCAGCTCTCATGTTTTTTGCACGATCTCGGTGGCGAATCCAGCTGCAAGTAATACCTAGTATCAAACTGACCACCCAGCTACATTCCTGGAGAGGCCTCGAAGGACCCGCCGGGCTTGGCTGTGGGACTCAGCGGGGCATGATGTGCACCCCAACAAACCCAAAACGTGGAGATCTTGCTGGAACTGAAAAGAAAGCCACAAACTTTGGCCGCTTCGGAGAACCGCGGTGAGTGCACTGTCTGTGAAGGGCATAGATATCCGTGCTGAATGTGCAGCAGCGAGCAGCGCATTCCGGCGCTTTGCCGATCGAAGGACACAACTTCGCAACTGCGAGAAGAGCTTCAAGCGCAGGCTCTTCCGAGTTCGGCGAAGCCTCGTGTCTCGCTGAGAGCCTGAGCTTCACATGCGAGCTGTGGAGGATCCTCGCGCTCAAATCGGTGAGCTCAGCAAGGATTCGAGCTCAGGGGCTGAGCTGAGTCAACTGAAATCTCAAAGGATCAACATAAGGCTTGTCTTGGCTGCAGGAGACGGCGAAGCTCCTGGCTGACCTGGGTCGCCAGGCGGAGCAGTTGAGGAATTCTGCATTCTGGGGCATGGACTGGGTCAGTCGAGATTTTGGGTTCGTGGTCCGTGATCCCTGTTGGAAGTTGAAAACAGCAATCCCAGAGCCGCTGGCAGGTGGAGTCCCTTCGCAGCCCAGAGGCCCCTGCACCGGGTCCGACTAGCCGACTAGCTGCCTAGCCCTGGCGCTGTCTCTGGCAAGGTCCCAGAGCGGGTGTCGGAGCTGCAGAGGGGCTTCGAGGCGCTGCAGCGGAGCGTCGAGGCACGAGCTCCGAAAGTGTCGCAAAGTCCCGGAAGCGCCCTCTTTTCAAAGGCCTTGAGGACCAGCGAATCCCAACACATGGTCCAGACCTCAGACTCCGACTCTTCCGGGACCCAAAGTCTCCTCGATTGAGCTGGATCGCGATCGCGATCGCCTCTTGTGGCAACATGCGGCAACGCCCATCGCCGAGGCGGAGATGCAGAGATCTTCAGAGAGTAACTCTCAGTCTCTTCAGTACCTGCGCGCGCAGGAGAGCGGCCATGCTCACACGTACCTAGTTGGTAGATCTGCAACGAAGCATGTAGCCAGCATGAAGCGACCTTTCACGCAATTTCACTTTGCATCCTTGCCGAAGGACACGGGGCAAAAGCTCATCGAGTTGCAGCGGCTCGTGGAGACACAGTCGAGGCCTGTCGGTGTCGTTCAAAAGGAGACGGTCCTTGGTCCTGATTTGCAGGAGTTTGGAGGCCGCCCGCAGCCAGGCAGGAAGCTTCTCAGATTGTGGTGGGGAGGCAGCAAAGTAAGGCAATGTCGGGCTCTTGAGGAGCAGCTTTCACAGTATGTTGGGCTTGAGAGCGCCAGGACGCCATGGAGTTGCGGCGTGTCGTGGAGGCCCAGGGAACCCAGCTCTCAGAGGCCTTGCGGAGCCAGGCCGGCGGACCTCATCTGCTGAAAGCGAAGCCGAGCGTGCCTGGAGTGCCAGGACTCCGAGAAGAAGCTGAGCGATCTCCGGAAATCCACTGAGGCATGGATAAGACGTCCCATGACCCAATGATTCTGCACATCTGCTGCTGCACTTCTGCTGCACGCCCCAGGCGCTGGCAGATCTTCTGCAGGAGATGAAGCCCAGAGTTCAGGACAGGCACAGGTTTGCACCCGCAGCATTCACCTGCAGCTGTGGCCCAGGTATCTCACTTCTCACGGGTGTCACTTTGAGGAGACCTCTGCCGGCCTGGGCTACATCACCACAGCCATGGCCACCCACAGTACGGGGTTGCAGGCGCAGCATACGTCTGCTGTGCAGCGGACATGTCCCCCTTCGCGCTGCAGGACCTGGCAAGCCAGGCGGTCGCACGCCACCAGGCCAGCAGTGCATGTCTTGGCGCTGAGTGACAGTCAGTTTAGACTCGCAGGATCAAGTTGAGTGTGTGCCTGCCGCATGAATCCGCATGCTGTATTGCTTTCGCGGCGCCTCTGAACGTCTGATACTGTAGCCATTTGCTCGGCGTTTGTTGGAACAGCGAGCACATCGAGCCGCGCCGGGCAGCGCCGCCGCAGCGCCATGCTCCGTACCTTTCTAGGAGCGGGGATGGGGCCAGAGTGTCTCTCTCTCTCTCTCTCTCTTGCATGCTCTCGCTCCAGAGATCTCTGCCAGGAACAGCGCTTTTGCTTTGGGTTGTGCTGGCTCAGAGTGCCAACCATTCCGTGCCTTGGTCCAGACTCGTCTATCACTCTAGACATGTACTGGTGATCATGCAAGCTTAATCTCTGCTGCGCAGAACCGCGTCCGAGGCACAGTCGAAGGACGAGCATGGGACTGGTCAAGACCACAAGCCGAAAGGCGCTCAGGCCCACCATGACAAGCCACAAGCCCGGCTTCTCGGTAAGGTTTTGGCCTTGTTCCTGATGGTATCGACGCCAGAGTGCATGAAATGCCGTATTGGTCTAAGGCCAGAGCCAGAAGAGAAACACCACCGGACGGAGAGCCACCAGCGGCAGATGCAGCGAGAGCAGGCAGAGCAGCCCGAGCAGCCGCAGGTTCGCCAGGCGGAAGAACGTTACTCGTCTCTGCAGAAGTGTTACTGGTAGTACCAGAGGGACGTTGAAGGGCTTCTCAGTTTGTTTGGAATCGTCGTCAGACCGATCGTAGAGATGTAGCATGCTGCCAAGATGCAAATCCTGGAATCAGACCCTTGCGCAATTCTTTGTGCGGGAGTGAAAGGAACCTGGCACGACTTCCTCCCCCACTTCGCACGGCAGTACACCTCACAGGGTCATGGAGAACAGAGCGAGTGGGGCCAGGCAGGGGGATCAGGAAAAAGCCCTGGATCGCTGCAAGAGGGGGTCCCGGGTCCCATGCTAGTGCACTCAGTTGGCTGCGGCTCCGCGCACCTCGCTTCGTGGCACCTTGCTGTCGGCGGAGGCCTGTATCGCGGCCAAAGCTTCATCGGCTTGACGGGCTTTTAAAAGGGAGCATGGCACACTGGCACACCCCGCGCCTCTCAGGCACCGGACTATGCCAGCGTAGCGGCACGTGAGGCCAGCCTGCGCGCGGTCTCCGACTTGGAGCAGCAGGAAGCTCGGGCAGCTGCGACGGCAAGGGACTCCTTGCACGCTCTGCGCCAGACCTCTTCGAAGGCTGTGGATGAAAATTGGATGAATGTCAACCTCGGCCGAGACCTCTAAACTCACTCTGAACACTTTGCGCATCTTTGGTTACCGGGCTTGCTCTGCCCTTGAACCTGCGAGCCGAACGATGCCCCAAGCCCTCACATAGCAGGGTGTAGGGTTAGTCGTCGGGCGGTTGTGTACCAGCCATGGCAGGACATCATCAGCAAGGCCAGCGATTGGCACTCGATCCAGGACTTGCTGGCACGCTCCCGGCCAGAAGATGCAAAGTCCTTCAAGGACAGGTTGGAGGCGACGACGAAGGAGTTGGAACAGTTCAGCTCTCAGCAAACTGCAGCCGGTTTCAATGCGACGCGAGCAGCGGAGCTTTCGGACAACTTGGACAAAGCAGTGGCTAACGTTGGACAGAGCGTGGAAGTGCAGAGGCACCGTGCAAAAGCGGCAATCAAGGTCGCGCGGCAAGATGCACTTGGCCAGGTTCGGGAGCTCGAGAAACGAGCCAGAGCTGCTGTCAGGTCTTGGAGATCGGATGGCAGGCATGCTGTCAATGCGCAGAGGCAGGCCAACATGCCGGAGCAGCTCTATGAGAGCCACGACGACCAAATGCGAGATGCCGTCGGCGATACAGAGCAGGAGGTTGAGAACGCGGCCGAGGGCTTGAAGGACAGCATAAATGAACATTACGGCAAGTTGGATGACGAACTTGAGGACGCATCCATTGGTGCCAGCGGTAAAGCTTTGAGGAAAAAGGCAAGGACGGCCCAATATCATCTGCAAGAGCTTGTCCAGAAACTTGGTGTGCAGGCGGCGCTATTGGAGGCCCTTGCAAAATCGCATTTTGCCGCGGAGGAGAAGTCTTGGAAAGAGTCGCGTGCTCCACAGCTGCTGGCTGCTGTGCCACACACTGCCAACCTCTCTTCTGAAGTCACGACAGCACAGGCACAGGAGCAGCATGCTGCTGACAGCTTCCAGAACAGCTTGAAGTCTTTGAAGGAAATGTCTCCCCCGGAGATTATCCGCAAAGTTAGCGGCTGGCACACGCTACAGGAACTAGTTGCAGGCTCAAAGCCAAAGGATACAGATTCTTGGGAGAAAACCCTTGAGTCCCAAACCCAGAAGCTCGAGCGGTTCAACAACGAGTCTCGCAAAAGCGCCCTCGACTTCGATGCATCGCATGCTGCAGAACTGGCCGACAGTGTCGAAAAAGCTTCCTGGCATGTGGAGCATGATGCAGAGGAGCAGAAGCACAGAATGAAGGCCACTCTCAAGGACGCGCGGCGCAAAGCGCATGAGCACGTGAAGGCACTCGAGGCCGAAGCCAAGGCCGCCGCGAAGTCATGGAAGTATCATGGCAGGCGAGCAGTGAGGGCACAGCGAGCGGCACACATGCCGGAGCATGTCTACGAGCGGCACGAAGACCAGATGCAAGATGCAGTTGGGGATGCAGAGGACAAGGCCGAGGATGCGGCGGAGCGCCTGGAAGAACAAGTTGGCCATCACTACGAGAAGCTGGAGGACGAGCTTGCAGATGCATCCATTGGTGCCAGCGGCAAGGCTTTGAGGCACAGGGCAGAGAAGGCCCAACACCGTCTGCAAGAGCTTGCACGGAATCTTGGTGCGCAGGCGGCGCTAAAGGAGGCCCTTGCAAAAGCGCGCTTTGCTGCAGAGGAGAAGTCTTGGAAAGAGTCGCGTGCTCCACAGCTGCTGGCTGCTGTGCCACACACTGCCAACCTCTCTTCTGAAGTCACGACAGCACAGGCACAGGAGCAGCATGCTGCTGACAGCTTCCAGAACAGCTTGAAGTCTTTGAAGGAAATGTCTCCCCCGGAGATTATCCGCAAAGTTAGCGGCTGGCACACGCTACAGGAACTAGTTGCAGGCTCAAAGCCAAAGGATACAGATTCTTGGGAGAAAACCCTTGAGTCCCAAACACAGAAGCTCGAGCGGTTCAACAACGAGTCTCGCAAAAGCGCCCTCGACTTCGATGCATCGCATGCTGCAGAACTGGCCGACAGTGTCGAAAAAGCTTCCTGGCATGTGGAGCATGATGCAGAGGAGCAGAAGCACAGAATGAAGGCCACTCTCAAGGACGCGCGGCGCAAAGCGCATGAGCACGTGAAGGCACTCGAGGCCGAAGCCAAGGCCGCCGCGAAGTCATGGAAGTATCATGGCAGGCGAGCAGTGAGGGCACAGCGAGCGGCACACATGCCGGAGCATGTCTACGAGCGGCACGAAGACCAGATGCAAGATGCAGTTGGGGATGCAGAGGACAAGGCCGAGGATGCGGCGGAGCGCCTGGAAGAACAAGTTGGCCATCACTACGAGAAGCTGGAGGACGAGCTTGCAGATGCATCCATTGGTGCCAGCGGCAAGGCTTTGAGGCACAGGGCAGAGAAGGCCCAACACCGTCTGCAAGAGCTTGCACGGAATCTTGGTGCGCAGGCGGCGCTAAAGGAGGCCCTTGCAAAAGCGCGCTTTGCTGCAGAGGAGAAGTCTTGGAAAGAGTCGGGTGCTCCACAGCTGCTGGCTGCTGTGCCACACACTGCCAACCTCTCTTCTGAAGTCACGACAGCACAGGCACAGGAGCAGCATGCTGCTGACAGCTTCCAGAACAGCTTGAAGTCTTTGAAGGAAATGTCTCCCCCGGAGATTATCCGCAAAGTTAGCGGCTGGCACACGCTACAGGAACTAGTTGCAGGCTCAAAGCCAAAGGATACAGATTCTTGGGAGAAAACCCTTGAGTCCCAAACACAGAAGCTCGAGCGGTTCAACAACGAGTCTCGCAAAAGCGCCCTCGACTTCGATGCATCGCATGCTGCAGAACTGGCCGACAGTGTCGAAAAAGCTTCCTGGCATGTGGAGCATGATGCAGAGGAGCAGAAGCACAGAATGAAGGCCACTCTCAAGGACGCGCGGCGCAAAGCGCATGAGCACGTGAAGGCACTCGAGGCCGAAGCCAAGGCCGCCGCGAAGTCATGGAAGTATCATGGCAGGCGAGCAGTGAGGGCACAGCGAGCGGCACACATGCCGGAGCATGTCTACGAGCGGCACGAAGACCAGATGCAAGATGCAGTTGGGGATGCAGAGGACAAGGCCGAGGATGCGGCGGAGCGCCTGGAAGAACAAGTTGGCCATCACTACGAGAAGCTGGAGGACGAGCTTGCAGATGCATCCATTGGTGCCAGCGGCAAGGCTTTGAGGCACAGGGCAGAGAAGGCCCAACACCGTCTGCAAGAGCTTGCACGGAATCTTGGTGCGCAGGCGGCGCTAAAGGAGGCCCTTGCAAAAGCGCGCTTTGCTGCAGAGGAGAAGTCTTGGAAAGAGTCGCGTGCTCCACAGCTGCTACTTGGACGAGATGGCTACTCTGCGGTCCAAAGTTACTTTCGGACTTGTGTTTGAGTATGGTCCTTCCGTGAGGCTGGATGCCACAGCTTCAGGTGATCACCTGCGAGGAGCCGGTTTGCAGAGTGTGTTTTCTTCACCAGTCCCTGAGTCACGAGGCAGTCGATAACGTATGCTCATGAAGCTAGAACGGCGGTTGTAGAGATATGGGATCCCCGTGTTCCTGTTCTCTGTCTGAGCGCCTGGCGTGCTCTGGGTAGCAGCGGCAAATAGCGACAAGCTGTAGGTGCAAGCTTGCCCTTGTGTCATGACTCCTGACGAGGACTTTTGATGGCAAGTGTTTTTACAGCGTCCTTCGTGGCAGCTCTTGCGTTCGTGCAGCGTCGTCGTCCGGTGAAGGCCTTCTGGGGGGGCCGGCATGAGGGTCCGGGCTGGACTAGTTGATTGAATGTGAAGGCGATTATGTTGTTGACACTCTCTCATCTTGGTCTATGAGTGTCATGCAGAGCTGAAAGGATTTTTTGGCTATGCTAGCGAATGGCACATCAATTTCTGTGCGAGGTGGATGCACCTCCTCTCCTGGGCTGAAGCTCGTTTGGCGTTTCCAACCCTGTCGCCTGTGGGGCAGTTTGCAAGACAAGTCGAGCAGCAACTGCCAAGCCCAAGTCGTACCAGTAGTTGAGGAAATCCAGGCTCTCGCTTAGCAGAACAGTCTGCCACTCCTGCAATCTGCCTCACAGTCAGCCCTGATGGGCTGATGCCTCCTGCAGAGTTTGAACAGAGGCGGCATATTTGAAGACATGGTTTCCTATTGGCTCTGCCATGGCAAGTGACAATCAGAGTGCGTTTGAGATGAACGCCTGAGATGACATCCACATTTCGTCTGGACTAGACTTTCTTCTAAACTTAGACTGGCCTTCAATTAATTGTGTCAAGTGTGGGGTGTCTACGGTATGGTTGCGTTTTCAACATCGCAAAGGCCGGCAGAGAGATCATTTCGGGCAGCTGCTGTGTTCCAAGCTTCAGGCAGAGGTTTGCAGCGCGGGTGGCCAAAGCGGAGACCATGTCGGATTTCGCTTCAAACCAGCAGAATCGCTGCTTTCACAGACTTAGCACACACGTTCCATATCCACGGCTGTCTGCATGTGTTGAGGTCGACAAGGGATGCGTGCTGTTGGTTGCCCTGTAGCTAAGTCGGAGAGAAGGTGCGTGTGCTTTGACTGTGTGACTCTTGGCGCGGTTCCGTTGTCTAGACCGACACTGATTCCGATGGAAGTTACTGAGCAGACGACGGACCCGACTAATTGGAACCCAAGAGGTTTCATGTGATATTCGGCGTTTTGGTGGTCCTTGCAGCCTCGCTGCCACAAGCCAGGACCGTTTTCATGCCGGGCGCTAGGCCCGTGCTAGGCGCTGACACCAAAGAAGAACCAGAGCAGTTGCAAGCTGGAAAAAGACGCTTCCGATGCACCGCATCAATGTCTCACTTCTATGCGACCAGGCTATGTCCCAGTCTTTGACGGACCTGCGGCTGGCCGTGGATGGCTTGGTCAAGCCCACCTCAGTCGAGGCTGGACGCTAAAGCGTGCAGCTGTGGGTTTGCTCATGTAGATTTGTTGCCAATCAACCCATCTCCCCAAGCCTATGCATTGGGAGGAACTTGGCACCAAAGTTGGCGAGATCCAGCAAGCCTTGGTCAGCCAGGAGCAAACGAAGAGAGAGGGTGAACTCATACTTAAGTGGCATGTCGCAGATCTCTCATGGATAGTGGCCCCGTTCCGCTTTGCCATCACATCTCCAAGAAGTTTTCCAATCCATCAGGAGAAGCGAAGCGATCAGCGGGATGTTTCCTTAGAGGCTGCCTTCGAGGTCGCACAGCCAGCTTACGTGTTGGAGTTGAACTGGTTTGTGATGGCAAGCTGTAGCAGCAGCCCGGGTAGCAATATCTGCCATAGCCTCTGTGTATTGAGTGTGAGCGCAAAGGTTTGATGTCAGCAAAACCTTGACGTGTGCTGGGCACGTTTGAAACCGGAGGAAACCTTGAAGACCATCAAGGACTCTTTCGATGATTATCGTGCCAGCTCAGCGCTTCTTTCTGGCTGCTTTTGCCCTTTACCGACCTTAGCCTTGGACCACATCGGAGCAAAGATGAATGAAAGATTGGAGCGAGCCTTCACACTAGGATGGCCTCCATGCTGTCCCGATCCGATGCCGCCTTGGAAGGAGAGCTTTAATGGCTTCAGCCAGAGCTCCGTCGAGCGACACGAGGAGACTCTGTACGGAAGTCTGACCCCGAACCCCAGTTAGCTCATCTAGGCTCATGCAGATTCATCTTCCTGGCGTCGTAGCAGAGAGGAAGAACCTCGGTCAGAGCTTAGCGGCTTAGCGGGTTCTTTCGCACAGGGCCTGAGCAGCGCGCTCGACGCTCTTCGTGCGCAGATAGAGGCCATCGTTTTCTGCGAGGTTTGGCTGTGATAGCGAACTTGGCCAAATCCTGACCCTCAAACCCAGAACCGCAAACTGCAAGTCTTTCAACAAGATCTTCACGATGCTTGGACTACATACTTAGATTGAAAGCAATGCTGCAACAGGACCCCGTTCAAGTTTGTCAGCATCACGGTCAGTTAGAGAGAAACGGGAACTTCCACCAACGAGACAGTGATGCAGCCCAGTTCATTTTTACGACGCTGTTGAGTATACGCCGATCTTATTTAGCATAGTGTTTGTTTGGTGTCATTATGGCGATGCTAGGAGTGCAAGCCTTACTTCTTTTATGTGCCTTGGACCAGTGCTTTGCCTTTGTTCTACATCTGATCGCATTCTTGCTGCACGTAAAAAAGGAGTGGCAGTTGACAATGACAACACAGCGTTCCGGGGGTCGAGAGGGTTTCTCTGGCTTCTGGCTGCCAAATGGGGAGGATAGAAGGGGTGATTTGCTTTCAGTCTTGTCCTAAGACTGTCCCATGCCCTTCGAACCTAGCGGACTTGGCAGGCAGTCAGTGCCGAGTCTGCCCTTATCTTAGACGCCTGTGACGGGAGATTTCTTGTGCAGTTCAGAGTGACCCTGGCTTTCATTTCCAGATCTTTGCAAAGCATGGCCGACACCGTAGAACGTCGAAGAAACCGTTGCTGAGGTAGCCCAGCAGCAGAGCCAGCAACAGCTGGCAGAGGCAGGGGCCCCCCTGCCACCCTCACAGCCAAGAGCTTCACACCGGAGTGCCGATTGAGCTCAGGAGCTACTGGAGTCCTCAAAGACGGCCTCACAGGCGCTAGGAGGGAACGTAGAAGTCAACACCACAATACAATAGCGCATGACCTGCTTCGGAAGCTGCTGCCTCACTTCGGAAGAGTGCATCTAAAGCTGTGATTTCAACGAATCTCTGGTCGTGCGCTCTTGTGTGCAGGCACAGTCTTCGGGGTTTCGAGATGCTTGTGAGCAAGCCGGAGGCCAAGGGCTTCTAGACTTCAAGACTGCGCTGCCCAAGCCCAGTGCCAGTACGTGAGGACAAGCTGCTACAAGTTGCAGTGATGTGCATGCAACTTAGAGTCGCCTAAATACACTGAGCTGAGCAAGCAGAACCTGGGCAGGACCAGCAGAAAAAGAGCAAGAAGCAAATTCCTGCCCTGTGTAGTCTTCTTCCCCGATTCCGAGGCTCCGATATCCCACCCAACCAAGACGTGGAGGCAACCCGCTGCGAGATCCACCAACGGCTGAGGTCACCTCCTCAACCCTGGATGCACTGAGCTCTCTGCAGAGAAGATTCGAGGTTCCGTGGTATGTGCTGTAGATATGCTGTGCTGGCGTGTGCACGATGCCTGGCCGCACGCATGCTTTCCAGGACACGGACGGTGGGGTGCAGTCCCTGCAAAGCAGTGTCTGGCGCAAAGATGAAACGGGGAGCTGCGTGCGCTTCAATTCGATGTCATGACGTCGCGAAACCTCGGCCCGAACGTCGGCGACTGTGTGTTGGTGGCCCAGGTCTCGTCGCAAAGTCGTCAGTTGGAGCAGCTACAGAAGCAGGCAGGCTGTCGAGACGTCACTCTAGACTTCGCCATGTGCGCGTCATCGCCTCATCATTGATTCATTGGTTGTATGCATGGGCTGCACGACAACGATTTTTGCCGGCTGTGCAGGTGCTTGCGCAACAAGAAGCTTCACAGGCAGTGTACTCGAGTTCAGACTAGCGAGACCCCGTGCTTGGGCTCCGGAAAATTCTGAAGATGTGCTACTCCGATAGACCCTACAGCCACTACGTCACTACGACAGTCAGGATCCGCCAGAGACCATTGGAGAACGGTTCCGGGAAGCTTTTATCAACTCTGTCTGTGGACTGCTGTGCGGCTCAACGGGCTGCTGAGTCGTTGGAGCCTCCCCGGGAGTCGATGTTGACTTTGAAGGCTCAAAGCCGCGAGCTCCAAGAGCTTCGAAAAGGGCTGGCCAACGAGGTGCTGGGCTTTTTCTCGGCGCCTTTTGCTGTTGCTTTTGGTCTCGGCGGTTGCGGGTGGCCGAGTTTGCATGCGGGTTCCGCGTTCCTGCAACATCCGTGTAGGTATACGATAGCTAATTGGAGTTGAATCCTCAATTCCTCTTGGGAGGTTGCAACCTACAACAAACCTGGATAGGCATGAGTTCACTCCGATGCAGCATCCGAAGGGAGTACTAACAGAGTTGTTGCAATCATTGAAGGGCGGCACACAAGGCATTACAACACTAAACGAGGTTCGGGAGGCCTTATGGCTGCACTTGTGTTGCCACAACAATGTAACAACCTCGCCCCTCTTTCTCCCTTCTCCGACCTATGCTGCCTTGATGGCGCCTCAGGCTGCCTGCGAGGGTCTGCGGAGGGAGCTGGATGCTTCAAAGATCCGCCAGGTCCTGTACACGGCAGTGGCCAGCAGCTTGTGCCGTTTGCTCGGAAGTTCGGTGGCCAGGAGTCCCTGGAAGCTGAGAAAGTCGCCAGGGCGAAGGCCTCTCACAGCACAGACTCTGAGACGCAGTGAGCTTCTGCTCTGGCAGGTCTGGGATGAGGAACGAACGGTCCTGGAGAAGGAGGTCCTCCCACACTCCCAGCATACCATCTTTCGGCCAGGTCGTAAGGCTGCCTGTGCCTACTGCTTTTTTTCGACGGAAAGGTGCGTAGGGTCTAGGACAACTTGACTCGCACTGTGTGCGACTTCGCTTTCCCGGGCAACGCTGCCAGCATTTCAAAGACGGACACGTCCCCTATGTCAACCATACGTGTCGAATGCTGCTCACCGCATAAGTGGCCAGCCACCGTGAACTTGTGGCAAGAGTTCAGTTTTGCCAATCGCCTTGTGAACAACCTGAAACCACTTGAGAGAAGAAGGGAAGAAGGCACCAGCACTCGTCCGCTTGACAAAGCCACAGCTGCGCCGGCCCATGTGAGTTCGACATGGTGACCGTGGAGGCCGGCGAGATGCGGCGCAGGTTGTGATAGCTCATGTTGTCATCACGAATGTTTCAGTAGCCTTGCGCCACGGGAGCTTCGCCCTTTGCCAACGCCACTTACAGGGATCGGGGTCATTCAGGGTCCCTGAGGCCTTCGAGCCGGTGGCCTGGAACGACTCGGCACCCGGGGCACCCTGGGGAGGCACACGGCACAGCTTCGGGACACCGTTGCGTGCAGAGCTATTCAGACTGACATGTCGCGAGGTCAGTCGACAATATGGGACGCGTGCCGCGACCTGATGCTAGCAGAGCGTGGGCGTTACCTCCAGGCACGTCCCTTTGTCGACGCCTTGCTGTTGCTAAGACTCCAGTCTCATGATCCTCGTGTCCAGCAGGTGAGGCTAGGAAGGTGGGAGCTAGCAAGGCCAAAGTCTCTACGTGACGTGGTTTCAAGAGCTTTCGTTTGCATATGTTGCTGCAGTACATTTTACCTCTCTCTCCCTCTCTGTCTATGTCTTTATCTCCGGCTGTCTCCGTCCGTGTCTCTCTCTTTCTCTCTCTCCCTCCCACTCTCTCTGACTAATTGCTTGTACCTGTCACCACTATCTGTCTCGCGCTCGCTCTCGCGCCAGCCCGCGCACCTCAAGCCCCGGCGCCACGTCTACGACCTCGCGACCAGAAGCTCTTTGGCACGTCGCTTTCCCAGTTTGCGGTCCAGTAACAGTAAGCACAGCAGAAATATTCGCTGACTACAACTGCCCCCGAAGTTGTGCTGCAAGCCGATAATTGCGTCTGCCAAGTTTTTCTCTCCTTCGTGCGGCACGATTCAGCCGAGGTGAGGAGCCGAGACGGCCCGGCGAGCCCAAAGCACGCAGTGCCACTTTGCGGCGGATGCCACAGCGGGGGACCCGAGAGACTGCTGAGCTTAAGCTCGTGCGATCCTAAAGTGAATCCCTAAGAACGGGCAGCGCCCTTTGCTTGGCTTCTCTTTGGCTTCTTTAGAACAGAAGAGGTGGCCTGCGCCTACGTTCGACAGCTCCGCCTTCAAGGCATTTTTCCCCGCAGGGCCTGATGATTCAGAGCAGAGAATAGAAGCCAGCTGGCAACTTTGCACTGCTTTCCGGTGGATCCTTGACATCGTGTGTGTTCCCAGATGCTGCAGCTACAGCTGCCGTGCGACTCCCGGACGCTCCCAGCTTGCCGCGCAAACTTTCATTGCCAGTACTGCCAAAACCACCAGTCGGGTCAGCACTGCTTTGCATAACTTTGAACTGCTCTGCACTTCCAGGCCAGACCCTATTCCGCCCCAACCATCAGCGCATGGACGCTTGGACGGGGATGGGGAGGCCTAGTACTGCAGAAGCCCTGCACCTCAAAGCTCGTTGAGGACGTTCGAGTCAGAGTTATTTCGAGTCCTTCTGGCTGCTGAAGCTGTGGTGCGTTTCAAGCACTCGTGACACGTAAAGTTGGACGTCGTGGTCGTACTTTGCAGTCGAGCCTTTCAAGAATTGTCTTTGCATCACGTAGCCTCCGGGCTCAAACCTGTGGATCGATGCATGCGACCTGAGGCGTGCGCACGGGCCTTTGTTACGATCATGGCGGTCATGTTAACGTTTGGGCTACAGCTCTCAGTGTGGACTTGTCGAGCCTTCTTCCGTGCCCAGGCGTGCTGATCGAACCATGGAACAGCAGCCCAGCCGCACGTCGAGCGGTGCATATCATGCAAGAACTCGGAGCCTTGAAGCTGTACCGACTGGCGGGAGGCCTCCGAAGTCGAATGCAGACGAGGCGCGGATCTCGGGCGCTTGGGTTCTGTGACCTTCTCTGCACGGGGGGAGCGCTGACCTGAGCCTTCAGGCATCGCCGTCAAAGCTGTTGACACCAGGCGCGGCCACTAGAAAGACAGCCCCTTCGCTTCGGCCTCGTCGACACAGTTCCATGAGCTGACAGGCAACTCTCCAGTCTGGATCTCAGAGCCTTCGGATGCCTCAACAGCTTTGAGGTACAGTACATCATGTCATTATGGAATTGCGTAATGTTGCGTAGAGTCGCGATCCAGTGGTTCTCAAAAGGCACTCTTCCGTGACTGCGCGATCCTCCGAAGACTTCAGACTGCAAACACGCAATCCTGGCTCGTGCATTGAGGCCACCGTTTCGACGTCGGCCTCACCAATGAAGGCCACGGCTTTGTGGTCAAAGTGGGTGAAGCAGCATCCAGCCGGCTTAAAAACGCTGATGTAAGTGGATTGACAGCAGAATATCTTCCTACGTCGGCAAGCAAGAATCGATGTCCAGGTTTATGCCGGCTTGCCGGACTACGAGTACCCTTCGCCGGTGAGTGCTGCAAGCTTAGAGATCACACGATGGCTGGGCAAGATCCATTTCATGGCATTCAATCATGTCTCGGCTGCTTGGCAGCTGGTGTTGACATCGCATGACGAAGATGTAGAGGCCCAGGGAAGGTCGACAGGAAAAAAGCACCAGGTCCGCAACACCTTCTTGAATGTGGAGATTGGGAGGCACAGAGCGGACAGAGCAGCTGTTGCAGCCTTGACCCTGCACACCTCAGGCCACCATCCATAGATGAGTTTTACCAGGAGCGCGGCCTGCGCCGAGTCCTCGGAATGTCAGATCCCGGCGGTCGATTCAAAACCCACAGCCCTGAAGGCTCTGCACCAGGCAGTGCTTTTGGTATTCCACCGGGCCAGGCTCCCAGGCTCCCAGGCCCCCGAGGCCCCCGAGGCCCCCGAGGCCTCAAGGGGCTTCCTCCTGGTCCAAGGATTGGACTCCGGGATCACTGGCAGTCAGGTCACGGACGAGGCACTGGGCCACTAGGCAAAAAGTACCTGGGACGTGTGCATCTCCCCACCCTTTTGCAGGAGGACTTCGTGCCCCGGAAGGAGAACATGCAGGACAACTCGCCCAAGGTGGTTTGGGCAAGACTTTTCCACTCGATGGGATCAATGAAGGGTCCCTGCTCTAAGCCCTCGCCAGCAGGCCACGACTGCTTCGTCGCAGCCTGGCTCAACCATCGCAGTCACCCAGTGGCCGAGGCCGATACAGCTGCAAGAAACTCTGAGATGCAACATTGCCACATTGCCAGCGAGGCATCACACAAAAAAGTGTCCCTTGGACCCCGGAACTCTCCGATCAGGACAATGAGCGGCGATGGCTTGGAGGAGTTCATCTCACTTGGCCTTGGCGTGGCCGGGTGCTTGGCATCGTGAAGCTCATGACCAGCTTCAGAAGCAGGAGTTTTCGGTCACGCTTTCTGTTCGGACGTCACAGAACAAGCCTCTGGACAAGATCGCGCTAGCACCGCATTCTAGGCTTCTTGTCCAGAGTTGCGCAGACTTCACGGTGAGCCGCAGACAAACTTGGCTGGTCTCCACCTCTCCGAAAACAGTGCAGCTGTGCAAAGACTGTGAAATCTCCCGCGACGTTCTCAGGTCGACATCAGCGGGCAGGTTGGCCGATTCAGAGCAGGGATTTCTCGCATAGAGCATCTGGATCTGCCATGGCAGGTTCAAAACTCCTTCAAAAGCGTCTCCGAAACGAGTACTGTAGGTCAGTCCGCGTCTCTCGAGGCTCCCTCTCTCAAGGAGATGCCCCCGCCTCCGCCAGCAGAGAGGCGGGGACGGCGGAGGGCGAGCTTGCAGATCGGCACACCGGAGCGTCGCTTTTAGTCTTCTTTGTGCGTCGCCTGTGCTTCTCGTCAGACGCACATCGCCTCCCCTGGCCAGGGCTCCACAGTTTGTTATTCCAGAGAGCCTCCCGCCCTTGCCAACTGGGAGCCGCGACAAGGAGTGCGTGGGTTATCGGGTGATGTCCTCGTTTCTGGAAAGATGCTGCCAGCTCCGGAAAGTGCCACGACGCCTAGCGCCAGGATGCAGCAGACCTGCCTGTTCCGGTCAAACTGGCGCAGGCCCGGTCTCGTGTCAACAAGCAGTTGCATTGGTCGCTCAAGGGGTAAGGGGGAAGATGCTGTTTGGGGGCGTCGTTGAGTAGCATCCGTGCTTTCTGGATGGTCCTGAGTCCTGGTGTCGTGAAGAGGCTCTTCAAGAACAAGAGCCAGCAGTGGGATCACCTGAGGTGTAGTGGCCTGAGGTTGCATTCGTGGTGGAAGGATAATGCACGCGAATGTGACCTTTAATACAGGAGGACAGATCCATTGTACCGGCACTGCGTGGTTGCTGAGGCCTACGCAAGGCTCGCGTGATCATCGGTTAGGAAAATGCAGGCACGACTGCAGCAAGCAAATGAAGACTGTGCCGCAGTTTCTTGTAGGCTCACTGTAACCAGGGAGCTTATCAGTTGACTGCATCATGACCTTTGTCACAGTTCGCAAGCCCAACTCCCCACTCTCGCTCACTCCTCACTCCCGCTGCTGTGTCAAATTGAAGGATCTGTGCAGGCCAAGAGCAATATTGATGGTTCTCGAGAGCGGTTCTTGAGCCTTGGCACAGGCCTTGCGCATTCTTCCACACGAAGGGCTGCGCCATCCTCTCTTGATTGCGGATCGACCTCAAGTAGTATCACAATAGATTCTATCTCAAGCTGTTGGGCTTGCCTCACTTCACACTGCTGTGCC